AGAGAGAGAGAGAGACTTACACAGCATGAGATTTGTTTCCAAAAAAAAAAATTTCTCTCTGTTGATGAGGATTTATATCATGGCCAAATTGAGCAGCAAAAAAAAAAAAAAAAAAAAAAAGATGATCCACGTTGTTTGGTTTGATCGTCAAGATCGACACATTCGAATTTTCAAACGGACGAAAATAAAAACAAAAAAAAACCGAATGTCGTACTGAACGACAACGAAAACGACAACGATGGCCACAACCGAACGCCAGTAATGCAAACAACCGACTGACTGAATGTGAATGAATGGCTTTGCTTTTTTTTTGGAGATGTTAAGTAGGAGAGAAAGAGAACTAACTGGTGAGAGTTGTTGCATGGATCCAATTTGATGATTATTATTTTTTTTTGTATATATGAGTTGTCTGGCTGGTTGGTTAGCTTGGTTCCACTCTCTGTATGTGTGTGTGTTTGTGTTTGTCTTGTCGATTTTGAGCAATACGATGATGATGATGTCATGTTGTTATCCATTGGTGGCTACACATTTCATCGATTCATTTGATTTCTTGCCATAGAAAAAAAAATGCTTCAGTTCTTTCTCTCTCTCTCTTTCCATCTATGAATCCTGTTGGCGAGAGAAACACAGTCTACGAATACAAGTGAATTGGATGTTTCAAAGAAAAAAAAAGATTCCGATTTCGTAAAGAAAAGAAAAGAAAAGAGAGGGATCCACTTTCATTTTGAATCAAAAAATTCTACATTGAAAATGAAAATTGCAAAAAAAAACATGCAAAAATTCAAATTAATTATCATCCAGTTGATGAAATTCGATTCCAAATTTTTTTTTGCCAAATCTTAACGGAAAGGATTAAAATTTTGGAAATTATGAAATTCTGCAAGAATAATCACATGAAATTCAGATGAAATTCATCATCATGTGTGTCTTGGTGATTTTTTTTCTAGCATTTTAACAAATTCTGAAATTATGAAATTCTATGGAATCACAAAACAAAAAAAGAAATCGGGTTACCTTTTTTTTATTTCTCCAAATTATTGCCACCGTTTTTTTTTCGTCCAAATCTTGGGAGAAAGTTTTTTTTCATGAATAGAATCCTGCAGAAAATCTAGAACATTATCATCATCATCATCATTATTGACGAAGTATGAAAAAAAAGTTAAAAATAAAATTTTCAAAACGATGAAATCTTCACCATCATCATTGTGTGTGTGGAAATGGAAATAAAACTCGGCCGGCCATCATGAATTTGTGACAATTCATCATCATCATCATCATGACGATGACGATGATGATGAATCGTTTTGTCGTGCTATATATTCATTCATTTCATTCCCAGTTGTTTAAATTGACTTTGAGAAGCGGAACAACAACAACAACAACAACAACAAAAAAAAGAGAAGAAAGAAGACCATCATTTTGTCAATGAAATAATGAAAAAAAAACTGTAACAAGAAAATGAACGAAAAAAAATGGAAAAATGGAACATATAATTTTTCACAACAAGATAAGTGAAAATCTTTTTGAATCAAACATTTACATCTTTCTAATAACATCGTTTATTCATGATGAACGTAGAAGAAAATCAATTTGTTATTATAATCAATATAAAATCATTCACAATAACAATATTGATTATCAGTAATTCAATCAAACACAAACATTAAAACATAATCATAACTACAAAGGAAATCTAATAGAGATTCCTTAAAATTATTCTTTTTCATTTAAAAATCACATTCTTTATGAACTTCACAAAAATGAATTCAAACACGAAAATCTTCTCACCAAATGAAAAGGATGAATTTTATCTTTTCCAGAATGTTTTCTTTCCCTCACAAATTACTTCTTCTTTTATTTTACAAACAAACATAAACATCTACAACAATAATATCAACATCAACAAAAGTTTCTTTCAAACATTTTAATGTGGTGTAATCGACTTTGATTCTGAAATTTTGAATCTCTTCAATAAGTGGTGATCAAAGGTTTATATATATATTCATTATTATTATGAATATTCACATTTATAGAATGATGATGATCATCGATTGATGATGAATATAATTTGTCATTTCATTGCATATTGAGTGTGTCGAGTGTGTGCCATTGCTCATCAATTAAAAATATTCATCATATAAAAAAAAATAACGACGACGACGAAAGTGTCCACTCGACGACTGTCACATATCATATCGAATCATATATGAAAATCGATTAATAATAATCAAAAAGCTATCGATGAACAAATAATAAAATTCATTATTAGTGCTGCAAGAAATTTTTTTTTTGAGATTCCAAGTTTTTTTTTACATCTAATAAGAATTTCCCTGGAAAATTTTCAATCCATTTGTGATTAAACTTCATTAAAAAATCATCATTTTTTTTTTTTTTTTTTTTTGTTGTCAATGTGAACCGGAATCAGCGTGATCAAGAATAAGAATTTCAAAATGAAGAATAATAATAATAATAATAAAAAAACGGAAAACAAAATGTTTCGATAATCGATCCAAATTGAATGTGTTGAACAATTGAACTGCATTATTATCAAAGTGGTTGGTGGTGCGATGATGGTGGTAGTGGGAGGCGACAAAAAATCCACGTCGATTCTATAAATAGAAAGAAAAAAATTCTTTCAACGGAAATCGGATTGTTACTGATTATTAAGTAGAAATTCGATTTTTTTTTCTTTAGGATAAATCCAGATAAAAAAACGATGGGTAAATTGAGCAAGAGATAGAGAGAGAGAAAGAGAGGTTTGACTGATTGTCACAAAATATCGAATTATTGTATCAACGTCAATAAAAAAAAACAATCCAAATCACAAATTGTACCATGTCCATTTACCATGTCGTCTGACGAGAGAAAAAAAAACACCATTAATGTCATTGCTGTAATTGTATTTCGATTTCCATAAATAAGAAATTAATTTCGATCCATTCACATCTCTCATTCATCATTCAGTGAAACATTTATTATTGTGCATGTGTGTGTGCTGATGGAATTATCGTCAAATCCAATGTTTTCATCATAAATTCATTCATTGATTTTTTTTTCTCGGTTTTTGGTTTCATTTTGCAACGAAAATAGTAATCCTTTTTTTTCTTTGGTGATTTATTTTGTTATTATTGAAATGAACTCGAACAAACGAACGAACGAACGACCGACCATTGATATTAAAGAATTTTTTTTTTCGTTTATCATTACATTGCGTGTGTGTGTGTGATGGATCGCAGTTTGTTACATGATCATGATGATGAGTGTTTAGTACAAATTTTGTATTAAAAAAAAAATATTACAAATTCTGTTTGATTCTGGCCTATTCTGGATTGTGGATTCATTTTTTTTTCTTCTCGTGTCAATGGCTTTGGTATTCCGTGTTTTTTTCGGCATAAAAATAAAAAGCTCCAAATAGAATTCTGGTCACGATTATCGCAGATCATTCATTCATTCATTCACTCTATAGTGGTCATGCAGCAGCTACGGATCAGATCAGATCTGGGTGTTGGTGATGTTGGCGTTTTTTTTTTTGGCTTGGCTTGGCTTGAAAAAAACACTTGATTCGATGCTGGATAAATCTAATCATCATCATCATCATCATGGATTATCCTCATACACAGGTCTATGGCCTGTATATGACACATGTTTCAAATGTTCTCAAAAAAAAAAAAAAATTTGTGAGGTTCTGGTAACCACCAACACAAAAAAATTGTGTGTGTATGTCATCAATTAATCATTAAATTATGAAATGGGTTTGGTCATTCTCATCGAGAATACCGGTGGGTGGTGGTGGTGGTGGTGTTTCAAAACCTAACCTAAAAAAAAAAAAAAAACACGACAACTTCCCCTTCTCTCATAACCTCTATTATGCATAACACCATTGAGCTTTGCGTGTCAAATTCAATACACACGAAAAAAAAGAAAAAATCTCTCTCATCGACACATATAGAGATAGATGATAATCGAGAGAAAGAGATTTAAGTGAAACCAAGCAAACAAACAGATAAACAAACAAACAAACAGACAAAAAAAATTATGACCCGGTTTCCTTCGATTCAATTGTCCATTCTATTCAACATCGACAATAATAATTTTGTGATCTATTTTGTTGTTGATCGTTTTTTTTCTTCTGGCCTTCATTTTTTTTTGGGGGGAAATTTTTCTTCCATTACAACAACAATGTATCACGATGTTGTTTTTTTTTTGGTTTAGTTTCTCACATCATTTTCTAAAGGATTGGAAAAAAAACACCACCACCACCACCACAATATTTCAATTTTTTTCCCACCACATGCTTGCCAGCTTATTATACATACACACACACAATGCAGACATCTTTTTTTTCATAACTTTTTTTTTGCTCCAATTTTTTTTCTTCAAATTATTCTATAGAATTTAAATTTTGAATGAATGATGAAAAAAAATTTTTTAAATAATCATGTGCTGAATCAACATTACACATGATGATGATGATGGTGATCATTATCAAAAGGATAAGATGACCTTTCTATAATCATTGTCTTTATAGATTTTTATCCATTCACACACACACACAATGGTCATTTGAAAAAAATTTTCCATTTTTCAATCACCATTCCACACACACACATACACACACAAAGCATCATTCATGAGTTTTCATTTGGATAATAATGGACATGAAACGTAAGATTTTGTTGTTGTTGTTGTTATTGTTGAAATTGATTATTATTCAATATTTATTAGATGATGATATATCGATTGGTGAACGTTGTTTTCTTTTTGTTGATGAATGAGGTGGCTGTGGTTTTGTTTTTGATGATAATTTTTGACTTTTACGTTTGTTACTACTACGATAATGATGGCGATTATTATTATTATTGTTGTTGTTGATGATGATGATGATCGTCGTTGAATTTCGTCACTACTACGTGTAAAAATACGTGTTATTTGTTGAAATAATGATATTTTACCAGTATCCATTGATCGTACTGTACGATTATATGCTGATAATGATGATGATTTTCGTTGACGAATGGCCAAACTTTTCACTGCTAATAATATAATTAATATAATGAATCCAAAGATTATAATGGTCAACATTGCCAATGTTAAATAACTGATTGCAATCAATGGTGATGGAATTTTTCCTGGACATATAAAAAATGAATCATAACTTTGTTTTCGTACCGGATATGAATTATGATTAGGATCATGATAAGCATTTTCATCAAATGAATAAATGTAATCTTTACCAAAAAGATAGAATTTTTTACCGGCAACAAAACCTTTCAAAATTGGCCAATCAACCGGATTCGTACAATCACGACCATCCGGATAGATGATAATTTTTTTTATATCACCCGAATCCACTGAATAACAAATGGAACGATAATCATTTTCATTAATTATTTGTTGACTTTTGGTTATTGTTGATGATGAACATCTATAGGTACCAATTTGAAATTGATTATTATGACGTTTTATAGCATAAAAATGACATGGTTCTGTTGTTGATATTAACACTTCTTTCCATTGAGCCGTAAATGACCAGCCATCGATTATTGTTGATTTTTCCATATTAAAATTAATACCATTATATGGTGAATTTGGTTTGGTTGTTAAACATAACCAGCTACCATCATTATCGATAACAATAAATGCATTATAAATATCAAATTTAATTAAACGAAATCGATGATAATCGGCCAATGTTGGATATTTTTCCTTCAATGGTATTGGTTTAGCATTTAGATATAAATTATCGATAGATGTTTTCAATTGATTACGTGCAACTTCATATACATCGAATGATTCTGTTATAACAATCACATGATGACGTGTTAATCCAACAGCCATTATATTTAATTTAACACGTGGATTCCTAGCATGATGATCATTACTAGAGTTGCATAATCCATTCTTAAAAACAAAACAAAACAAAAAGAATTAAAGAATCTGCCATTAAGGAATATACAAATGGACTTACATTGTTTGTTTTGATGTCTGGTGAATTATCACCACCAATCATGATGAATTTGATTACAATTAAACCGATGGTAATGTGAAACAATAAAAACATTTTTTTTGTTTGTAATCACCGAAATATTAGTTTTCAGAACACAAATTATTTTATATTACTACATTTCAAATTTAATTTAATTTTTTTTCTTCATTTTCGGCTTTTTTTGTGTGTTTTTTCTGGAAAAAAAAAAAAACAAAAACAAAAACATGGCAAAAGAAGGGGACAACTTATTTTTCACTTTCATTTTAGTGATGATGAAATGTAATTTATGGGCAACCAAAACCACAACCACACGAAAATCGAAACCATACACCCCATTGAATAAATGTGATCATAACTTTCAAACAAACAAACGTCATGTGATGTTGAAACCACATCATCATCATCAAATGATTTAAGAGGGGTGAAAAATTTTTCTATGATGCACACACTGTTTGTTTGTTGTTTGGTTGATTGTTTTTGTTTTTGTTTTTTCTTTGCAATGTTTTCTTTTTTCTTTTTGGTATCCATTTTCGCTAAACCAAACACACACACACACAGAAAAAACCAACATAAATGAGCTGCAAATTGTTTGGTTTTGGTCTTTTTTTTTCACAAATCAAATATTTATCCATACGTGAAATTGAGAATACAGAAATTGCAAAAAACGAAAACAAAAAAAACAAAACGAAAACGAACGCAATTCGCCATATAGCTAGAGGGTAGAAAAAATAGAAAATAAAATAAAAAATTTGTTTATTTATCGTTCGATTGTGGTTAATTAACCCTTTGTTTTGATTGCACATAAATTAGGGTAGGGAAATAGAAGAGTGGATTTAACACACACACACACACACACACACACACAAAAAAAAATAACATTCGAATTCGAATTTGAATTTACATTGACATACGCCATCTAGTGTTGAAAATTCTTAAACTTGAATATATGAAATTTTTATTTTTCGGAAAAATTCTATTTACATTTTTTTAATTTTTTTTTGTTTTTGTTTTAATTTAATTATTATTATTATTGTAATTAAAATTAAAGAAAACCATCCATCGATTCAATTGTATCAATCATAATATTCAATATTGAACCATATTTTTTACGTTTAGCTAGTTGATGTTGTTTAAGTTCCAATGGTTTCAGATGATCACAACGATTTGTAAATTCATTATAATCACTGCAAGCCACTGATATGATATCACTAGAAAGTCCACGTAAAAAATCTAATGCAATTTCTTTATCATTATGTATACATGGTATTGTATCCATCCATTCATCACCACAACGTACTAATTCAGCATAGTAGCTAAATATGAAAAAAAATGAATGTAAATTTAGAAAAAAAAATTTCATTTTTCATTTCAAAAAAAAACTTACCAACAGACATATTTAATTTTTTCTTTACTACTTATACCCGATGGTATCAATGCCGATGTACTGTTCATCATGCCCACTATACAATCATCATCTTTAATTCTTGTATTCAGACATCCAGCTAATTTCAATAGATTTTTTAATTTTTTATTCGTTGGTTTTTTATTACAAAAATATCGAATGTTACGTTTCAATGTATACAGAACAATATTGGCCAATTTTTGTATATCACGTTCATAACATTCATGAAGATATTCATCAATATATTTAACCATAACACGTGTTTCACTAATGTAAAAAAAAATTCGAATCATTTGTATCAAATTGTTGATATTATATTGTTTTGATTATTACTTACTTGCAATAAGGTTTTAATTGTGCTCCATTTTCCGGAAATGGTCGTCCTCTTCTACCAAAACCAATCATACGTTCAATATAAAGATCTACTTGTGCCATACGTTGTCGTTCTAAACATTGTGGTTTATCCAATATCCAACGAAATGGTTTCATTGTCGAATTGTTTTTTATACCACCACCACCACCACCACCACCACCATTTCGTCGATGTACACTAGCAGATTCAATTGTTTTATTGATTATCAACAGAATCAATATACTAATAATAGCCGATGATTTCATATTGTATAAAAAATTCAAAAAAAAAAGAAAAATTAAATTCTTTTCATCCACCAACAACACCATCACCACCACACAGTACACAATGAATTTCATAAATGAATGAACGATGTAAATCTGTTTTTTTTTCTTCTATCTCTTTCTTCATATCATTGACACAAATAATTCGATATAATAATTGAATCTGGCGATTACGAAGTAAAAAAAAAACGACGAATCTCCTCTCTTATGATATCGGTTCTTATTAAATTGTGTATTAACGTGGATGATGGAGAGACGTTTATTTTTCTCTTGGCGGGATATGACCATCAATAATAATAATAATAAAAAAATTGTCATACATATGCATCATTTGTATATATGGAAAAAAAAGGATGTATGTCATAAACATGTGACAAAAAATCTATATGCGAAAAAGTAAAAAAAAAACTTGTTAGCAAATTGAATTCCAATAAAGCAAAAAAAAAAAAAAAATAAAATAAACAAACAGTGATGAAAAGCAATTATCAATGTCCATCATCAGCAACAAAAAAAAATGCATAACCTTCAACTATTATTAACCATTTTATTGAATTTGATTTATTAAATTGATAATTTTGATAATATACGAATATACTATAAACTTACCATTCATTATTGGCCATCGGCAAAATAACAAAATGAATAAATTGATTGATTCGATTCTCCTTTCCGTAATCAGATCAATGATTTTTTTTTCTTTTTGTTGAATTTATATTCATTTTTTTCTCTTCATCGATGGATCGCTTCATATACATTCTGAATTCGAATACGCATTTTGGATGTGATGTTGATTCTATCATAAAAAAAATCCACGATGATGGTGATGAAAAAAGGCAAAGTTTGTCCCATTTTAGAAAATTCATGAATTTTTTTTTTGTTGCTTTTTAATCCTTTCTTTTTTTTATTCATTCTTATTGATGATGACGGTCATATCAATGATTAATTTATTCAAATTTTTCAATATGCAGCACAAGAGCTTGTTGTTGTTGTTGTTATTGTTGTTGTGGAATTCAAGTAGTGACCGATATGAATTTTATAATTTGTCTCTATCAAATTACACATACACACAAAATCTGATTGATCGATCGATCAATGGCCTTTTTTTGCTATTAGATTAACAACAACAACAACAACAAAAAAAACACGAATCATTACACGATCAATCATTGTATATTTATTGGAGTAGGGATGGTTTTTTTTCGATATCCAGGTATCTTATCAAATCGAATGAATAAAATGACTATTTACACACAAGAGAGATGATGGATCGATTCGATTTTTTTACATTTATTTTGCAAATCATTTATTTTCGTATTTTTTAGTTAAATTCAATCATTTTTTTTTCTATATGCGTACGTTTATTTTTTCTCTTGGTTTTTTGATCGTCGTTTTATGGCCGTTGTTTTCATTGATGACGACGACAATGACCAAGATGATGATGATGAATATGAAACACTTTTATTTCGTGGCCATATTTTTACATGTTTCAATGTCAATGTATCATTATTTTTCATTGTACCAGTTAATGGATCAAATGGACAATTTACCATTGATTGCTGTGTTGTTTTATTAAACGAAGATGATGAAGAACGATCTTTACGATTTGTTGTCATTGTACGCGATGAAGATTTTGAATACGATAATGATGGTTCTTTTATACTCATTTCATGCATAAATTCATCAATTTGTTCAGCTTGACTAATTACTTTTGGATCAATTTGTACGGACATTGTTGTATGATGTTTTGGCAATGATTTTGCTCTTGACATAATATATGGTTTCAATTGGGTATCTGAATATGATATCGATATATCGGATGGAAATTTTAGATCCAAACAATTGGAAACATTCGATGATTCTTGTCCATTATTTTTTGTTACCGTATTGAGAAAATTATCCACTGGTTTATTATTATTATTATTACGTGATAAAAATTTTCGCCATCCTGGTTTCTTTTGCAATGATGATGGTGATGTTTCATTCTTTTTCGTCGATGACGACAAAGTTGATGATGATGGTGAAGATGATGATGATGATGGTGGTGGTGATGGCAATTGTGATTTTTCCAACAAACATTGACACAATGATATACAAGAACATTTTCGTTTTCCTGTTGATGATTCATCACTTTTATAAACATTCGATGGTGGAAATTCCCAACGTTCCGTTTTAACTGTGGTCAATTCTGATGATTTTATTTCACTATGATAATGATCATCATTGGATGATGATGATGATGATGATGATGATGAAGAAATATTTGATTCAATATTCAAAGATTTATGGTCCATTAATGATTGAATCCAAAATGACCAAAAACAGAAAAATTAAATTATGCTCAAATTGTTTTTCGGTCCTGTTATATTTATGGATATATGAAACACAAAAGAAAAAATTCTAATTCCACCACCAACACCACCACCACCAACAGCAAGAACAACAATGACAATTGTTGCTAAAATTTTATATAAATATCCATTTTGAATTAATTTACAATGTTCGACGATCAATATGAAGCCGTTGAATAATTTTGTCAACTTTATTGTATTGATCCGATTGATTATAATGGTGTTAATAATATTGCCATTGTCGCCATATTATTATTGTTTGAATGATGATAAATCGGCATTATTATTGACAAATCCACCGCCATATAAACCGTATTATAGATTTCCAGATCAATGTCCTGATTTGAAAAAAACAGAAATTGAAATTACAAAAGAAACTTTAAGTGAAGAATATTATAAATGTCAATCTAATCATATTGAACGATGGCGAATAACTGCTGATCATTATGTAAGTTATTCAGTTGTTAATTTTTTCATGTTTTTACAAATTTTTTTTTTCATTCGTTTTGATTTTAACACAGTACACGGAAAGCGAACAATTCTGTTGTTTTATATGGACAGTATTATCATGTGAACAGCCATTATTAGCCGTATGTAATAGAACTTATTCACAATTGAATGATGAAGAAACGAAACGTTTATTTCGAAAATCTTGTGATCAATATACTACCTGTGATGATGGAAATAAATCCGGTACTGATTGGACATTAATTTTAACAATTGGTGGCATAGTTGTAACGGGTTTAAGTTTACTTGGCACTGCAACTTATGCTATTAAAAGATTCAGAAGTTGGCGTAAATATCGAAATATGGATAAAGAGGCTTTGGATAAATTAAAAAATGTCAATTCATTTTTAAATGAACGAATCGAAACAGAATATTCGAAACTTACAACAGAGGCTGATGCACGAGAAAGTGTTGCTAATCTGGATGGTAGTGGTGGTGGTAGATGGCAATTCATTAAAAATTTGGATAAATTAGGTGTCGGAAAATTCTTTCGGAATATGAAGTTGAAAAAACAAGCTAGAACAAATGTTTATAAGGATTTAGATGAACGACCAAAAGAATTTTGGCAATCATTTTTTGATGCTAATAACATTAACGAAATTCCAATCGAAGATGATAGAAAATCACAATTGTCAACAGGACAATTGTCTGATAGCGGCGTCGAAGCCGAACCAGGACGATTGAGTAAATTTTTTCAATCCTTCAATTTTTGGAAAAAGACACCAGATTTAACCGGATTAAAGGATGTGGCGAGTGAAACGGGACAAGGTCTGAATGAAACTTTGGAAAACTTAGCAGAAACAACTGCTGATGGTTTGAAAAGTGCTGCCGATATCGCATTACCAGTTCTTACTGAGGGCACAAAAGCTACGGCACAAACAACATGGTGGATGACAAAATTTTTGGCTAAAGTTGGATTTGAAACTGGTAAACTTGGATTGAATGTTACTAGAGCTGTAGTATCACCACTTTCTGAGGTCGCTACTGATGTCCTTTCGGATACAGTACAAGCTCTCGATGCAGTTGCACCGCAAATTGGTGAAGCAGCAAACATAGCTGCTGAAGGTACGTTAGAAGGTATCAAGAAAACAACACCGCTTGTGGCTACTCTAGCCGGATCAGCCGTTTCTGGTGCGGCAAAATCAACATGGTGGGTGGCAAGATTGTTGGGCAAAGGTAGCTATGAAGCTGGTAAATCTGTTATATACGGGCTTTCAAAAGGTGTTGCCATTGGTGCAAAAAGTGCATATCAACATATGACTAGTAATGGTAGTGTTAATAATGGTGGTGGTGTTAATAATAATGTTATTAATGCCAATAATAATAATAACCGACCAAATTTACCAAGCAATTTTAATTATCCATCTCGTGCACCACCAGCACCATCTCCACAAAGAAGTAATGAAATTCGACAAATTGTTCCTGTTCCTGTTCCTGGTGGTGGTAGTGATCCTAATCGAACATTACGATATCTTCCTCATGGTGGTGGTGGTGGTGGTATTAGACCAAGTATTAATCAACAACATAGAGAAATTGTTAGAATACTACCTCGTCCTGATCTTCCTGATATTGATGATTTATTTAAATAATAAAGATGAAGAAGTATATATGCCGCTTAATAATTAAAAAAAAAAATCATAAAAAAAACAAATAAATGAATGAATTGAAAAAAAAAATATTCTCCACATTAATTTAATAATTATTTACATAGATGGCGACACTTTTTGAATATTATTATTTTTTTTAGAATTAGAAATGGAAAAAAATTAAATCATGTTTTGATTTGTTTTGATTTGATATGATTTTTCATTTTTTATCGTATACAACACATTCTTGTGAAAAAAAAATTCTAAAACCATGGTCAAAAATTATTATATAAAATACATTTACGAATGAATTCCCAATGGTCGAAGTGTGATCACAATAACATAACAACAATAATAAAATGCCAATCAATTTTGGTATTCTATTATACGTTATAATTGTGATCCAAATGTTTGTACCATGTTTTGTTTGTTTGACTAAATCGAACCAACAACCGATACTATTGACAAATCCACCACCATATAAACCGTATTATAGATTTCCAGATCAATGTCCTGATCTAAAATCATCGAATGTTGAAATTTCAAAAGAAACTTTAAGTGAAGAATATTATAAATGTCAATCTAATCATATTGAACGATGGCGAATAACTGCTGATCATTATGTAAGTTATTCAGTTGTTAATTTTTTCATGTTTTTACAAATTTTTTTTTCATTCGTTTTGATTTTAACAGTACACTGAAAGCGAACAATTCTGTTGTTTTATATGGACAGTATTATCATGTGAACAACCATTATTAGCCGTATGTAATAGAACTTATTCACGATTGAATGATGAAGAAACAAAACGTTTATTTCAAAAATCTTGTGATCAATATACTACTACCTGTGTTGTTGAAACAAAATCTGGTACTGATTGGACATTAATTTTAACAATTGGTGGCATAGTTGTAATGGGTTTAGGTTTACTCGGTACTGCAACTTATGGTATTAAAAGGTTCAAAAGTTGGCGTAAATATCGAAATATGGATAAAGAAGCTTTGGCTAAACTGAAACTAATGAAATCATTTTTAAATGAACAAGTTGAAACGGAATATTCGAAACTTGTAACAGAGGCTGATGCACGAGAAAATGTTGCTCGTCTTGATGATGGTGGTAAATGGCAATTTATTGAAAATTTGGATAAATTAGGCGTCGGAAAATTCTTTCGAAATACGAAATTAAAAAAACAAGCGAAAACAAATGTTTATAAGGATTTAGAAATGTTTTCGCAATCATTGTTTGATGCTGCCAAAACTAGCGACATTCAAATCAATGATTTATCACAAGTGGGTTTAAAATCTGATATAGTAGATAAAGCAACGATATTGAGTACACCAAAAGCTGTCTCATCGCAAATTGATCCATCAAAAGCTGTCTCATCGCAACTTGATCAGATAAAAGTTGTTTCATCGAAAATTGATCCATCAAACGCTGTTTCATCGCAACTTGATCAGATAAAAGTTGTTTCATCGCAACTTGATCCATCAAAAGCTGTTTCGTCGCAACTTGATCCATCAATAGCTGATTTATCAAATGTTGCCTCGTCGCAAATTGATCCATCAAAAGCTGTCTCATCGCAAATTGATCCATCAAAAGCTGTCTCATCGCAAACTGATTCATCAATAGCTGATTTATCAAATGTTGCCTCGTCGCAAATTCATCCGGAAAAAATAGATTCTTCTAGTGTTGCACAACCGCCTTTAAAATCGGATATGTTGTCAGAAACAATAAGAGACGAAGCAAGTCAAGGAGTAACTGATACAATAAAATCGTCATTCGCTGGTTTGAGGGAAAATTTGCCAGATACATCGGAAGTAGTTGGAAGTATTACAAAAACTTTGGCTTATGCTGGAGAAACAACTTTATCGGCAGCCCGAAACGCTATAGAAAAAACATCATCAATTGCTTCTACAGCTGCTTCCGCTGCTACAAATGCAACATCATGGATACAAGGAGCGGCCCATAAGTTACGATCTGGTTTTAAATCGATCTTCAATCATATGACTACCACTAATCGCCCAAAGAATGATCAACAAATGAATGAATCAAACATTATGGAAAATATCGTTGATCCATTAAAATTAGGAGAAGAAACAACGAATATTGATAAACATATAAAGATAACAACGAAACAAATGTCTGATTTTGAACTAATGCTAATGGATGACTATCATTTTTATTATTAAAAAAAATGGACTATATGGGTTTCCGAAATTAACATCTGGGCCATAATGATGTTGATAAACTTTTATAGTCAATTTTAAGCCTTAAAATATCAATGTTTATAAATTTTTTTTTATTTCAATCAATTATTCAAAAAAAACAAATAAAATTTTCAATCAATCAATCAATCACTAATCAATACATTAAAAACATTCCACATCAGCCATTGAATCTGGTAATTTTTTACCTTTCGTTTCAGGCAATACTATGGTGACCAAACCGGATGTCATTGTGAGTAAACCAATAACCAAAAATGGAATCGATTCACCATACTTATTCTACAATGGAATGTGATTAAATAATTATCAGTTTTTTTCTTCTGTTTATTATTCATACATACCAAACGTAAAAGATATGGTGCTATCATTGCGGCCAATCGTGCAGCAAATGAACAAATACCTATACCAGTTGTACGTGATGGTGTCGGAAATATTTCGGCCGTATAAACAAAAATCAATGCAAATGATCCGGAAATGCTCATTTTGCCCATAATTGCCATAGTCATTTTTATCCATCCACCTGTTTCAGCATATGAAGCAATCATACAGCACATACCACCAAATATTAATATACCAATAAGATAATATTTTCTGGTAATATTGCCAACATATATACCAATTATGATGCCCGGAAATTCAATTATCATTAACAATATCATCGATAGATAAATATTTGAATGAATATCATGAGCAAGAAATGAAAGACCAAAATAAACCAATGCATTGGTGAACCAAATGAATAGAAATGCTATTGTCCATAATCGAATCAGACGATGTTTAAATAGATCTATGATTGAACATTTTTCTTCACCGCTTGCATTACTGTTTTGTTGAGCCATAAAAACATCAATCATCTTATTATCACCCGATGATGATAGTATTTTACTTTGATTCTTTTTCGCTGCAGCCATTATACGATCCATAGCTTTTGTATGCTGTCCCGATGAATATTGCCATCGTATCGATTCGGGCATTATACTTTTGATTAACAAAAAGAAAAAAAAAGTGGATTGAATTTAAAAAAATGATAAATAAATTCACTCACAATGGATATGGTAACATGATTAGAGCGGGTAATAGATTGGAATATTCAATCATACGCCAATTACGAAACCACCAAGAACAAATGCAAGCATAAATAGCACCCAATGCGAATGATAAACTAGACAAATTACCAAGCCAAAATCTCCAATTACCACCCAAACATTCCATTGCGATGGCAAATGCTGATTGAAAAATGCCAGCAACACATGTTCCTTTTATGAACAATCCAAAACCATAAAGCCAAACATTGGGTGTCCAAGAACTCATCAGTATACAGATGACCAAAAGTGGGCTATAAATCTTGAATATGAATCGTCTACCATATCTAATATAATTTTGATTTTTTAAATCATCAATCACATATAATGGTATGAAACGAAACAATCGATACTATCAATACATACTTATCGGCAAGAATTCCATTGAAAACAGCACCGATTAAATTTCCGAAAAAATATAAAACCTGTAATAATTGTACAATCCATTCACGATGACAATAAAGTTGAAAATCCGTAACAATTGTTGATTCAAAATATTGTTGATCAAATACAAAACTGGAGCAGATTTCTATCGTTTCATTGTCGAATAAAAATTGGCTACATGATTCGTTTGATGATTTGAATTTTTGGCCATATTGATGGCAGTTATCATAACGATTATCTGCTGATACTTCATCCATAATTAAAGGTATTGTAAATTTTAAAAAAGATTGATTGAATGATTCAGATTTTTCATTTGTAATCAACGTATTTGAGGAATCGCAATTTGGAATCATACATCTATTGATTATAAGCGAATGAAGCGAATAAGGAATCGAATCGATCAAAGCCTGAAAAAAAACACTTACCGATGTTGTGGGATGCTTGTTGTGAATACCATTGCTGGACATAAAATACCGGCAATAAACATTGGTAATGATGCCAGTATATATACCTGCCATTGATATGTACCAATGTGGCCTAAATATTTAACCAAAATATCATCAATGGTGGTAACCGATTCTGGTCGTTGCTGTTGTTGTGGTTGGATCATTATTATTATTAACGGCGTAATGTATCTTTTATTCTAATTGATAATTGATGATCAATTCTGATGCTTTTGATGTATTTTTATATTTTGACCTAGATTTCAATGGCCATATACTGTTTCTTCTACCACATTTACACAGTATGAATGAATGTTTTATACACAGCTATACAGTAACAATTTAATAATTCTTGATGATGATGTTTTTTTTCCTGTTCTTACTTTCATCGAATATGCAATGCCGATTTATGTGAATACTGATTATAATATTGTATAAAAATGGTGATATCTATGTCGTCAAAAAGTTCGTCGGCATCCTATTAATAATAAGAAGAAGAAATCTGATATTAAATTTTTCAAAAACTATATTATTATCATCATCATCATCATCATGTTATTAATCATCATTATAATGATGATAATGAATGAAAATCATTCGAAAACATGAAAAACACGTGATTAAAATTAATGTACTCAAGTAAATAAAGAAAATTTAATGTCGTAATCAATAATAATTATCAAAAAAAAACGAATTGATGATGACAAATAACGATTGATTTAAATTGGCAAGCAAATTGAATCAAAAAAAAAAAAAAAAAATTAGACCACGATGGATAAATAATTACAAATCCATCAAAATGTTGCCATTACCGATTGTCAATACTGATTCCTGATTCTGTTTTTCAAATTCTCAGTCTGTATAAATACATCGGATTCTGCATTCATCATATAATACAGATAATACCATACATTTAAATTCATTCAAAAAAAAAACGCGGTCAAATATTTCCGTTCATTGTATCATGTATATCCGTGTATATAATATTTATATACGTTTCTACTAATCTCTTTGCCGTTATAATTTTTTTTTTTAATACCCGGACGCCTTGTCATACAAATGACGCCGGCGACTATAGTATCCAAAAAAGCTATCGGCAACAACAAAAAAAAATACACACACGGTAGTGGTTAATGATTGTCTTGAAAATCATCATCTGTATCTGTACTGTTTTTCTCAATATATACGCGCGGACAATCAAAACAAAACAAGCAAGTTTGTGAGCCAACTGCATGATGCTAGTATTTGTGTGTGTGTATGTATCCACAATTGATTGAATGAATCCACCGAAAAAACATACATACATACAGAAGAAGTATATTATTATTATCCATTAAAAGATTTTGATGATCATCAAACACAAAAATCGATTCTTTTCATTTTTTGATCAGCAGTTTTTTTTTGATATTCAATTTGTGTTTGTGTTTCTGTGTGTGTGTGTATGTTTGTTTCAATTTCTTCTAAATTCTTGATTCAATTTTCAATGTGTCTTGGCCAAACTACAGTAATAATGATGATGATCGAATTCAATCGATTTGTACCGGATTCTATGTCATCAATCAAGCATCAATCAACTTTTAGATGGATTATCGATTAATCACAAGGTAGGTAGGTGTGTATTTTGTACTCTATGTCCATTATGTTTGATTCAGTGATTGCCAAAACAACAACAACAAGAGCAATCATCGAAGAGAATCGGCGTTGATTTTTTTTTCATTTTTGAATGCCAAATTTTTATCAAAATAAAAGTTTTTAAAATATAACCACCACATGCATAAAACAAATCAAAGAAACAAAACATGCATAGTCATCATATGAATGAAGCATGAAATGTGAAATGATTTATTCGTGTGTGTGTGTGTGTGAATGAAAATATCCAAATGGTAAAAAAACCATCTAAACCCTTCTCTGCTTCGAGAATCGGAATATTCTTTTGGCATTCATCATTCATCCAAAAAAAATATTCTTTTCCTCATTTGTTTTTTTTTTTTTTTTTGGAAAACCAGAAATCTAGTTCAAATTGACTATATAGAACTGCCACTATTACCACTAGTCCATTCTCATTCTATAGAATTGAATTGAATCAAAATAGTCGATTATTATCGAATTCATTGATTTGATTTGATTTTCGAATAATTATTTATTTTCAATTTAAAAATTGAATAATTTTGTTTCAATTTTCGGATTATTATTAAAACTAAAAAAAAAAAAATAATACGTTTTCTTTATCGAAAAAAGAATTTTCAAGACCATTTTATGCATTATTAATTATTATTATTAGATGTCATCATCATCATCATCATCATCATCATCAGAAGCAGCAACGAATAAAAACACCGATAATATTAATAATAATAATACTTATAATAATGCTGATAATAACAATAACGATAACGATAACGATAATTTTAGTGTGGAAATTATTGAAAAATATAGATGGCTACAACAATGTAAATTAGTATTACAATATCTTATACTTAATCTATGTACAATGGCTATCGTTTTAATTGTTGTTACCTATGGATTGGATCTATTTCATACGATAAGAAGCAGTAGTAGTAGTAGCAGCAGCAGCAACAACAACAGAAATGGCCAACATCAAGATAATGTTGATGATAATGATTTTAATGACAACAACAACAACAACAACATTACGACCACAACAACCAGTAAAATCATCAGTAGCAGCAAAATTATAATGACAAGTACTGTTAAAAAACATTTTGAACCAACAAATCGTACATTAGTTTTAATGATAATTATTATTGCAATGATCATATTCATTATTGTATTCTTGATCGGTATCATTGCTGTTATTGTTGATGATCATCGTCATATAATGACAATATTTCTTTGTTTAATGATAGCAAATTGTAGTGGTTGTTTAGCTGCCGGTTTCATACAAGGTGATGGTATTGATCATCGTTGGCATTTTTGGCCAGTATCATTTATTTCATTTACATTGATTTGTTTATCATCTACACATGTTGCTATTAGCTATAAATTAGGACGATTACCCGATTTAGATATGACGTCATCATCATCATCATCATCATCAATGGATACACGACGACGACGACCATTCCCATTACGAAAACAATTACAACGATCATTGCTATCATCAATAAAAGGAAAGAAAAAATCAAAAAAAAAGAATCCTAATCATCATCATCGTCATAGATTGTTTGAAACAATTTCATTAGATAGTATTGATAGTAATGAACAAAGTTTTAATTCGAATCCTTCATCAGTTTAATTAATAGTTAAAAAATAAATCATTTTTTTTAGATCGTTTTGAAAATTATTGAATTTATTTATTTATTCTTTAAATATTAATGCGAATACTTTTAGATTCTAATCTTCTTGGTGTATAACCACGAATGAATATTGGTGGTTGACCATTATTATTATTATTATTCGATGATGATGATGATGATGAATCATTTATATTTCGATCTCTAGATATTGATTTTGATTTCGATGACGATGATGATGATGATGATGCGGGTTGTTTATTTTGTATTTGTTTTTGTTTTTTTCGCCGTTTACGATTGTGATTATGTGATGATGATGATGTTGATGTTGATGTAGAATTTGTCATTAAACTATCCGATGTTTCTGATGATGATAATGAACCACGTGATGATAATATTGTTGTCGTAGTGCTCATACATTTAATATTTGATAATGATGATTTAGATGATGAAAATGATGTTTGTTTTTGTTTTAGTAATACTTTTTTCACTAAAATCAACATAAATGATGATGTTAATAGAACAATAAAACTATCGATGGCCAATAAAAATTGCCAATATTGATTCGATATTAAATAGATTGCAAATGAATGTACAATAATGAATAAAAGAAATAATAATAACCAATCAAGTCTTTCACGTACAATGCTTACAATACCAATTAGATAGATTATTATGGAAATTGTACTGTATCCCATTATTAATGCCATTGTCATTTTCTGTTTCGAAAAAAAATTTTCATATAAAATATGATTCGATAAAAATTTTTACAACAACTTACAATCTGAACATTTTGTATAAGAATTGTATCACTGGTAAAATGTTGTTGTTGTTGTTGTTGTTGTTGATATCTCCAACGATCCAATGCAATCATAACGATTCTTGTATTGAATACAATTGTCATAATAATAATGGCCAATGAACAAAAAACAAATGGCAAACGAAAAAATCGTAAACAACGATTATAAGCTATAATTGATTCATCTTGTCGTTTACGTGATGAATATGTATGATGATAATGATGATATGATGATTGACCAGGAGTTGTCGTAGCAGTTGTAGTAATGTTACGTCTTGAATTTAATGATGATGATGATGATGATGATATTGTTGTTCTATGTTGATTATTATGTTGATTATGTTTCGATGCCATTTTCAGTGTGGTGATAGACACAACAAAAGAGTGGGAAAACATATAGTCAAAATAGCCAAAAAAAACTTTAAATTAGCATTTTATGAATAAAAATCAAATATGTGAATTCGATTTTATTTATAAAAATTGTCGAATCGAATAAAAAAAAACAAAACCAAAAAATTATATAAAATAATTGAATTGTGAAACCAAAAAAAAAAAATTCGATCCTTTTTTTCGATTCAAATGCAATATCATTTGTTTTTTATTTTTATTTTTTTTTTTTTTGTTTATCTGTGTCATTCGACGACCCGAATTTTTGTAATTCATCATCATGATCATGATATCAATGGATATGACAAAAATGTAATTCGAAAACAAATATATCATATGATTTTTATTTTTTAAACATTATGCTCTCTTTCTCTCTCTCTCTCATTTACGATTATTGATCAATTGAAATAGAATCCGTAATCTTGGATGTCGTAATTGTTCAAATTGTGATCGATGTTGATCGAATCGTTGTTTCAATTGTTGCTGTTTTTATTAAGTTGTTGATTTATATTTTGTTTTGGATCACCATCATTAGCCATCATAGCTATAGCTATACCATAACGACCAAGAATTTCCGGTATAGTATTTGTTTGCCATTCATTATAATGATAATTATCACAAAACATATGCCAACGAAATGCATTTATATCGGATTCATATTTACGCATCGATTCTATTATTTTGATACGTTCGTCTTGGTTACTGATATCATCATCATCATCATTGTATTGGACGATAAAGACATTTTTTTTCCACATTCCACATGATATTTGATTACCATTGATTGTTTTTTTATGTTCTTTTTTTATTATTATTAGCCTCCTAAATTAATAAGTTATTTAAGCTGTTAATTATTTCATTATCAAAACACCATATTTTTTTTGTTCTAATTTTTACACACACACACACAGATTGTATTTTTGCGTACTTGTATGTATGTGAGTACATCACTTGTTTACGTGATGGACCATTTTTTGTTTCATATCAGTCATCATCATCGTTATCAATGATTTTTTTTTGTCTGTTGAAAATGTATAGTACCACAATCGGGTTTTTTTTTCACTTGAAAAAAAGTTTGTAATTTTCTTTGTTCTAACTTATGGTTTTTTTTTATTTTATTTTTCTAGAATTCACTTTTTTTTCGTTGTTGAACAATCAAAACAAATGTCCACAGGATTCAAGATAATTAAGAATTCTTGAGCAGAATATTTTCATCGGTCATGATGACCACAGCTACAACAACAACAACGACAACAACAACAACAACAACAACAACAACGACGAATGAATGTAATAAACAAGAAATGCTTTCCAATAATAGTATTCAATCATATGATGATGATGATGATAGATTCATCAATTTTGAATCATTGTCAACAACATTTGTTGTTAATAAGCTGCCATCCACAATTATGACTGATGAACATATTGATGTTGTTGATGATGATGATGATGATGATGATGATTTTGTCATTGTTCAATCACATTGCATTGATGATAATGAATCATCAACAGTTAAATCAATTTCAAATGAACATGAAGAAGATATTGATCGAGATTATGATGATGATGGTGATCTTGATGATGACGATGATTATGATGAACCATATGATAATCAACCACCATATTTTAAAAATCAAATGTCAATTTTATCGAATAAATTATCTGGTCTAAATCGATCGAATTATTTGATGAATGTTGATTTCATTAAAAAAGATGATGATCGTGATTCACTTGTTGGTACCAGTGCTTCAGATGATGAATTAGACTCTACGTCTTGCCATTCTAGAATGATTCTTAATTCTTTGGATGCAAAAAATAAAACACAGTCAATAGAAATGACAACAAAATCTTCAATCAGATTCTGTCCGTTTAATAGTGATAAATCCGATGACGTTTTGATAATCAATAACAATGACCATGATGTTTATAAGAAAACAGCAGCAATTTTAACTAAACATTGTCAACAACAATCATCATCATATTCACAGCAGCAACAGTCGCCACCGCCTTTAACATCACATTCACCAGATACAATTGAATCATCCGATTGTGATCAACATTATCATTTGGACGGTATGGATACAGCGACAACATATTCAACCAATTCATCACAAGATAATTTAACTTCATTATCACCATTACCGTCATCACAGAATATGATGATGAAATTATCATTACCACCATCAATGACATGCACCGATAATCAATCATTACAATCAACATCGTCCATCATTTCATCAGATTCATCATCATCGAAACCGATTATACAATCAATAAATCCGAAATTCAAAAAAAATTATAATCCTGAATTAAGTGACGAATCGATCTCATCATCTGATCATCAACGGCAACGACAATCACCTTCGTATCCTCCATCATCAACATTAACATCTATTCGTATGGCTGTTTCACATTTAACCCGATTGGATGATTTTAATGTAGTCAAATTATCACAGGGTTTTTTCTCACAAGTGTTCAAGGTATGAATCAGTAAATTTGTTTGTATCATCATTATTAATAATCTCCACGATTATTCAGGTTATTCATCTACCAACGGGAAAAATTATGGTACTTAAAATGAACAAAAATCCTGGTAATCGAGGTAATATTGATTTATTTTTCATTATGGCTGCATTACAAATTTAAATTCCTCTTCCCTATAGGCAATGCATTGAAAGAGATTGAATTGTTGAATAAATTAAATCATCAGAATATAGTGGCCTATATGGGAACAGTTGTTCATGAAGGTTTGGTGTATTTGATTTTCTTTTTCAAATAAAATTTAAATTTTACTTTTTGAATAACATATAGGTGGATTACATCCATTATTAGAATACATAAATGGTGGTACATTGGAACAATTGATACAAAAATATTATCCATCATCATCACAATGTAAATGATAATAATAATAATAATAATAACGATAATAAACAGTCACCAAGCATTTTACAAGGAAATGTAACATCAACAAAAGTTCATCGGCTATTGAATCCTGATCAAACATTTATCAAATTAATGCAAGATGTATGCCGAGGTATGGCTTATCTTCATTCCCAGGGTTATCTACATCGTGATCTCGCTTCGAAAAATATTTTTATTCGTAAACATATTTGCGATACTGATTCGATTGGCAATTATAAAACACAATTTGATGATGAACGTTTAGAAGCTGTGATTGGTGATTTTGGTTTTGCAACTGGTGAACCAACAAATAACGAACAAAAACTTTCAATTGTCGGTTCACCATATTGGCTTGCTCCTGAATGTCTCAGTAACAAGTGGTCAGTTTTCAAAATGGTTTGATTAATAATTATGAATAATTTTATGGTTCTCTCATTGACAGGTACAATCATAAATGTGATATTTTCTCCTTTGGTGTCATATGCTGTGAGCTTAATTGGCATACGCCTTCTGATCCGGATTTTCTTCCACGTCTCGATAATTATGCAATTGATTTTGTCAAACTGGAATCGTCTCGTATGAATACATTATTAGCCAAAATAGCAATGATGGCCTGTCAGGTAACGCAAATCATTAGCAATAGTTGATCATTTTTGACAGTATCCTTTATGTTTATCATTACTGTTTAGTATGAATCGGAAAAAAGGCCTGAATTTCAAGAATTATTGTTCATATTCAATCATAATGATGATGATTTGGTAGTATCAGCCGCTAACCATAAACATCAATCAATGACGAATTCTAAACGACCAGAAACGATTGAAAGTGGCTTTCAATTGTTGCCTCGAGTTCAGTTCAAACGTTTCAATAGTTTAGATTCAAACCTGATTCAATTTCGACCAAATAGTGCCGAATCAATTTGCGAATCCCAAGCTGATGTTTGTGAGTGTTAAATAAATATGATTTGATTCATTATACAAGTCTTACATTTTTCTTTCTATTCAGTCGAACAGCATTTACAACGACGAAGACATTCAGCATTGAATCGACATAATTCTGTTCAATCGTGGATAGCGCAATAAAAGATGATCAGAATCAGAATACAATACTGGCAATAGAAGTCCTTTTTTGTTTGTTTGTTTGTTTGTTGATTGTATATATTTTTTTGTGTGTGTTCACATTCTAATTTGTCATTGTTTTTGTTGTTGATGTTTTTTTTATTATATTGTGCAATAATGTTTCTCATATCTAATAATTGTCTATTGCCATACTTAAATTGCATTTTTTTTTGACCTATATAAAAAAGCATTTGGATTTTTGGTCATTAAAAAAAATTTTTTTTTGGTGCCGAATTATCATGTTATTAATTTATTGATGATAAGATGATAATTTGTCAAAAAAAAAGTTGAAAAAGTGAATTCGATTTTTTTGAAGTAGGTGCTGCCATCTATTGACGTAAATACTAACCAATTTCAGAGATGGCAATAGTATCGCTCTTTATACGATTTTTGTTGAATTAAAATTCGATCAAAAATTTTTTTTTTTTTTTGATGTGATTAAAAATATAAATTTTATTTACAGGATTCATAAAGTTTACGACGATCAAAATTACTGCGAAAGATTGATGATATTTGGCCCAAAGGAAAAACAGATTTTTTTTTGTGCATCATTCATTCATCAACAAAACAAGTCAGTGGTCAGTTATCAAAATCAATTTCATTGTGTGTGTGTTTGTGTGGACCAAAAAAAAAAAAATATCGACTGATTGGTGATTGTCAAACAGAAAAAAAAATTATTTCCAGTTGAAATTAATGAATCTTGTCTTGCGATAAAATGATGATGATGATGATGATGGTAAAGGGTAAGTGAAAAAAAACCCAATCAAGTCAAAATAGTAATGTATTGAGTATCACAATATGGTAAACATGATGAAGAAAGATAGAAAAAATGGATTTATGTTTGGGTTTCGCTACTATAAAATAAAAAAAACATCAAAATTTTTCTACCAACAACAAACGCTCATAAAAAAGGCTTATATAAGGGACTTGTATTTAAAAAATAAAATAAAAATGGATGACAAATAATCATTTTTTTCCATTGATTTGAATAAATGATGGATGGATGGATGGATGATGAGAGGATTTTTACGAATATTTGTTGATTCTTATAAATATATTAAATCATGAATCTCACTATAAATATATTCATATATAATCGTTGTATATTTATAATAATATAATAAAAAATGCAGGCATGCATTTTTGCGTTTGATTGTTTGAATGAATAAATGAATGGTGTGGTGATATTATTCTGCAAATAAAATCCTAAAAAGTCAAAGATTATCATGAAAAATGCAAACCTATAGCATATAGACTTTCGCATAGTTAACGTATTTGATGACGATGATATATCAAGGAAAAATGAAAAAAAAAATCTGGAGAAAAAAAAAAACAAGATCAAAAGACAAAATATATGAAAAGGCCAACACATATGATGTGATTCAATTGCCATCAAAATCATAATGATCATAAGATTATACAACAACGACAATATCTTGTTCGTGGTGTAATCGATGGTGGTGGTGTGGCCGGTGCAAAGTAAGCATGTACTTTCAAATTAGGTAAATGATACTGGTGTGTGTGTGTGCGTAGAACGAGAAAAGAAAAAAAAATATTGAATGATGATTAGTGACATTTTCTAAATACAATGGCCAAATAATACATACTCGCAGACGACGAATTCCTGATTTGGTTATCAATTGACAATCGTAAAGCTCAATACGTCTTAAATTATAGCAAGATATTAGATGATCCAATGAACTATCAGTGATCAATGGACAATTATCCAATTCGAGCACTTGTAAATGTTCGGATGAACCGGAACTGGTACCAATATGTCGAATTCCTTCATCAGTGATTAATTCACAATGTGAAAGACTCTGTATGACAACAGAAATAACAAAGAAAATTTTTTAAATTATTATCATCATTAAAATCATAAAGACACTACTCACCAAATTTTGCAGTAAAGGGCATCCATTTGCCAAATGTGAAAGTGTATTATCGGTAATGAGAATACATTCTTCAAGATCTAATTTTTCCAACGAATGACAATTTCTTGCTAAACGTTGAAAACCATTATCGGTTAATTGATTACAACCGGACACTTCCAATGTAACCAATTGATGACATTGTTGACCCAACGATATCAATGATTGATCAGTCAAATTTGTACAATTAGAAACACATAGATAACGAAGATTTGGACAATTTGAAGCCAAATTTTGTAATGCATCATCAGTAATCTGATGGCAGCCATGTAGATTGACAGTACGTAGTAATTTACAATTCTGTGCCAAATAACCGATTGCCTCATCATTAACATTGGTACACATTTTACTAATAAAGGCACTGAGATTATGGCAACCCATTGCCAATTTTTCAATACCATTTTTAGTGATTTTGTCACAATACGATATATTCAGATGTTCCAGATTTACACATCCAACACTAGTGGCATAATAAAACAAAAAGATGTGAGTTTTATTCTAATAATTAATCAATAAAATTTTTTACCTTAAGGCTATTAATGATAAATCAGTGATCTCTATACACGATCCTAGATTGAGACGAAGTAATTCATGACAATAATGACTAAGCTGTACACATGTTCTGGAGAAAATGAAAAATTTCTCAAATTAAACTTGAACAATTTCTTTGAATCTATTCTACTTACGCATCAGTTATTTGTTTACAATCAAACAAATTCAAAGCTTCAATATTGTTACAATTTTGAGCAAATGTTTTCAATGCCACATCTGTAATACATTTACAGCCACGAAGACTTAGACGATGTAAAAAACCACCACAACGTTTTGATAGATTCTCTACAACACGACCTTCGATTTCGGTTTGAAAATCAAAAAGATCAACACTTTGCCAATTGCTACCATCCAAAGCAAGTACATTCCAACTCTGATTAACCAAGTAAAAGAATAGGTATTTTGTAAATTATCAAATTAAAGAATTTAAAAAATCCACTTACCTTTGATACCTGAGCACAACGACATAATGTGACAACATCCAAATAGGAGAATATACGTAACAATAATTCTTTTGGTAGCTTACGATTAATCAATGATCGATCATTATTATTATCATGATTATTATGATGATCTTTGTTACTATTGTTGTATGCACCATTCTTTGCAGAATTATGATTACCATTGATCGATGTGTTCATATCGCCATTGGTGGTGCTATTGTTTTGGCCACCATTCGTAGCCGATCTAAATATCTGCTATTAACGTCATTGACCATCATCAATTGGAAATGAACAAATTGAAAAAACAAAACAAAAGACAAAAAAAAACAAATTAGTAAATCTTATCATTAAAAAAAAAATTTATTAATTTCAAATTACACAAAAAAAACAAACAAACAAACAACAACAGATTAATTTTTGAGACTATAAAAAAACAGTTATCAATTAATCAAAGCAAAGCAAAGCAAGCAAACAAAAGCGATATACAGAACATAAAAAAAAAAGAATCAAAAAAAAAAAAACAAAGAAACAAGCTGGATAGATAATCAGTATATCTATCTATCTATATAAGAGCTACAATTTATAATCATAGACAACATATAATAATAGAATAGATAACACATGAAAGAAAGAAAAAAAAAAAAGTCGAAACATACTGATGATGGATTTTTCATTAATAAATGTTGTTGAGACATTGTGATTGAAAATGAAAATAAGAATGTGTAAGAAGAATAGTAGTAGTAGTAGTAGTTGAAAATGTAATGAGATCCAAAGAATTTAGGATTTTTATTTTTTTTTTTTCGTTCGATTGTCTCTCTCTCTCTCTGTGTGTGTGTGTGTGTGTGTTTGATTGAAAAATTAATGATTGAGTTTCAAATAACCTGAGTGTGTGAGTGGGTGTGTGTGTGTGTGTAAAGAATTTCCTTCAAATAAATGAGAAAAAACGACTAAATTAATATTTGGTTCAGTAAAAATAAAAAATAAAAACAAAACAAAACAAAACGAACTATTTTCAAAGATTATTTCCAATATAAATGTCGTCGTAGACGTTGTCGTAGTAGTATATTACTTAGTTTGTTGTATATGTGAATGAATCAATGAATCAAAAAAAAGAAAAAGAAAATTTATGAAAGAATAATAATTGAATGAGAATGAGAAAAGAGCTGTTTCGAGTATTTATTTTTAAAGAGATTCTTATAATTCAAATGGATTTGATTATTGTTGTCGTCGTTGTCATAGTCGTCATATTTGTTGTCATTTTGTACGATGATGTGAGCGATGATGTATATGTATGTGTGAATATTATGATTTGATAGATATATTCATATATCAAACAAACAAACAAACAAAGAGGAAAGGATAGGAAAAAAAAGCAGCAAATTCATAATCACCAACCCCATTCAAGACATCCATATACAACAAACACACACAGACACACACACAGAGACACACCAAGCATTCGAATTTGAATGAATGAGTGAGGAGGAGAGCGTAGGAAAAAAAATGGACAATCGCTTATTCATACAGAATCGAATAAATGTTTTTTTGGAATGGAAATCAAGATTAGTTTTTTTTAAACAAAACAAAAAAACATCATTTGAGAAAATAAGCAGCAAAATTTACGTGAGATATCTGCAGATGTCACACACACAATAACAAAAAAACAAAACAAAACAAAAAAAAAAAAACGCGCAGACACCATATGGAAAAAAAACAAGTGAGTGAGTGTGAATGAGTGAGTGAATTATAGTGAGATATATATGGATTCTATATATATATATATGGAAGGAAGATGATTTGAAAGCCAAATCAAATGACAAAAAAAAGGGTTGAAAAAAACAACAACAACAAATAATTAATCAATCAATCAATCAAAATTTCCATTTCTTTTTATTATTATTATTATTATTATTGGAACCTTTATTCGATTATGTGCTTTGAATGAAGTTCGTTTCATGGGTCCACCACTATTTGTTATTGATGAATTATTTGATGATGTTGAAGTCGATGACGATGATGATGATGATGATGATGATGAAGAATTATTATTGGAAAGACAAGTCAACGATTTCATCGTCGTTGATTAATTTTCATAAGAAACAAAAAAAAATTTCAGGGGTCATTTATATATTTATATTTATTATATTAATTATGAAGCAAAAATCGAATCGAAAAATTTCATTGTCATTGTCATTTACTGATTTATAAAAAAATTTTTTTTTTTTTTTACACAATGAATGATGATGATGATGTGTGTGTGTGTATATATGATGGATAATGTTGATGTTGTTGACAATTTAATTTTTAACGTTGTCATCATCATAATAATCACATTATGACGTTTTTATCATTTATTCATTTTTCGATGAACTGTGTGTGTGTGTGTGTGAGTGTGTTGGATGTGATTTTGTTTGTTGACACAAACTAAAAAAGTGTTGTTGTTGTTGTTGATGTTGAAATATAAAAAACCATTATCGATAATAATAATAATAAAAATCTTTTTTTTGATGATGATGATAATCAATGGCACAACTGAGAAAAAAAATGGACTTCACACACACACACACACACACACAATCATACAGTCCAAAAATCAAAAGACAATAAAGGTCTGATGAATGCCGGTGGTCAATAAATGATGATGATAATGATGATGAAATTGATGATTGTGTGTGTGGCCTGTGATAATGTTGTTACAAAGGCAGGCAGTGAGCACATCAGCAGGTGAATTTTTTCATTTATTTTATTTCATTTTTTGTTGTTGTTGTTGTTGTTGTTAAGAATCTTTATAGTTTACTTTTTTCATCATCAGTCAGTGGATTTTAATTTCTTTATATTATCACAAAACATTATTTTTTATGCCATTGGCTCATCTCCACATACAACAACAACAAACAAACAAACAAATCATACACAACACACACACACACACACACAACATACAGACACACTCGTTTAGCAGCTGCGACTTAGCCAAAAAAAAAAAAAAAACAACAACGACGACGACATAGGCAAAGATCCATTTTTGGTTGATTTGTTGGTAATATATTTGCGTTTGGAGCAACAGACACCCCAGAAAAAAAAACGAAAAAAAAAGGCAAACCCTACATCAGGAATGAAAATCAAATTGAATTGAAATATATATATGGGAGAAAAAAAAAGTAACATAACACACACACACACAGACATCGCCATCAATGAATGAATGAATTTGAAGAAAAAAAAAGAAGCCGTCCGAACTTATGTGTGTTGTGTAATAACGTAGTTGTTATTATTGAAGAAAGACACAAAAAAATTAGATATAGAGAAAGAGAGAGAGAGAAAGAAAGTAGTGGCCATCATTTGTTCTCTCTCTTTCTCTTTTTCAATTTTTCAATCATTCGTTCATTTGTAGATACCCACCTGATTATTATTATTATTATTATTATTGTAGAACCAGATCCCAGATAGAAAAAAAAACCCAAGGGATTCTTGTGTCTGTCTCTGTATGCTGTATGTATATATATATATATAAAAAAAAAAAATTACTGCCTAGATGGAGCTATAGCTAGAAATTGGCGCCAAATTTAAAATTATATTTGCCAAAAAAAAACATGGAATTTTTTCATTTTCTTCAAATAAGAATCATATATGAATGTGTGTGTAATATTTATTTCATTAAAAAATATGCAAAAGAGGTGTGTGTGTGTGTGTGTGTTTTGTTTTTGGAAACATGATAAAATCATCATTAATTTCATTTATAGATATTCAAGTGAAAGAATTAATGTAAAAAATATGAATAAATGTGTATATGGTGGTGATGATTGTAATTTTCATTCATTTTTTCAATTTTGTTTTGTTTTTTATATTCCTTATCATTATAATAATAATAATGTAATGTAATTGTGTCTAAATAAACAATTTGATGATCATCAAATAAATCAATTTGTCAAAAAAAAAGATGAAAAGAAATTGTATCTATTATCATTATATGATGATGATGATAATGTCATTCAAACAAACAAAAAAAAGCTCCTAGCACACACTGCTAAATTCAATAATAATTATGTAATGTGAAAAATATTCTTTATATCCATCATAATTGATAGTAGGAAAATTTTCTTCTTTAGAAAAATGTGATGATAATAAAAGTGTATTTTGATGTGAATGATGTTCGAATTTTATGCTGATTATTATGTTGAATGCTTACAAAATGCCAGATTCCGTATTTATATACATGAAATGAGTTTCTTTTTTTTTCTTCAAATTTTCAAGTCCGAATGATGCAAATGTTAGAATGTATAAATGTTGTCACATAGCCACTTAATTATAAAATGAAAAATAAATACTTATCACCACCATTATCTTCAATGTCACTAATTTGAATCATATCAATCACGTGGATGATTGATTTTCATTAGTAGCCGCAGTATTTGTTAGTACAGTGACTGGAACAGCAGCAGATGATGTAGTGGCGGTGGTCACTGTATCATTATTTGATTGTGGAGGTTGTTGTGCTGCTGCTGATGCTAAAGACGCTTGTGGCTGATCATTATTATTATTATTATTACTAATCACTTGTTGTTGTGGAACAATCGGTTGTTGAATCGTTGTCGGAATAATTGCCGGCGCTGCTGTAACAATATTCTGCTGTTCTACGCTAGAATTCTGTGCTGTATTTGTAGCTATTACCGGATTCGTATGCTGCAATTCTGTTGTAGGTATCGTTTCTAATAGTGGTTGCTGTGATGATGATGATGATGACATTGTTGCTGGATCTGAACTAGTCGTTATTGGCTGCGTTGCTGCTGCTGCTGTTGCGGTTCTACGAATGTTGATGATAGTGGTGGTTGTTGTTGTTGTTGCTGATGAACCGGAATATTTTGCACTTGATTCGCATCTAATCAAAAAAAATTAAATTTCCATTATAAAACTGTAATGATGATTTTAATCTTATCAAAATTTGTATTTACTATTAGCATTCAAAGATGGATAATTCATAGGAACAGCTGGTGTAGCCGTTGGTGTATTATTACTAGATTGTTGTTGTTGGGGCATAATCGTTGCTACTGGTTGTTGTGATGTTTGAGGATGAGAAATAACCATTTCAGGCTGTGTGGTTGATGGTGTTTGAAGCGTTTGGGGTAGATCTGAATCTTGTTGTTGTTGTTGTGGAACAGAAGTAATAGATGATAATGGAGGTGCTACATTGGGTTGTTGTTGTAAGGTGGATGACACCGGATGTTGTGGCTTCTGCTGCGGTATGGTCATTTGTGATTGAGGCATTGATGATCCTCCTATTTGTTGATGAGAAGTGGAAAGAAACGACGGATGTTGCGTTTGTGGATTGGAAATTGTTGGTTGTTGTGGTTGAGATTGTTGAATGGCAATTTCTCCCACGGATGGAGCCATCACTACATTGTTACCGACGGGAACATCTGAAATGAAAAAAAAATTATTTTAAACATCATGAAGCATTATCGATCTATTCTACATACTTGTCGCCGAAGGGGGTTGTGGTAGGTGTGACTGTTGTGGTGTCATCCCCGGATGTTGTTGTTGTACGGTTGATGGTATCTGTGGTGGTGGTGGTCGAATCTGCATATGTGGCGCTATTTGTTGAGCAGTTTGTGATGGTGGCGGTGGTTGTGGAATTTGAGAGGCAGGAGGTATAACGGTTGGTGGTGCTGCACCGGAAGCTGTTATGTTCAAATGTTGATTTAGCCTATTATCTTGTGATTGTTGTTGTTGTTGTTGCTGCTGTTGTTGTTGTTGTTGTTGATAAAACATTTGCTGTGCTTGACTTCTTGCCCGATTCTCTGCCGCTTTTATCTGTTCCATATGAAATTGTTGCCTTTCTTGCATCAATTGTTGTCGTTGATATTCGAGCTATAATCAAGAGAAAGAAAGAAAATAGTTGTCATTTTTATTGTTTAAATAAATTTTTCAACAAAAAAAATTCTTACCGTTTCTTTCTCACGATCCATAATGGCTTCAAGTTCTTCAAAATGTTTGAGCTTTATTTCCAATTTTTTCATCTGAGTTTCGACCAATAAAGCGACCAATGATTTAATTTTTCTTTCTTCGATTGCAGCCAAATGTCTAGCTTTAACAGCAGCCGAACCTAATGCAGCAGCAGCGGCAACCGATATTTGTGATTCTTTTATCACATTTTTTTCTTTTTCTGTCAATTCCTTTTCTTTGTCTTTAGTTTTTGTATTAACGGTATCATTTTTATCAGCCATAGTGACATCTGTAGATGATAATTGTTCAGATTGTTGTTGACCATCTTTAGTTTGTTGTTGTTGTTCGCTCGATACATCAGATTCTTTAGATGATTTATCAGCCGATTGTTGTGATGATGAAGATTCTTCTCGTTGACCATCAACATCCATTTTTCCATCTTCTTTATCTTTCTTGTTATTATTATCAGTTGATGAAGCAGAAGAATCTTCAGATGCCGCTTCCTGTTTAATCACCTGTTGATCTGCATCACCGCCATTAATACTAACTTCATCTTTGTTTCGATTATCTTTATCTTTTTCAACTTCAGACGACACTTTTTCCGTTTTATCAGAGGCTGTTGTTTTCTGATCTGATCGAACGTTATTTGATTCAGCAGCTGATGATGATGATGATGCATCAACATTTTTACTATGCTGTTCGGCCAATGATGGTGGTATTTCATCTTTTAATTTAGCAAATTCATCCATTGCTGCTTTGGCAGCTGATGCAGCTATTCTTGGATCAACAACGGAAGCCAAAAATGCAACTGTCGACATAATAGGATTGCCAGATTTGGAAAATGGAATTGGATGATAAGATAGAGGGCCCAAAGCATTGTTTGTATCTTCCAAGTATGGATCTTCAATGGGTAATCGAAGAAAATGTAAAATACATTCATCTTGTGTACGTGAACCAATATGTTCACAAACTTTATTCCAATCATCTTTATACAATTCCAGTGCTTCAAGCAACAATAATGTTTCTTGTTCCGTCCATTCTCTCGATAGATTGGCTGCAGCTTTACTTTTGAAATAGGAATTCTTTCGAGCATATTGATCTAATTTCAATCCAAAATTATCGCCAAATCCATTGATATTTTCAGATTCTTTTTTCGATGATAATCCAACACCATTCTCTTTAGGAAGATTCAACATTTGTTGTGTGGCCGATGATGATGATGAATTAGAAGCTGATACCTGACCACGAGGCGGATTCAATGGTTGCAAACCAGATGGTGTATCCACAAGTACATGAAAATGGCTAGTTGATGGTGGTCCCATCGGTGTTGGTCTTGCATCTACATCCACCTGATAATTGATTAGACCCCATTGTTCGAGGAATGCATGAACACGCATTATAGCACAAACATCACCGGCAATATTTCTTCTTACAGCCGTCAATGTTAGATATTCGGTTGGATTCAAACGATAGGTGTCGATCATAAAATTTCGATAGGCAATATATACTTCTGGTGTTTTGGATTTATTACGACCATTAAAAAATTCAGGCAATGCACGACGTTCAACAGCATGAATACAATTATAATCAAACCATGATGCATATGACGGTATGATTATATGATTAGCCTGTTCAGTAACATTATCATCTTGGCTATCATCTTTATCAAAGTTATTACTGCTACTATGATTATTGATTGAAACTAAACCCGATGTTCCATTCGATTGTTGATGATAATTACGATTCGATGATGGTGATGTTGATCGTGATGATGGTTTACCACCATTACCACCACCATCAGTTGCATTATTATTTGATGAATTATTATTCAAATGTTTCGATTGTTGTTGATCTTGTTGATCATAATCATTGGAATCTAAATCAATAATTGTACCACCTTTGATTGGCATTGATTCATTATCTTTTTGATTACGATTTCCAGCTGAAATAGAATTTCGATTTAAATTGACAACTTGAAAATGAGTTTCCGGTGAAGGATTGTCCATATCTTTGGTGAGATCTTCATCGTCTTCATTTTTGAATTTTTTCTTATTTGAATTTGTCATTGTAACCGGTGCAGGACTACGTGCACTGGCTCCTTTTCCACGGCTACGTTTCTTATCCGATTGTGGTGATGGTGAACGACGACGTTTACTTTTTTGTATAGAATTGGAACGTTTATCTCGTTTTTCTTCATTATGTAATTCTTCTATTGTAAATCTAGAACGTTTCGGTATTCGTTTTCCATTACGATCAACATCAATTTCATAATCTTCTTCATTCATCCATTCATTGTATTCATCAGTATCGAGTAGCCAATTGGCTGACAATTCATATGGTGTATCATTGTGGTCACGTTCATTTTCTGGTTCTAAATCGACATCAATATTCAACCATGTATCATAGCTATCTGGTCGACCAAGACAATGAACAAGAAGCGAACGATCACGTTTCATAACGATACGAACAAATTCATCACCATTACTATCTGTATGTTGAGTGGCTGCCACTGTTGTTGGATAAACAATATGTGTTGCTTCATTTGGAGATTCCAAACATTTTGCATGATATCTTTTGATGATATCACGTAATTTTGTTGCCAATACTTTATCCACTTCAGGTAAGATGTACACATGTGGTTCAATTAAACATTGATTTGTTTGTAAAAATTTATATAGGCCAATAAACATTTCAACATTACGATCCATACGAGATTGTGATTGAAAATCAAAACGACGCCATCCTTGTTCAGTTTTAAATTTGAATACAAATTCAAATATACGACAAAGTTTACCGCCAGATTTAAAATCTATAAAACATTTATAAGGCAATCTTTGAAACAATTGTTGCTGTTTCGTAGTAGCTGTGGATGATGATGTTTCCGTTGTTGTTGTTGTTCCACTACCGGTAGTAGTCGCCGTTGTAGTCGACGAATCACCGCCAGAATCTCCAACAACACCACCACCACCACTACTGGTGGTTGAAATGGAACCATTTTTGCCTAAACTATCTTCTTGAAATTGTAATAATTGACAGGTTAAATTTGCCAAACTTTTATTCGTAGGTGGATCAATTTGAACAAACTACATGTGACAAGAACAAATAAAGAAAAAAAAAAAAAGAAAATTAATCAATCATTAATGATATGTCAACAACATAATTGTCAAAAAAAAAAAAATTGTTATCATCATTGACATCAAAAAAAAAAAAAAAAAATTATTGAGACAGTTATAATGCTCGTGTTTGTTTGTGTGTGTGTGTGCATGTTTTTGGTAATAAGTAAATTTTTTTTTTTGATAGATATGTGACATAATAATAATGTACCATAGATTCATCATTAGAAAAGATGAATGAATTATGGATAAGCAAAAAACACACACACACACAGTGTTTTAATTAATTAAATTTTATGCAATTACACAATAAATATCAGATCAAAACCGATAACCGGCTAATATTTTTGTTTGTTTATTTGAAAAAAAAATATGAAAAAAAACCAACACCATTCTGGATAAAGATAGCCACATACCTTTTTACAATTCTTTTGTAGCCATTGTCGTATAGTATCAAATAATTGTATAGTTTCAGATGATTCAAAAAATTTTAAATTTAATCCATTATTATTATCTTTTTTCTTAAATTGAATGTTGTTCGCCATTTTTTTTTATAATAATGTCTGTATGTTGAAAATAAAAAAAAAATCTGTTTCGGTGTATATGTGTGTGTGTGTATGTTATGTTATGTTATATGTATGGCGAATGAGGATGATGATGATGATGATGAATAATATGGTCATCAAAAATACACACACACGGGCAAAAGAGCATATACACAATGCATACACACACACACTCACTCATTCCTTTTGTTCGATCGATCGATGTGTGTTTTGTGTGAGTTTCTCATCCACACAACTCATACTTAAGAATTTGTTTGATAATTCTGACAATAGATGGCAATACTTATTTGATATTTTTTTTTTTGGTTGATTATTATACCACTACCACTAGATGGTTGATTATCCGGCAAAAATTATTATTATTATTCTGAATGATGATTCCAATATACACTATATTTCCCGCCTATTAAAAAAAAAAAAAAAAAATTGTATACCGCTCCAATAATGTTCCAATTCATTAATGACGTTATATAATGATGATTTGAATTTTTTTTTTCTATATATCATCAATCAAATTCATTATTTAGAAAAAATTAAAACCACAACTTATCAATCAATCAAATATAATAAGATAAGAATTTAGCATTTTATTTTCTGTCACGAAATACGAAATGTGATTGGAAAAAAAAAAAATAAAAATTTTATCCAGACTTTTTGTTCTATAGATAAAATGATGAATAAAAAGCGGCTCTTGTTTGATTTTGTTTAACGATTTATTATTAATCAATTGATTGATGATTGATTGATTGATTGATTGATGTTTATTACGGCAACATCATGAAAATATTGTACAAATAATCTTGCATGTTATAAATTTTGAAATGTTGAAAGTCAATGAAAATGAAAAAATCCATACAAGTCAATTCATACATTGATAGTTTATCAATAAAAATAGACTGTGATGTGATGTGTGATCAACGTCGACTATATGACAACGAGTCATAAAATGTTAAAATATACGAAGGAGCGGTACATGCAAAAAAAAAAAAAAATTGTCAATGCCGCTACCAATTCTGGTGATGATGTTGCTGACATCCATTGGATTATCCAAATTCTTTGGGCTTCATTTTATAACAAATCGGAAAATTCTACCGTATTATCAATTTGGGGCTTTTATTTTATAATCTTATTTTTTGTGACAAGTCATTGAATCTTTCGGATCCATTTTGAAAATCGATAAAACAATCAAAAAAAAAAATCGTGATACTATCGAATAAATCGCTCATCATCACACGGTTAACACGTCATATCACGTGACAGACCCTATTTTCTATGCTTCTTCTTTGACTCATATATGAGTTTCGAGGGTGATTCATAAATTGCTAATAACTGATAATGGTGATGAATGATGTTTCTTATCTCTTTGGATATTGTTGGCCAGTGAATTATAATTTTTTTTACATCATTATCTTTTGACAATATCATCATGATCTTAGTGTGAATTTCTTTTTTATTATAGTGATATTTATATGATTAGATATTGTCGTTGACGTCGTCGTAGTCGTCGTCGTCGTCGTCGACATCGAGAGTCCTATTTTCATCCACCGATATTTTTTTTGGACTATATATCTCGTTATAATTATTTCCATTATATTGTCATTTACAAATACTTACTTGAACGAAAAAGCAGTCGGTACAAAAATTTTCAATTTTCTCTCACGAAGAAATACATTCATCTAAAAAAATTGTTGTTTAATTTTCCTGTTTCCAATCAACAAAGATAATAATAATGGTCGCCACATTAATATCTGATCTATTGGCCGGCAATAGTAATTCAACAACAACAGGTGATGATGTAACATTCTGGTCACGGCTCAATGAAGTGAAATTCATTCATGGTTATATTGCATCATTTTCGGTGATCATCGTTTCAGAATTGGGTGATAAAACATTTTTTATTGCGGCTATAATGGCTATGCGTCATTCACGGTTAAAAGTTTTTGCCGCCGCAATGTTGGCCATATTGGTGATGAATACATTGGCCGTATTGATGGGTATGGCTACAACTGTTATACCACCGGTTGTAATTAAATATGCATCCAGTGGCCTGTTTCTGATATTTGCCATTAAAATGTTTTACGAAGGTTGTAATATGACTGATGAAGATTCCAAAGAAGAAATGGAAGAAGTACAAAAAGCTATAAATAAAAAAGAATTAACCGCATCTATTGATTATGAAAGTATACCAGTTCATCAAGATCCAGAAACTGGTATTATTAAAACACCCAGAAAATTATCGATGACAACAAAGATGCGAAGAAAATTAATGCAATACGTATCATTAGTGTTTATCGAAACATTCACCATGACATTTTTAGCTGAATGGGGTGATAGATCACAAATATCGACCATTATATTGGCTGCAAGTGATGATATTTATGGTGTATTTTTTGGAGCATTATCTGGCCATTTTATTTGCACCGGTATTGCTGTACTTGGTGGCCGTATTATATCGCAAATGATTTCAGTAAAAACTGTCACTATACTTGGTGCATTCATTTTCCTATTATTTGCAATATTAGGAATATTTCTTAATTAATTCAAATCAATTTTTTGTTAATGTTGCCAATTTAAAAAAATTACCATCATCATCATCAGCGGCCAATTATATCATTTATAATGATAAAATTAAAAAATTGATTCAATGTCGCGTTCGATGATCTCATTTTGTCTAATTATTATAAGGAGATTTTATAGTAACACTTTATACATACCAATTTTTTTTGTTGACTATAAATTATTGCTTTGAAATGTTTATTTTTATTTATAAATAAAAACCAACCGATTGATGATTGAACCAGGAAGAATTTTTTTGTTTGTTTTTGTTTTTGTTTTAAATATTCGAAAAAAGTATAGCATATTCTCATTACTAGATGGCGAAAGTGGTCAAGAAAATGCCAAGTTTATATGTTGATGATCATCATGAGACAATCGACACGACATCAAATGAAAATGGTTTGATGATATATATAAATAATAAAGATTTTATTTTATTTTTACGAAAAAAAGGCTTATAATTTTTCGTAAACAAGAAGAAATCATCATCTCGAAGACAGTGCAATACACTGTTGTTGTGAATTTACAATCATTTTGATTTGATTTGTGAACAATACAACTTTTTTGTTCGACGTTTATAAAATTCGAATTTATACAAACATCATCATCATGACTGTTGAATCATCGTTGTTGGTAATTTTTCAAGTTTTTTTTTATCATCATCATCATGATAGGGAGATAATTTTTGTGTTTGGACTTTATTCCACTTTTTTTTTATTCTATATTTCATTGACGCCATTCATTTTATTCATTACGATTTTTTTTTACCAATGCAGGAACCAAATTTATATTCGGTCAAAGGAATCGCCATACTGGATAATGATGGTAATCGTATTTTTGCCAAAGTATGATTTTAATTTGTTGATATTTTTTTCGGTTTATTGATTAAAAATTTTTTTTTTTTTTGTTTTGTTTCAAGTATTATAATGAAACATTCGGTTCGGTGAAAGATCAGAAAACATTTGAAAGAAATTTATTCAATAAAACACATCGTGCTAATGGTGAAGTAATAATGTTGGATGGTTTTACCTGTATTTATCGAAATTCTGTCGATCTTTTTTTCTACATTATGGGCAATGCCAATGAGAATGGGGTATGTTTGGTTGCATGCTTTCACATGATTGATTTTCACATTTATAATCATTCCATATATATTTTGTTTGTTTTAGTTAATTTTGAATAGTATCATGAATTGCCTATTTGAATCATTATCACATATATTGAAGAAAAATGTTGAAAAGAAAACATTACTGGAAAATCTTGACATGGTTATATTAGCATTGGATGAAATTTGTGATGGAGGGTATGTGTGATTGAAATTTTTTTGAAATTTTTGAAATTTATCCAAATTTTTTTTCCGTTTTGTTTTTTTTAGAATCTATCTAGAATCGGATCCTATAGCTATTGTACAAAAAGTTACGGCAAATAAAATGGATGATCTACCATTTAATGAACAAACTGTTGCTCAAGTTTTACAATCAGCACGTGAACAGATTAAATGGTCATTATTACGATAATTTTTCTACGAATGATAACTATCAAAATTATGAGAAAAAAAATGATGATGATGATGATTTGACTTTCATCCTTTTTAATTCCATTTTATTGAAATTGTTTCAAATTACATTCTCACTACTTCCATCCACCTATAGAAGAATTCGAATGAATTTGTAAAAAAAAAGTTTTTTTTTCAATAAATAAAAAAAACGATAACAAATTATCAATGGTTATTAACACTTTTTACATTTTATTGTCATTGTCATTGTTTGGGTAAAGTTTCATCGTTGTCATTACAAAAAAAAAAAAAAAAAATTACTATGTCAGGGATGCAACATCTCAATATACAGTAATGTGCCGCGTTATGTTCCAAAATAGCGCTAATCGGAATATTTTACTGTATAATGATAATGATGGTTGGTTAGTAGAAAGGAAAGATAAATTTGGATGAAAAAAATGTCGTCGAGGTAATGTTATTAATTATTACTGAGTGAGAAAGTCCTGAGTACAAATTCTATTGACATTTGTTCTTTTTTTTTATTTATATATAGATAGATAAGATTTATCTGTCTTTTAAAGCAAAGCAAAGCAAAAAAAGGATACACAACATAAAATTGGAAAATAAAAATCCAATTTTTTTTTTTTTTTTGATATGATTGCAGTGGTGATGATGATTTTCCTTTGAATCAAGTCGTATGATAATCATTTTTTCAATCTGTGAAATTTGAAAACAAAAATTAAGCTGGCCATTGAAAATAAACTTACCATACATACACACATACATACATACATACATTGGTTATTACAACTACCTGTCAATTTACGGATCCACTGGCTATCATAAATTGGATTTGTGTGTATCCATACATATCAAATTCATCAATGTTTAATTTGATTGATTGATCAATCTCATCATTTTTAATAATTTGTCCTGTTTTGATTATTAGTTTTTTGCTTTTTCTTGTTAGTGATAACAAGTTGTAATTTTTTTTTGTTTCAAGTATTGTTTTTAGCACTTGTTGCTTTTTACAATAACAACAACAACAACAACAGAAAAAACTATGTTTGCCTTATGTCTAATTCACTAATGTAACTTGCCTATTATCGCGATTATATTTGGAGAGGAATTGAAAAGAATTGTGTGTGTGTGTGTGTGTGTGCTACTGTATTCACAAAAACACACAAAATACACACACACACACACACACAATAAGTGGAGATCATCATCACCATTATCAATCGATCATAATGCTAAATCAACAAACTTTGGATAATAATAAGAACAACGATGGCAACGTAGAACAGCAACCATCATCATCATCATCATCAATACAGTTAGCAGAAAAAATCTGTAATAACGGTCATCCTAATCATCACCATCAACAACAACAACAACAACAACAACAACAGCAAAACCGACAAAAAAATTCAAACGAAATTCAACATATTCATTATCATCGAAAAATAGTGATAAAAAATCATCATCATCATCATCATTTAAATTATTCACGACAACAGCAACAGATTTGATTATAGATCAATTTTTAAGATTTAATCAACAAACAATAAAAATGATCAATTGTCTATCCTGTCCATCGGAAACGGATCCACAAATGAAAGAAAGCAATAAAAATGATAAAAAATTAAAACAATGGAATCGTAATGAATCAGAAGTGATTAATATGTTATTATTAGGCGCTGGTGAAAGCGGTAAAACAACCATTATTAAACAAATGAAAATTTTACACATAAAAGGATTTTCACATGAAGAACGGTTGAAAAAATTACAAGAAATCAAACAAAATGTTTTCGAATCAATTAAAGTAAATTGTTTTTTTTTCGTTTTTTGGTTTTTTCTTTCGAGCAAGTCAAAAAAAAATTTTTGAACTTTTTATTTTTCGTTTCGTTTTCGTTTTTAAAAAACAACAGGAACTAACCAGTAATATGGAATATCTTAATCCACCCATAGAGCTTGTGAATCCTATGAATCAGCCTAGTCTGAATTTTATTAAAAAATTAGATACAACTCAAATGGAAACATATGATTATCCGGATGAATTTTTCGAACACACAAAACGATTATGGTCTGATCCAGGTATTCAAGCCTGTTATCTACGTTCGAATGAATTCTTTTTGATTGATTCAGCCAAATAGTGAGTATACAATCTGTGTAAAATACTTGAAATCATAATGCGAAATAAAAAAAAACCTTTTTTTTTCCCAATAGTTTTCTAGACATGATCGATAAAATTCGAAATCCAGATTATGAACCAAGTGATCAAGATATTTTACGTAGTCGTAAACGAACAAGTGAATTACAAAAAATTGAATTCAAGGTTAAAGTGCCTAAACAAAATGGTGGTAAAATGCAACCATTTTGGTGAGTGTTGTGTGTAAATGATGATAAAATTGATAAAATAAATGAAATTCATTAAATTATTTTACAGCATGTATGATGTTGGAGGCCAACGTGGTGAACGTAGAAAATGGTTTCAAGCATTTATTGGAATCAAAGCCATTCTATTTGTCGTCGATTCATCCAGTTTTGATACAAAACTTCGTGAAGATGGTAAAACAAATCGGCTGAAAGAAAGCATTGATCTATTCAAAGAAGTTTGGAGTAGTTCTTATCTCAATAAGTCGGGAATTATTTTGTTCATGAATAAACAGGATATATTGAAAGAAAAAATTCAACGTGGTCATCGAATAGAGAATTATTTCCCGGAATATAAAGATTATAAATTGCCAAAAAATAAACATGAAGTAGAAGAAGAATATGAATATAGAAAAGCAAGAGATTTCATTCTCGATAAATTTTTTCAAGTGACAAAAGATCGTAATGTATGTAAACATCGATTTTTTTCACATTTTACAACAGCCACGGATACGAACAATATTAAATTTGTATTCGATGATGTTCATTATTGTTTTATGAAAGAAAATTTTGATTACATAATCTAGTGAATAAATTTGTCGATCATTGATCCAAATAAAATCATTATCATTTCTGTATAATTTGTTTTTTATTATTATTATTTCAATTAATAATGACTAATCGGTATTTATTATTAGTGAATTGAATTTTCACATAAAAAAACTAATTATTAGATTTTTTCAATCCATATTTCCGCTCGAAAGATTGTGACCATCACCTTTATTTAGTTTCGAAATCTTTTCCTCAAAATCGATCGGTATGCCAATGTTTTGATCTTTAAATTCGGTTGCAAATGATTTCGGTTTAGGTCTTGAAGATTCGTGTACACGAAGCTGTGAAAAATAGCCATATGGTGGCCGTTTTATACCCATTTTTTCTTCCATACATTTTGCCACTTGTTTCTGTTCTTTTTTGCAACTGTGTAAAATGAGAAAAAAAATTTCAAAAATAAAAATATTATCAAAATACATGCCACACATACTAAATTAGTCTACAATCTGTATGAGTGAATTCCATGCATTTGGCCATACGTTCCACTTCATCAAGACAAGTTTGGCCAACTTTACGGAAAAAATCATGTCCACACATTGTAACGGCTTTGCCTTCATTCAGACATTTTCTTGGATCACGTTCTTCCAGACGACAGAGCATATATTCCTGGAATAAAAATTTTAAATTTAATTTTTATTTTTCAAATGAAACAAAATCTTTGATTAACCTTCGATTGTTGATCACAATATTTTCCAAAATATGGTCCAGCTGCAACCAGTACTGGTTGTGAAACATTTACATCTTGTATATCTAATTCTTCAAAAGTTGGCAACGGAATACTCTCAGTGATGGGCATTTTTTTTTATTTCAATGTTTTGAAATTTTCAAAAAGATGATCAAAAAAATTGAAATTCTCTTTATTTTGTTTCTTTTATCATAAAAAAAAAAAAACAGGTGAATGACGATATTTATGTGACATTGTGACACATACTTTATGAACGGTCAAAATATTTAAATGACGAGAATGAAAAATATTTTTTATTGGAGTTAGAAAAAAAAATTCCATTTTATTTTTGCATTTTTATTATTTACAGCCAATTGATTGATTCGATTTTTGTTTGGCTTGATCAATTTCTTTTTTTTTGACTTTTTCATTACTAATGTGATAAATTATAGCTTCTTTTTTTGTTATTGTTTGCCAAAAATAAATGAATAATAAAATAAAAAAAATCAAATTAAACGATAGCCGATGCAATATATTCAGAAACTGTCATCGATGAAGATCGTACAGTTATCTTCATCGTAATACCATCGGTTGATTGTGCCAGTTTGGCACAAATTAAAACTTGTACTTGACCACGAAATAGACCGGATAGAAATACAGTGTGAGCGTTTTTACCATCCGGTACTCGATCCGAACGATCACAAACATTCATATCCATAAAGTTTACCAAATTTTTAATTGCTTCATCCAATGTTTTAAAATTTGACAAGGCATACGTTTCTTCCACTTGATTGTCTTCACCGGATTCTTCCCAACAGGTCTGAAAATCTGGTACGATCAATTTTTGCATATAATCTGAGATTAATATATCCACATCTTCGAGTGCATATTCATCTTGATATCTTGAAATTTGAATGAAAAAAATAGATTTAAATAATAAAAATAAAATCACAAATATCAAAATAAACATACCCTTCATCATCCAAAACTTGATTAGTGTTTGGATCACAATCTTTGACCAAATATTTAAGTGTAACCCCGGTGAATGTTCCAAACAATTGAGAGATATCCACACCCGAATCATCATTATAATTGTCTATTGAACCAGAATCAATGGCTAAAACAACATAAATTGAACGAGGTGTATTGTAGACAAGTTGATCGCATTTTACTTGTAACAATTGTCGAAAACCTTCAAACACTTCCATATCGATCGAGACTTGTTCCAGAATCTGATCATTCAATGTGTTTGTACAATCAAATTGTAGAACGATATGTTCACGAAACATATGTTTAATACATTGAACTACATATTCAGTTTCCGATTCGGTCAATTCGAGTGGCAATGATGATTTTAGAATTGGACCCAATCGAAGTGAACTCAATTCCGATACCGATGCTAATTGTTCGGCATAAAGATCCTGTCTGGTAGCTGCAATCTTTTCAATGGCTGATGATGCTCCAGTACCATGGTTGGTTCCACTAACAGGACCATTGGCTAAAGATTTTCGACCTGAATCCAATTTAATCGATTGATTAACATCCAACAAACCAGTTATTGGTGCCGTCGATAATGGAACTTGTTTAATATCGAATGATTGTTCTTGATTCGAATGAGTGTCCTGTAGATAGGCAGACAATGCTTTCTCCAAGCCAATCATCGATACTTGTAATGGACTTGATATACAGTTTAGTTTCGTAGATTTTGATTGTTGCGCCAATATGTTAATATAATAGGTTGCACGATCTCGAACTTCATCATCAGCATCAAGTACTGACCGTTCTAGCAAGACTAAAATCTGTGGCAATAGATCCTCACAATGAGCGGCAAATTTAGCCAACGATGAAACTGCAGCCGCTCGAACAGGAGATTTTTCCAAAATAAGCCGATTATAAATATAACGGATGTATTTGGCCGGTTGTGCTGTTTTTACACCTTCACGACCAAGCAAATAGAGAATCTTTACAGCCAGGCTTGTGTGTTCACAATCTTCGATGAATTCACAAAGATAGGCTAATCCAGCTTCTTTTGCTTCAGGATTATCTTCGATAATTGCAATGATAGTATCGACAATAGATTTTTTATATTCATATCCACCTTCTTCATGCAACATTGATGAAAGAAAAGACATCATAACCGTATGTTTTCGTGGAAATTTGGCACATAGTGCACGAGTTGATCCAACCACAACAATTTTGAATTCATCAGATATCTCAGACATAAACGAAGCGATTTGTTTCATTAAACGTTCTACAGAAGATTCATTACCAGTCTTTAACAACGTAGTAATAGCTAACGTTGCGATTGATCGATTATTATCGGTGATGAGATTCTCCAGATCTACATTACATGCCATTACGGCATTTGGATGATTCATAGCTATTTTGTTCAATGCACGAACTGCAGCAAAACGATTAGTCGATTTGGATGAAGAAAGCATCAGCTGAAGAACCGAAATGGCTGATTGAAGTTCTCTTTGTGATGTACAACTTAAATTTATAATTGCATTCGCAGCTTCATAGATAACCATTTCCGATTTATGTCGAAGACAGGATTCAATATAATCATAATAGATGCTATCCGAGCCAGCACCTTCATCTTCGATCAATTTGGCCGATATACGAATAAGTTGACAAACAGCAAATGGTGATTTCATTGGACTACGTACTAATTTAGTCACCAATTTCGTAACAGCTAATCGATCGCTTTTACGAATATGATAAAGCAAACCAAGTGCGTGATATTGGACCATTATATTGTCTGAATTCAAAGCTTCTTGTGCTTCGTTAGCCCATCGTTTCACACCATCAGGAATGTTTTTAGCCAAATGTAATGATGAAACCAATGCAGCCGATGATACGGTAGGATTTCGATCGACAATTGCTTGTTTCATGTATCGTTCGATTCCCTAAATTATTTCGGATTAAACGGTTTTCATGACTGATCTATTAACATTCACTTACCTGAAACGTTGAAGCTTCGGTTATCTGACACAAGGCACGTAAAGCAGCCGGTCTACATTGATCATCCTTAGCGTTCATATCAGTTGTCAACGAAGATGTGACAACATAAACATTTTCTGCCATTCTTGACAATTCTTTTATACCGATATAAACTAAACGTCTCAATGTAGAATCTTTCGATTGAAACAATTTGGTCATGTTGAAAAATGCATCAGTAGCTTCCAATGTGGTCAATGGAGCCATGCCAGTATTTATAAGATAAAGAATCTTTGTCAATATCAACGAACATTTTCGTGGATTGACCGGCGTTTCATTGAAAACACGAGCCTCTTGAAGTACAGATGTTTTATCCAATCGAGCGAATGGATTACAGAAACCATCCTCTTCATCTTTTTTGTCTCGTTTATGTATCATTTTGATCAAGATTGATTTCGGGAGATGGTTAATTGGATTTAACGATTAAAGATAAATCAACAAATGCATACAACAACAACAACAACAAAAACTTCATCGATTATATGACCCACTGATGATGAACGCCACGTCAACTTGCACAACACACAAAACATAAATGAGTGTAGTCGTGTATGTCGATATAGCGAAACAGAATAATAAGAATATATTCAAAACTATTGAATTGGATTCAATCATCATCAATTATTTATTACAACAAACAAACAAAAAAAAAGAAAAAAATAATGACAATTAATTATTTTAACAAAAATAATACCTACAAGGACTACAATTGAGAATGAAAGAATAAAAAGAAAAAATGGAAAGAAGAATCTTGATAAAATCTGCTAGAGAAAATAGAACGGAATTACGGTGTAAAGGAAACATTCGAATCGGGTAGGAAATAAAAGATCGATCAAATTGTTCCCTTTTTATTGGGAAACAGATAGATAAAGGCCGCATTCACTGTGCACAATTAATCAATTTGGCTACTAATGATACTACTGATGATGCTGCTTTTGTTGTTGAACGATATTAGGACGACGATTCATAATCAATAGATATGGAAAAGAAGTATCCGGTTCATATCGTTGTGGATCTTGTTGTCGTATTCTTTCAAAATGTCTTATAAAACGATGATCATAATCACGAGAGACTTGTAGAAAGAATCGACCATCATCGAATACACGACGAATAAATCGATCAAGTTTATCGCCACGTCTTGGTGCCATGATAATTGCCTGACCAATGTTACGATCATTGATCAATAGGAAATCAATGGTATCAATTAAAGATTGATGTGCATCCGAACGAAATAGACAATCAGCACAGATAATTATTTCTATACGATTTTTTAGCTCTTCATAGTGTTCCGGTTGATTCCAACATAATTGTTGTACGACAATCTTTAATCCATCGGATTTTGTGTGAGCAGAATTAATTTCGGGAAAATTTCTTTGAACAATTTGTTCAATATTAAGAACACATCGTTCATTGCCATCGGTGAGGTAGATTTCTGTAGCTAATCCGGATCGTACAGCGATTAATCCGGCCAATGCTGAACAACCAGATCCTAATTCACATATAATTCGTCCTTTAAGTCGAGCTCGTATATTTTGATTATGGGCCAATAAATAGCCCATCGCTTCCTCCGATGACCATACACGAACATTACCAGAATTATCAAAGCCAGCCAAATCTTTTAATTGTAATCGATTATGCACTAACTTTATACACAATTCTAATTGATTATCACCAATGTTTGTAGCACCACAATCTTCATCTTCATCATCATCATCATCATCTTCAATATCTGTATCGGAAAAATCTTCGTCCAATCGTTTGTTCCATTGACATTCGATCCAAACATCGTTGGAATCGATAAAATTTGATCCATTCTCGGCATATCGATAACGATAATTGATAAGACCATAAGTTTCGATTAAATTTAATGAATGATGACGATCAATATGTTCATTTAATGATGAATTTTCCGATGAATTTGAATCGGATAATTCGGCCGTTGAAGTGGAATTTTGATCATAAACAATCATATCATTTCCATTGGCTCTTAACATTCGCAATTCTTGCAAATCAAATTGTTTCATACGTACAGCTTTCGATAATAATTGCCATCGTTGTCGACTACGGCTTATGTTCGAACAAGAAGAGGAATTTGTCGCCTGCTGCTGCTGTTCTTTATTGGATTTTGGTTGTCCATCATTACATGATGACGATGATGATGAAGGCGACGAAAATGTTGACGAACAATTCAGAATGTCCGAATTGGCCATTTATGAAAATAATGGATGGATCAAAAAGAGAAAGAGAGTAAGAGAGATAGACTGAAATGATTGACTAGATTTCGATTGTTGTTGATTTTTGTTTTTCTTTTGATATGATTTACACAACATTGATAATGAAAGAACTGTTTAATGAATTGATATTCGAGTATTGAAACATTTCGATCATCGAATATAGGGTTTAAAAATGTGATTGTGCCAAAAAAAGCTGAGATTATTTTGAAGGGCATTCCATTTGTTGTTTGATTCGATGGTTAAGGTCGCATCAAACTTGCGACATCAATCGAACCGAAACAACAACAAACGAAGCATATAAACAACAAAAATGAATGAAATAAATAGATTTGGAAGATTTTGTGATTCGACGTGACACTCACAAATGACGTTTATTTATTTATTAATATCAAAATTTGGTTATTTTATGAAAAAAAATGAATCCGAAATTCAATGATCATGATGATAATCCATTTGGTCAATCGACACCATTGGATGTTCAATTTGCATCGAAATTATTATCAGCAACGATTGAAGATAATGCTGTTGCTGGTGATAGTACTCAATTTGTCAATGGTTTGATATCCGAATCTAAACTGGATTGTTTATGTCAAATGTGTTATGAATATACTATCGATAAATTATTTTCTCGTATTAAATATCTACGTATTCGACAGGAAATTCTAGCTGAATGGCATCTTCAAGAATCTATTCAATCATTTAATCTAAGTGCTCAAGATTTTGATTCTATTTTTGCCGGTTTATTATCCATTTGTCAATGTATTGCTCGACATTTTACTAAACCAAATTGTACGAAAAATTTGAATGAATTACGTGAATCTATCCTGAAACATAGTCAAATGCCTGAACCGATATTTGATTTGATTTATAAGAAATTTCTACATTCATCTTTGGATCACGAAAAAGATTTGATTAAACCAAATATCATACCATTTGTACAATGGGATTGGATTGCTACTGGATATCGATTGATATCGATCCGTTGGCAATTATGTTTGGCAATTTCAGATCGTTTTACAACAAAAATAATGGAACCATTCGTACGATTTGAATTCATCTATGGATCCGGTTTAGCGGCTATAGCAAGAAGCCATACATGTAAACGTAAACAAAAACGAATCGTATTCGAATGTCGTATCAAACAATTTCATCAACTTCGTTTTACTGTTGCGTGGTTGTTGAAAGAAATGGATAGATTGGAATCAAATAAAATTCTTTCAAATTGAACAATAAAAATTTAACATCATTTTTCATGTTTATAATGTTTGTTGGAATTTTGTTGTCGAAGAATTTCACAGGCTTTTTCCGGCGTAATATCTCTTTGTGATTGTGCACAAAGTTCATAGCCTACCATAAATTTTTTAATTGTTGCCGAACGTAATAATGGTGGATAATAAACAGCATGTAATATCCAATGTTGATATTGTTGTTTTGATTGCCAATCATCGCCACCACCGGTTGGTGCACCATGCCAACCCATTGAATATGGGAATGATGTTTCGAATAGATTATCATAAATGGTCAACAAACCTTTCATGATAACAGCCAATGATTGTTTTTCATTTTCATCTAATTCATTCAATCTTTGTATGCAACGATGATGTGGCAATATCATTGTTTCAAATGGCCATGTTGCCCAGAATGGAACCAATGCTAACCAATGTTCATTTTTCAATACAATACGTTCTTCATTCACCAATTCTTTTTGAACATAATCCCAAAGCATTGCACGGTCATATTTTTTAAAATAATTCCGTTGTTGTTCATCTTTTCGTTGGGCAATTGTTGGCAAAAAACGACTTGCCCATATTTGACAATGTGGATGTGGATTCGAACAGCCCATAATTGCTCCTTTATTTTCGAATATTTGTACCCATCGATAAATTGGTGCCAATTTCTTCAATTCTTCAATCCAAGTATTGATAACTGCTCAAAATTTCATCGATTGACATTAATGGTAATGATAAACGTGATGATGGATGAAAACACATGACTCGACATCGTCCACGTGCTGATTGAATTCGAAATAATTGATTATCATCATCATTAGCATCGGTATGATCAGCTGGACAATCATCATCGATGAGAGCAGGAAAATCATTATCGAATACAAAAGTACTTTTGTATTCAGGATTCTGATTACCATTCGAACGTACACCTCCCGGTGATAATGCATTGATCATCAACGAATCATGATGATCATTTTGTTCGTCTTCATTCTTTTCGATTTTACCCATCCATGGTCTTTTACTAAAATCATTCATTAATCATAAAAAAAATAGTATTAATAAATCGAATATATCAATATCGATAATATAGTCATTGGCTTACCTTCGATGTGGACATACTAGGATCCATTCATCCAATAATGGATTATAACGATTATGGGGATAATCTAATCAAGGTAGAAACAAAAACAATAAATGAATGATTATTATGAATGAACAAAAAAAAAAACAATTACCAATTGATCCGAATTTGTCCATAACTGTACCCGAGTTTATAAATTACAAAAAAAAAATCTAAAAAATGAACAAAATTTTTGCAGATAAAGCGCCATCTATCATCAACAATGTTATTTTTTTTGTAATTGAAAAATCACCACATAATCAATAAAAAATTTTCAATTTTTTTTCCTCTTAAATCAATCTCAAGACAAAATCTCAAACAAATTATTATTACCAGATGATAATTTTATTATTATCAGAAAATCAACAATGCTCACTATATAGAACCAAAAAAAAAAAAAAAAAAAAAAAAAACAGACAAACAAAATAACCATATATAAGCAGAGCGACCAACTACTAACTGGCTGATCGATCAATTTCATCATTCATTATAATCAAAAAGGATGATGATAAAACAGAAATAAATTTTTGTGAAAAATATGTGTGCGCACAAAAAAAAGGCAAATCATCATAAGAGGAGAAGAAAAAATAAAACTTTGTGTTTTTTTTTCTGTACGTCACGTGGATAATTTTTGCCAAAAAAATATATATAGATATATGTTAGATTTAAAAGCAATTTTTGTTGTTGTTGTTGTTGTTACAAAGTTTAAGGAATATATGGGGAAAACGATTAAAAATATTTTGTCATGTATGTGTGTTTGGTGGTGGTGGTGGTGGTGGTAGTGTTTCGTCACAATGATAATGATTTTCATATATAGATCTCTCTGTGTTTGTGGATAATAATCATAATAAAATGGTCAAATATCAAGAAAAAAAGGGAAAACAACCAAACAAACAAACAAACAAAAAAAGAAAAGGGTTACACATTTAGGATGATAAAAATGGATTTTGAAAATGATTCACTTGATTTCATTTGATGTATGTTATTTGAATGAATGAATGAAAGAATAATGAGATGAGATTTTTCTTCTTCTTCTTTCTTAAAAAAAAACGAGCAACTAAAATATTATTTGACATCATCAATAAGATGATGATAATAATGGGCTTATGGGATTCTTATCTGTTTATCTGTGTGTATCTTGAATTTTTTACATCACAACCGGGATTCATATTCATAAAAATCCGGCTGGATCAGAGATTTATATGAAAAAAAAGAAATTGCCAAAGGTTGAATGAATTTTTTTTTTGTTAGAAATTCTCAAAAAAAAAATATACTCGAACAATGGATGAGAGAGATAGAGAAATTTCAATTTGGAGATCCAGTGGCCAAAAGTAATGGAGGTTGTGTTGATGGTTGAGTTAGACTATTGGTAGTGGTGGGTGTGTTAGATGCTGTATTGCCGGTAACAACATCATCACCAACGACTAAGCCATTTGATGAATGATGAAGGTGGTTGTTGTTGTTGTTGTTTGCCATTCGATGATGATGGTGATTATTTTGATTATTCAAAGAATTTCCAATCAAAAAATTGATATTCGAATGATACGATGGCACAGTATTCGGTGATAATGGTGATGATGATGATGATGAACGAATAGGAGTAGGAGATGCTGTAGATCTAGTGGATGAAACTGATGCAGCTGCAGCAGCTAAAGTTGAGATCGCATGCGATAATTGTTCATTAATGGCTTCGATTGTCGGTCGATGTGGATGATGATAGCCATTGGTTAATAAATGATGAGCAACCATAGAATCAACTATACTCGATTCCGAGGCAATCGTTGTGGGTATTGATGATGTTGTTGTTGTTGAATTGGACGACATTTGTTTCTCTCTCATTGAATGATTATTGTCATCATTATTATTATCGATATGGATGAGTTCTTCATTATCCGCTATTGTTGATTTAATAGATTGACTATCATTCTCTTCATCTTTTTGTGAATTTATCGTAGCTGTAGGTGAGTGAGTTTCATCTTCTTCGATAATCTGTATAGATGAATAGGATGATTGAACAGATTCCGGTTCTTGTATTGTATCTGCATTTGTCGTCTTAGAGATGGAATCAAAATCTGATGATGGCTGTTCATTTTTGTTCACTTTTGATGAATTATCTGTTCGATGGGCTATCAAATGATGATCATTATCAATACCATGAGTGTCGGCGATGTTTTGTTGTGATTGTTGTTGGCAAGTTTTAATATCATCACAATCTTTTGATGAGCTCATCGTTTTTTTTGCAACTGTTACAGTTTCATTATCTATTTTTTCCATTTTAAGATGTGATGATAATTGTTGCTCAGCATTTTGGTTGGTAATGTTGGATAATTTGTCAGCAAAGATACCTTCCAACATGTCCAATATGTTTGTGAACATTTGTTTTTTGAAACGTTCCATAATCAATGAACCAGTAGATGGTAATTGATGATTATTATTAATGAAATGTACAAGAATATCATCAATCAGATATTCAATCATTGATAGATTTCTTTTCAATGCATCAAACGATGAATCTATTGAATAGAATTTTCAATTAGAATATTTGTTTTAAAAAAACTAGATTATCATCATTGCTTACCTTTGATCAATTGGCCCAATAACTGTATTCGTGTTTCCACTTCTAATTGAGCATTTTCTTTGGAAACAAAATTTCGATTCGTCGATGATGATGTGGATGATGATGATGATGATGGCTCGAATAAATTGGGGTCATACCCAATTCGAAACATAAATGTCGCATTTTTTGTAACATATGTATCGTATTGTATAGATTACCTTCCATTAATGTGTTTGGTGAGATTAGTGCAGCTAAATTTTTATTTGCACATTGATTCCATTTTAGATGATTGTTGGCTGCTGATGATTGCATGTTTTGATGTGTAACTGATGTACCGGCAACAAATGGCCAAGATAAATCACCGTGTGATTGTTGGCTAGTATTATCGACATCATTATCCTTTTGGTTTGTTGATGATTTTATCGCCGTTGATTCATATAGTTGATGACTAGATGAATTTAGATTCTTTGGTGCCGACAACAACGACGACGACGACGACAATGACGTTCGAACATTGTCTCCAATCAATGTATCGGTCAATGTTTCTTTAGGAGATTGTGACGTTGAACAACGTTGAGATTCACTGTAAATTGATTTATTAGAAAAAATTGATTAGAAATCCTATTAAGCTTTAAACCATTCTTAATCACCTTTTCAATGGATTAATATCAAGCAGCTCTCCTTTGCGTTGATTGACCAATAATAATGAATCACCAAGTAATCGATCAATTGGATGGCTATTACTACTACTACTGGCTGTTGTTTGTTGTTGCTGTGGTGGTTGTGAAGATGCCATACGAGATGACTGATTAACAATTGAAGAATAATCGACATTAGATGAACCATAGAATGAATTATATAATCGGCCAGCATTATTAGCACCATTGATCATCATAGTAACTAATGGATTTGATTGACAAAAATGATTGGCGTTATTATTATTATTAGCTGTGAACAATGATGATGATAATGCTTTCGATTGTAATTTATTCTGCATTGATGACAAAGAATCTGATGAATCCGATGATTTGGTATTCAAAATATTGGCAATGAGTGCATTCGATGAATTATTTGTTATTGATGATGATGATGATGATGAATTTCCTGATGCAGCGGCTGCTGCTGCAGCAGCAGCAGCAGCACCGTTTAACAATGCTGACAGATAATTGGTGGTGGTGTTAGTTGTTGGCTGTTTTTGTTGCATTAAAAATTCTTTTTGGCCTAATTGTTGCTTTTCATCATTTGAACAAGATGTGGACGGTAATTGTTTTTGTGTTAACGATTGTGGTGGTGGTGGCATCATACCTGAAGTTAGATATGATTGTAAAAATGGATAAACAAATGGTGACATTGTTTGTAAATTATTTGTTGATTGACAATTGCTACCACCAACACCTTCAGCAGCAGCAGCAGCAGCAGCGGCAGCCGCATTAGCTGCACCAACTTGAATACAATTGGAATATGAAGGATGATGTAGATCCAATGGTTCCGATTTAATGCGTTTATTAGATGTTTGTTGTTGATGTTGATTCAATGTAGATTCCAATGACATTAACAATGAAGATGATTTTGATGACGATGATGATAGAATCTAATTAACAAAATAAGAAAAAAAAAAAAAAAATAAGAAAACAATTTCAAAACTACTGATAATCTACAGAAAAAAAATCAAATTTCATAAAGTTTCTGATAATCAACAACAACAATACATCATCCAAATATATATTATCCGACACATTTTGATAATCGTTTTGTTGTTGTTGTTGTTGTATAATAGATTCTTTTTTTTTTTTCATCAACAACAAGAAATAAACAAATTGTTTACGTTATTTATGGTTACATGCACACACACACACACACACATCACAACAAAAACACCATAAATGCAATTCTTTTGTTTTTCTTAATTTTCGTTTCCATTATTGTCAGCATATACATACATACATCTTATGACATTTCAAATACAATGTTTTTTTTTCATTATCATCATCATCATAAAATTTGTTGTCGTCATCGTCTGAAATAAATTTAAACAAACAAGCTATATATACAACAACAACAACAACAATAATAAATAACAACTAAAGGTCGATGTTCGGATGCTCTCTCTATCTATATATCTTTTTCTATTCATCACCCTCAACAAATGACAAGGAGAATCCAATTAGGGGATGATCAAATGATAAATTGACGCCAAGGTCAAGAAAAGAATGAAAAATTTATTTTTATTATTAATTGACAGATGGTATTATACAGTGTGTGTGTGTGTGTTTATTCATTCTTTTTTTTCCATTGATTCATAATTATTGAGCACACATTTATCTACTGGCTAGCTCATATGATCCAAATTTGTCACACCAAAAATTCGATCAACAGTTGGTCGAATTTTATTTTATTTTTGTTAATTTTGAAACAATTTTTATGTGCATTTCATGAATTTCATTTTGACATCAGTTTCATGACAAAAAAAAAATTTTTTTCGACAATTGTGCATGGAATTGAATTGATTATATATATAGCTTGAACACTGGTAAAGTAATCGGGCCATTGGCAATAAAAATCTAAGTACCAGAAAAAAACTCAAGCAGAATAATATCAGACACACACGTACATACACAGGTGTTACACCAACAAATGTGTTTAATTGCTAAAGAAATTTTTTGTATTAAAAAAAGAAGTAGGATCGATATTGTAATTGTCACTCACTAGCATACATATATGTATTTAATTCAAGGTAGAAAATAGCCTACAGCGATGCTCACACATTTTGGTTTAATGGTTTCAACGAAACAATGGGCCAAGGACGGACAGCCATCATCATCAACATATCTATGGAACAACGAAAATCCCAACAAAAAAAGTCATTGGTATAAACACACACACACACAATTTGAAAATGACAAGCCGACTTATGCCCAATGGGCAAATTTCTATACAGGACTGCGTGGCGACAATCCACAATAGGGGGTATAATAATATATATAATTCAGAATAAAAAAAAACAAAAATTCTTGTCAATTGTGTGTGATTACGAATTCACAATATGGTACTTTGGTCGATCACACAAACATATGACATTTATATATGTGAGAAAAAAAAATAGAAAAAACACACCTGATTCCAAATTCACATAACCATACACACAAACGATATATGAAATTCATGAATTCAGCAAAAAAAAAAAAAACTCATTTATGCTTCAAGCTAAAAATAATCAACAATTTCCGTTTCAATTTCATTTCTATCAAAGAAAAAAAAAATAATGACGATTTTTTTTGTGTGTAAACCACACAAACACATAAACGAAAAAATATTCATCTTTTGTATCGAAATAGATTCACAGATACAGAATACGTTTATTGATCAAATCCAATATATAAAGATGTTCTTTTGCTATACATATAGAGAGAGATAAATTGAAATGATGAAGCTTTCCTCATTCCACATATATTGGCAAAACCAAATGAAAATTTTGTTTCCGGAAAAATAGTACCCATTCATTTCAAGCTCATCATTTGATTTTGTGTGCATATGTCATATGAAAAGAAATAGACAAAAAAAAAAAAAGCGACAGCTTGTCTAAGTTAATGTTTATGTGTGTGTGTGTGTGTGTGTGTGTGTGCACAAAAACTAAACGCGTGTTGTTAACCTTTGACCTTGTTCTGCAATTGTAAAAGAAAAATCTGTTCAAACATTTCATTACTGGCCGATATATACTGGAATGGGTGAATTTGAATGAAAAAAATAGTTCCTGGAATTTTTTTCATATGAAATTTGCAAAAAAAAAATCCTCAACATCAAACCATCAATGAGATTGTATTTGAAAAAATTGGAACATAAACGCAAGCCGTAGGATTAGGTTGTTGGCCTTTTTTTAGGTTGATAGATATACCAGTTATGGAACGGAAATGTGTGTGTGTGTGTATGTGTAGGATACAGGTGATTAATTTGCAAAAAGGGTTGTTAAATTTTTCAATTTTTTCCAAAGTTTCAAAAGAAAAATCAAGGCCTTGCCTTAATTTTTCTGAGCAATTCCAAGAATAGTTCAGAAAAAACACCGAGGAACCACTGAATAGGTCAAAATCTCATGGTTCAATCCAAATTCAAACCAACAGAAATGGATACAATCTGGAATAACATCCTCATCATCTATTGCTTTAAAAAAAAAAAAAAAAAAATAGAATATAAAGAAATAAGGTTACTTTGTTCAAACCCAAATTTCCAAATACTGTATTGTTGTTATGCTTTATTCGCTTTTTGGTTCAGCTATTTTTTCGGTTATGATCATCATCATCATCTATGAATGAAGAGTCTTAAATTTATAGCTAACCAACCAACCAAACTATAGCTAACTAGCCAGTCATTTAATATCAGGTTTTTTTCTTTTTGGTTAAGTAAAATTCATGAAAGACAACATGGCTTCAAAGCAATAAGAAATACAAAGAGAGAGAAAAAAAAGAAAAGAGTGGGTAAATCAATCAGTCCAAAAAAAAGCGGTTTGAAACAAAATAAAAAAAGCGACCAAGGTCATCTATTTGATTGAAAAAATGGTCATTTTGGTAAGTATGTGAAAAGCTAGTCATACAGTATAATAATACTCTCTGTAGGGGGACTATGACCATAATCACAAGTGGTGGCCATCATCCAATAGAGAATGGGTTATATATATTTTTTTTTTTTTTTTTTGAGCACACGTGCAAATCAGACCATTGAAATACACACGTGTGTGTATGGTTCATTCACAACTTGACCAATTAAAGAAATAAAAATATTGCCCATAGGGCAATTGGTTCTCTTTTTCTGGACAGAAATTCTTGACCAAAAAATAACAAAAAAAAAAAAATACTTTTTAGACAGCCGACAAAAAAAAGTCTAGCTATAGATATGAATAAGCAAACAGTAACACTAGTATCTACCAACCAACCAACCAAAAATACCTCCCACCCACCACTTGTTGATGATATTGATGTTTCTTGCTGATTTAATCAAAAAAAAAATGAAAATTTGATCAGCAGATACAAGACAAGCAGCATTCATTAATATTGTCGATAAAACTAGCGATTTTATCTCTTATCATCATATCAATGGATGGAAAATTAAAAAAAAAACAACTAGTTGATTGGTGATGATGAAAATTAAGACTTTTTTTTGACAATGCAGAAAAAAAGAGTCATCACTATCATCATCATAACAAATCAAAACGTATTTTTTCAAATCAAAAAAAAGTGATGAGATCAATCACATGTGCTATTCACATGTGTATGTGTGTGTGTGTGATCGATCGTAGTAGACACAACAAAAAAAAATCTAGTCTAGACTAAAGTACGATTGAAAGGAAAAAGGGATAATTTTGTTTGGCAATGGATGATGGTATGTAAAAATGTTGAGACAACAAAACAACCTCATCCTCAGATTATCGAATGATGAAATTTTACAAATAAAAATATTTCCCACTTACCGGTGTATCAAACATATCTTTACGTTTTGTATGATTATTACCGCTTTGTATCAACGGTTGCATCAAACGAGATGATGATGAATTTAATTTTGATGTAGATGATGATGAGATTGTTTGTTTCGAGAATCGACATTTCATCTCTTTCATTATAGATCGAATATTATCGATATTTTTCCCACCACCAATACTTTGATATAAGGCATCTATTACTGCCGTCATTGATGATTGTGATGATTTCAATGATTTTCTTCCACCCGTACAACATGGCGGTATCAATGATGATGATGATGATGACGACGATGTTGATTTACTACTTTGCACCAATAATAATAAATGACTTAGATTTTTTGAATCAGCCAATAACATGGATAGATTATTTGAAATAGCCATTAATGGTGATGTTTCATAACTGGCTAGATCTTCAATTGGTAATAAATATGAACGCCAATTTGTTGGATCAAAACCCCAATGAACAGTACGATTTTCACGTGGTTTATGTGAATGACAAACAAATGCATAAGGCGCAAATGATGCCATACATTCATCACATTGGATACATTGAGCCGATTGATGTGTATATAGTGAAGGAGCATAACGACCAACACATCGGCCAAAACATTCATGATATACAAGAATGTATGGTGTATTATGGAAATCAAGCCCGGCTTTTCCCGATGAAATATTATTATTACCACCACCAGGGCCGCTACCACTGGTAGCCGATCCTAATAATGTTGAACAAAGTCTATGAGCATCGGTTTTAGTTATAAGACCACAACTTGGAGCCATTGGTGGTATATCACCGGATAATTTTAAAACTTCCATTTGATCTCTTGTACAGGTTGAACAATTAATCTGTAATTCTTCAATCACTTGATTGATTTGTTGTAGACTAAAATCTCTTAATACAATATTAAATATTTGTGGTACACATAAACGACGTTCACCACCGACCATAAAACAGGCAATAAATTCACCTTCAAGCCGTGTTTCAGATCTTTCCGAACGACTTGGGCCTTGATCTGGCGGTGTCAATAAAGGCGGTTGTTGTATAGGAAATGGTGGTGGCGCTAATAACGGATCAAACAGATCTTTCATTGATGATGATGACGAAGATGATCGATTCGTTGAAAGAGCCTTACAAGTGGATTGTCCAATAGTAGACAAATATGGTGATATCGTTTGTTTATTAGTTGTAGTCATGGTTGTCGATGAATTTGTTGTTGTGCGTAAATCGAGAGTTGTGGACACATTTCCAGTACCAACTTTGTTATCAACATTCAAAGTCGAATTTGATGTTTTGGTAAGCTCCAAAGCTCCATTATCAACTGAAGACGATGATGATGATGATGATGCTTCAATCACTCGTAATGATGGTGATGATGTAGATGCCGTCATTGAACTATTGCCATTGGTTGTTGTAGCACTAAATGATGATACGATTGGAAGAAACCAATCTGGTCCATTTAATGATAATGTAGCTGCTGCTTGATAATGTTTTAACACTTTTTTTATATGACGAGAATGAGATTCTAATGCTGCTGTTGGTGTCGTTGATGATTGTTGTTGGCTTTCGCCATTATTATTATTTACATTGGCCACACTTAGATCCATAACGATCGGTGTTGTTGCCGACTGATATTGATGATGATTAGTATCTAATGAATTTGTATCAACTTTATTGATATTGGTGGTGGATGTGGATGTGGATGATGATGATGATGGAGGAAAGATGACCGAACGTTGTTGTTCAACAGTATTCAATTTACTTAAATCAACTGGACAATCAATTGATGATTGACAATCTGATTGTGAATCAATAGAATCCGATACACTTGATGATGATGATGTTTGAATAGAAGAAGAATGATGATGATGATTGTGATGATGATGATGATGATGATGAAATTGTTGTTTTTGAGCATGAGATTGTTGCATTCTGTTTGAATATTTATTATTTTCTTTTTATATGACGATAATGATGATAGAATCGAATTCCCACGAGTAATTCTATATTCATAACTATTTTTTTTTATTTCATTTGAATTTGTCAAATCTCTAAAGAATCTATTACTATAATACCATTGAGGGAAATAAAAGAAGAAGAAGTAGAAAAAAAGAATAAAAAATTGTTAGTGGGCGCTATTTTGAATTTGTTGCATTCATCATTTGTTTGTTTGTTTGTCGTTTGAATGGATTAAGGGATGGAATAGAATAAAAAGAAATGACGACGACGACTATTGAACCATACACATTGACCGTGAGATTTTATGTTCTTTTTTTTGAATGGCCAATTCAATACTTACGAAAGTTGTGAAAAGCGACATCATCATTTTGAATATTAGTATAGCTACGATTCTTGCTGTTGATGATAAATTGAGCAAGAATGTATTTTTTACGTCATATTTTTTTTTTTAAAAATACCGCATCTATATATCATCATTATTTCAGTGGATTATTATATTGCTTTTATTTTATCACCACCAATGATAATACATTCCTATCAGTTGATAATGTACTTGTCTTGGGTGGGCGTGATAGACAAGAATTCCAAACAAACTGATAGTAGACTATGAAATGAAATTATTCTTATTCTTGATGATGATGATGATATCGGTTTTAATGAGAATAATATATCTATCTATCTATCCGCAATCGGTATTCAACAACAGCGACGAATCGACTTTATGATGTGATGCGATGTTTGCACAAACGCAAAACGGATGAGAGTAGGTGGGGGGCGGACGAACGGAAAGATGTGAAAAAAATACCAGAAGTTTTTTTTTCATGCAAAAAAAACCGAACTAGATGATGATGATGGCAACAAGAGAGAGAGAGAGAGAGAGAGAGAGCAAACCAAATATCGCTGTTGCTATTCTCTTGTTGTTGATGATGTCTTTCAATTGATGTTTACTGCACAGGATTGGCACAACTCATACAACAACAACAACAACAACAACAAAAACATGAAAGTAAATCAAATCTGTTTTCTTCTTATTCGCGATTTAAGATCAAGTTTTTGTTTTCATTTTATATATATTACATTTATTTGTTTTTTTTTACACAAAAATCGTTCAACAATCTCATCATCTGTAATGCAGAGCCAAAAAAAAAAAAAAATCTAGCGATAATCATCATCAGAACCAAAAAATTATTGATGATTGTTTTTCATTTTATATTCAATCAATACGACGACAATAATCGCCAAACAACAACGACGACAACAAGAAAAGTCTATCAAAAAAAAAAAAAAAAAAAAAATGTAAAATAAATCACCGTATTCAATGATATATATTGATTACATGTGCATGTCCATGGATGGATGTGAATGGTGGCTTTTTTTTTTTGATTAGAATCTACATTTTTTTTCTTCTCATTCTCTCTCACACACACACACTTTTTTTTATCGGGATAAAACAAGATGAGCGCCAAAAATAAAAATAAAATAAAAACAATTATCCGGTGGCTACTGCTGCTGTTGCTGATGAGATTGTTTTGGTTGTTGTTGTTGTTGCTGCTGCTGTTGTTGTTATGGCTGAAGAATATGTAGATGTAGTATTATATAAAACACACGCACACATTTTGACTATAAAGCACACCAGACACATATACAAATCATCATCATCATCATTAAAAAAAAAATGGTTCTTGTTATTGGAGTAAAAGTGTTGACTATAACAACAACAACAACAACGGCGACGACTCTGCTTTTTCTTCTTCTTGGGTTTTTGGCTTGACAACACAAAATTTTTTTTTGTTGTTTTTGTTTTTCATTTCATTTCATTTCATGATGATGATGATGATGTTGGTTCGATTCGTTGCTTTATGATGGGGGCCTGTTTGATTTGGTTGTTGTTGTTGAGCAGTAGATGTAATGTAATAATTATATCTCAAAGTAAAAAAATCTGTTCTTCTGTTGCCGACGCCGCCACTGCTGCTGCCGAATATATTGAATTGAATAATTCGCAAAAAAAAACAAAACTGAAAATCAAACCGGGTAGTGTCGCCTATCGGGCGTCTGAATATAGATGTGCACAATACACTTGAGAGCTTCGGGGAAAAGAAAAACAAGAAAAAAAAATTTGTCGTTTTTGTTTTTTTGCTTTTTTTTCTTGGTGAACAAACGAATGAATGGTGGAAAAAACAAGAATCGAAGCTATTACAACAAGAATCTGGTTATTTCTGGTTGGTCTTTACACAAAGGCCACATTATTCATTCGAATTGTGTTGTATTCAAAACGTTCGAATCTTTTTTTTTTTTCTTATCCAGAATCTCATTGATGCTTTGTGTTTTGCAAACTTGACAGAAAGTGAAAACATTTTTTTTTCTTTGTCATATTCAATTAACCATAATTAGTGAATAAAAGTTGAATAAACTTGTCAAACACACATACACACACACACACACACGATGGTGGTGGTGGTGGTGGTGGTGATGGAACAAAGGAAAAAAAATACATTCTAAGGGAGTTTTATGTCGAAATTCTACATTTGTGTTTGTTTGATTGAAAACGGATAATAAATAATAAATAAAAAAAAAGATTGACTTACCGAATTTTACATTGTCATATTATTGATCATCGAAGGACACAACAAACAAACAAAACACACAAACAAACACAAGACGACGACGACGACGATTCACTCATATTCGTGAGGGTGCTCAAACGTTTTTTCTTCTTCTTATTTGTCGGTGTATATATTAGTTGTTTGCAACGTGTTCTTTTGGTTTATTTTATTTTATCTAGACTTGTTATAAAAAGAATAATGCCGTCCATCACAGCTGAATAGAATTTTTTATATATTTTTTTAATGTTGTTGATACAATTTATATGAAAAAAAACGCAAAATTCACATGCACATTACAAACAAAAACATTCGAATAGAATTACAACCGATCACAGACTGATTCGATGATTAGCAACAAGAAGAATGTTTGTTTGTTTGTGTTTGTGTATGTGTGTGTGTGTGATCCTCATTTTTTTCAGATAGAGCGAGAGAGAGAGAGAGAGAGAGAGAGAGAGAGAGAGCGACTATATCTCGTTCATATTTGATGGGTGGTAAGAAAAGTACCGTACCGTCATTCATTGCTACTTCCCTTTTTTTTCATTTCATTTTTTTTTCATCATCATTCCAAAATGATAGTGGTTTAATGCAGACAAGACAAGGTCAGTTAGTCGCGTCGACTGCTTTTTTTTTTGATTTGTCTGACTGTTGGATTTTTTTTCTGGTTGTTTGGCTGACGGCGGGCTCTTAAATGCATATACATTCATGCATGCATGTAAAGCATGCACATGCAGAAAATGATAACACAACACATGATCGATGACCAAGGCAAACCCGTGAATACAAATAAACAACAACAACAACAACCACCACTACCAATATTGTGGTAGCAGTAATCGTCTGTCCGTCTAGACTTCCGATCTAGACGTCCGTTCTTTTGGTAATGAATGTGAGAGTATTCTTATTTATCTCCATCAAAAGTACCATTGATTTTTATTTTATTTCATCTCCCAAATTGACCCAAATGATCCAACAACAACAACAAAAAAATTTCCATCCACGATACATATTGTGTTATTGATTCGTGTATTATCCAACAACAACAACAACAACAACAGGAAACAGAGAAAAATAAATTCAGAGAATCCAAACAAATGAAAAATTCTTAAAACTAGATGAATAGCATATAGAGGGCGTCAACAGAAACAAAAACAAAAAAATCAAATCAAATCGAATACGGCTTGGATTCATAATCTTCTACACTGCACACAAAAATGATGTGTCTATACAAATGGTTTTTTTTGTTCTCTACGAAAAAAAAATTCTACACGGATACCCTTGGTGGTGGTTGGCGGTGGTTGGTTGGTTGGTTGGTTATAGTTGTCCATGCGACCTATGTTTCTTCTTCTATTTCCATCAATTTGTGAAATGACTTTTTGTTCGCCCCGGTATGTCTGATGATGATATGTTTTTAGACTGAAGCTGTGTGTGTGTATTTTCCATGTGTAATATTCTTGTTCTTATGATACTTGTAAATTGGCTGCTGCTGCTGCTTCTTTTTCTCTGTTTCTTTTGATGCTGTTATTTTTTTATGGGGATGAAAAAAAAGGGAAAAAAATCTGGCTGCTGTCTAGACAAATGATTGTCTCTCCCTCTCTCTCTTTTTTCTCTCTCTATCTTTTACCAGATTTGAGGCGCTCGAGTATATGTATGCTTGAACTAACGACCCGTCATTATTATTACACATACATACACACACACACATACCTCGGCCTTATAACTTGAATTCATAATAACCGGAGGTAGGTAATAGTGGTGGTGGTGGTGGTTGTAGCTGGAGGGGTGATAGGTTGGAAGTTATTCAATCATTACGCCCATATATCTTATATATACGATTCTTCTATATATTTACAAAACCACACACACAGAACCAGCAGGCAGCCATTGTGGCAAGACGCCAAACAGAAAAAAAACCATAGAATCCTGAATACAAACACACACACACACATGAATGGTAAAGTTCCAGAAATTCATTTGATGAAATTTTTTTTTTTTTTTTTTGATTAATCACATGATAATTATCAAAATGAGGATATTCTCTTTTTGATTTCAATGGATAATCAAAAGAGAGAGAGAGAGAAAAAAAACAAAAACCTGGCTTCTAGAGGGAAACGCCAACCAGCCAGCCACAAAGTCTGGTTGGTCAATCCAGTGGCGAGGGGTCAACAAACTACACTCCATTCGTTCGGGTCGATCTGTTTAGATTGTTGTTGTTGTTGTTGTTGGTTTTTTTTCATTGGCTGACTAGCTAGCTGGTGGTTTTTATTATTATTATTCAAGAATCGGTAATATCTCATATATTAGACACAAGTCTTGTTGTTGTTATTTTATTCCAGGTCAAAGGTTAGACAATTCAACCATGATGATGATGATGATGATGGTCGTGTCACGAATAGCCGTATAGTAGAAAAGCTTCGGGTTTTTTTGTCTGGTTAATGATGTTGATGATGATGATGATGAAAAATTCTATTCATTCATTCATTCATACATTCAATTCAATTCGAACCATTACCGACACTATCACATCATTAAATGATTTGTTGATGTTGATGATAAAAAAAAAATAAAATAAAATGCACCAAACCATAACATAAAGTTTGTGAATGAATAAATGAACGATAATGATAATGATGATGATGATCATCATCATGGCAGGTTTATAATAATAAATGTGTATCCATCTATTGTAATATATCATTGACGTATCGAGTAAATAATAAATGACGAGACAACAAGACTATGATGGTTGATGACATTTTTTTTTCACAATGAAAATACACACACACACACACACACACTTTGCGTGTCACATGTTATCGAAAAATCTTATGTAATAATTGTTCTATTGTTGTTATATCCGATTAGGTCAGGTAGGTCCATCAAAAAAAAAAAAAAAAAAAGAAAAGGATTCGATTTGCGGTTCATTCATAGATAATGTTTATGACATAGCGGTAATTTTTATTTATTTTTTTTTTGGTTTCAAAATTAATCCAATCAATAAAAGTGATGATTCTGGTAAATCAAACAGAAAAAAAAAATCAATCGTACAACAAGTGTGTGGCCAAAAACCAAAAAAAAAAAAAGTAATACGATCAGGCCAAAACTACTTTTTCTGCACTACAAATGTGTATATAGGCAACAATCATGCATAAACATCAATCAAATGCCCCTTCCATCACCGAAATCCATTTCGTAAAAAAAAACAACAACAACAACAAGGATTTAAAGTTTTTTTTATATTTTTTTTTCTTCTTAAAGAATGTTTTTTTCAAAAAAAAAAAAAAATTTTCATGCCATGGTAATGATAATGATAATGATAATGATGATGATCATCATCATCATCAACATAAATAATGGGAGCCATTTGGTAAATGTGTTTTTTTGTTTTTGTTGTTGTTGTTTCCATTGTATTTGGCAACGATGATGATGATCATGGCCATCAAGAAAAAAAAAGCAACAACCAAGCAACCACTGTTGTTGGTTTTTTTTTCTGTTTCTATGAATAATAATCAATACAACAACAACAACAACAACAACAAAAATTTTTTTCTTGTGAAGCTAAAAAAGCCAGACAACATGTTCTGTTTCTCTCTTTATCTCTCACTCTTCATGTTTCGTCATAATTTCTTCTTTCGTTCGATTTTATGAATCAAAAAAAAAAGTCTTGATTTACAGCATTTTCTTTTCTGGTTATATTATTGGTTTGACATTCGAAAAAGTTCATTTAACCACCAACGTGCTACAAAACAACAACAACAACAACAACAACAACAAAACAATTTATCGATTTAATGAGATATAACCAAAATGAACCGTAGTAGTAGTAGTAGAAGAAAATCATTTGATTCATTCATCATTGATCATATGTTGACCTGCATCTAAGATTCATTATCAGCAGCCATCCAAATGAATAAATGGTCATAGACATTTATCAATTTATCATTTTGATTAGCAACAACAACAAAAAAAAAGTTGGAAGTTGGAATTTATTGTGGTTAAACAGGATATCCATTCCATATGGATGGATAGATGGAAACCCATTACGATTAAAAACTTAGCTGACTTGGCTGGCTATCTATCTAACTATAGCTGATGCTGACTACTTGTTGTTGTTGTCATATCACTCTCACTTGAAATAATACCTGATGATTATATTGCTGGACTTATACTTGCTTTAAGAAGAAGAAGAAAAAAAAAATTCAAAATCCTCAACAAGCCAAACTTTTAACTATCACCATCACTACCACCACCACCACCACCACCACCATTACCACTTTGAATACCAGTAAAACCACTTTTTTTTTTTTTTTTTTCTGTTTTGCTTAAAACATAAATTTCAATACAATTTACCATAATAAATGTATGAATGAATGAATTAATCAAATGGTCAAATGCACACAGGTAGCAAAAAATGTGTGTGTATGTGTAAGTTGCAATCAAAAAAAAAAAAAAAAAAAAAAAAAAAATAGCCATATTCATGTTTGCTATCTCTGTTTTTCAGTGTGTGTGTGTGTGTGTGTGTGTGTGTGAATATTGTGGTCGAATTACTAATATTCGGAAACAACAAAAACAATCAAGGCTATTAGCACGTGCAACAATATAAATAATAAAAAAAATGGCAAGCAATTTTTACAGGCACAAATATATAAAAGATATGAAAGTTGAATGTGAATGTGAATTACGACAAAAAAAAAGAAGAAAAAAGAACAACAATTACTACGATAGTGATGATTTTCTGTTTTGGTGATGATGAAAGAAACTCAAGGACCAATGCGTTCAAAAAAAAAAAAATAAACGACAGAATCATCATTCAACGACCAAACCCTATATATATAATGGTATTATCAACAGTTCAATTCCGTTTTTAAATGATAATTTGAGCAATGGTAGAAATCTTTTTTTTATTTATTTATTATTACTACAACAACAAAAAAAATTTGATGCAAATTAGAAAATTTGATTTAAAAAAAAAATATAAATTAAATATATGATGATAATTGATTGATTTTTTTTGGAAAAAAACCATGTGTATGTGTTGTGATATAGGCACGACGATTAGAAATTTTTGATTTTTTTTTTAAAAGGGGCTGTTTTTTTTTGTCGAATAAATTATTTGTTGGTGATGATGAAATAATCGTGTATATATCTTAAACCGTATCTTCCATTGACATTAATAATGGATTAACATATTCAAAACCTTCAAATTCACTTTGATCAATTTTTTCAATCACACGTAAATCATCCGGTGTAAGTCGAACTGGTTCATCAGTAAATTGACGATCAAAATGTTTTAAATCACGATCTGTTTCCAATTTTGGTTTATATGGTGGTTGTACTTGTTTTGCTTCAAGCTATATTAAAATGAATTAAAATTTTTTTTTTACAAAAAGAAAATGAAATCAACTGCCAGTATACAACATACCAGTTCCCAATCAATAGATTTAAAGAAAGGATGTGTTTGAATATCGGATATTCCGTCATCTGGATGGCAACCTAAACGTTCTTGTGGATTTTTATTCAAAAATCCTTTCAATGCAGATTGAGCTTTGGTCGAAATGGAACGTGGAATACGAATTGTTTTTTCAAGTATTACTTGAAATAGATAATCTTCTGTATTCTGATCTGGATTATCTGTTGCACCGACTATATCGAATGGCGAACGTCCTGCCAACATTTCATAAAGAAGAACGCCTAAAGCCCACCAATCAGGTTCAAAGCCTAATGAATCGATGAAAAAACAAATAAAAATAAAAATTGATTTCGATTGTTTATAATTAGATTACTAACCATATTCTTCACCACGAAGTATTTCCGGCGCAATATAATTAGGTGTACCACAAAATGTTCCGGTTGTATCACCTTTTCGTATACCTTCTTTACACATTCCATAATCAGTTAATTTAATATGACCTTCGTGATCAAGTAGAACCTAAATAAAAAGCAAAAAAAAATTTCTTCAACATAATAATATCACACATCTTCTTCACTTACATTATCCAATTTGAGATCACGATAAATGATACCACGTTCATGAAGAAAATTCAATGCTAACGTTATTTCAGACGCATAAAATCTGGCATGTTCTTCAGGCAATCGTCGTTGTTGTTGCATATGAAACATTAGATCACCACCACGTACAAATTCAATGACAAAAAATAATCTATATTCAAGAACAAGAACAGTGTATTATTATCAAATATTCGCAAATATATACAAATACCTTGATTGTGTTTGAAAACATGAATGTAAACCAACCAGAAATGGATAATTTGAAGCAGTTTCAAATACATGTTTCTCTGTCTGTACCCAATCAATATCTTCATCATCGGTGACCAATTCTTTTTTAATAACTTTCATTGCATAAATTCTTTTCGTTCGTTTCAATTCGACCATCAAAACTTTGGCATATGAACCACGACCAATTACACGTAATAATTCAAAATCATCAAGCGAATATTGATGTGAACCACCTGAAGCTGATATGGTACCCGTTGCTAATGATGAATGTTCACCAAATGATTGATTCTGTACATTGACATCTTGTCCATCTTTATGACGAATAACCGGTTGATATGGTGTCATTTGATTTGATGATGATTCAAATTGATGTTTACGTCGACTACCAGGTGTATGTGCTGGACGTAATTTAATATCATCTTTGGATAAAATAGTTATATCTGTTCCATTCATATTGTTATTATGATGATTGGAACGACCGTGATGATGATGATGATGATGTACATCGATCGATGATGGACTTGAACCCGATGAATGTGATTGATTCTGTGCAGTTGAATTGGTCGACGTTTCAAGTAATAATCCGGAACACGTATCACGAAATAATTTATGACATTTTTTATGTACCATCAATTTACAATTGATACATTTGAAACCTTGACGTCCCAGGCCCCATATACGATCATTACAAAAGGCACAGAATGCTTTACGATTAAAACGTTTTGCTTGAAATATATGTCCATTCACATGATATAATTTACGCCATCGACGTGCACCACGACGATAAATTGATTCTAACAGGAAAAGAACAAAAAAAAACAACATTAAAATAAGTATATAAATCAAACATTTTGATTCTGTCATTTGATTGTTACTTACTGTCTTCACCAATGCATGGTAAACCAGGACAAGGAACATTGGGAAACACTATTTCGTCATCGAAATGAATCATTAGCACATTAACAATAAAAATCATCAACAACAAATAATTAAACATTACCGTGTATTTTAATTTCCGAATCTTTATTCAATTCATATTGTCGTATGGCTTCTTCTAGTTCGGCTTGTGATGATATCACACATGGATCGCCTATGTTATCGAATGTAGAATATAAATTTTTTTTTATTTTATTTTTCTTTGTTATACCATTTATACAAAACAAACAAACGAAAAACGGATGTGTTCACATCCGTTCATCATCTGTCCAAGTTTTTTATTCTCTCTTACCTTCTTCATCGACCCATTTCATGGTGAAATTTTGTTCATGATCGAATTTACAGATTTCTCTCATTTCCTGACAAAGATTTTCCAATGTAATAATTGGCTGTATATAGATTATCATTATTTCGCTGGATTAGAATAAAAAAAATTTTTGTTGAATTATATTCATGGTTATGTTTTCAATAAACAATTACCCATTATAGGCGGCTTTTATGCGAATTTCGTTATCGTTTTGATGATGATGCATCATCATCATCATTATTATTATTATAATATTCTTTGTCGATATAAATTAATTAATTAATTAATTAATCAAGTTATTTTGATATAAAAAGCTGAAAACAAAAGCCTAGATTTTTGAGTGTGACGTGTTGTTCATCAGCCGGTCAATTTGAATAGAGACATTTTTTTTTTTTTTTTTTTTGAACAAATGATTGATTGGTTATAAGAAAAAGGTGAAAATTTTTTAAAATTTCTAATCAATTGATAATTGTCATCATTGGATATAATTATTTACTATGATTATGATGATGTTGGTGATCGATATTTATAATTTTTACAACGTTAAAAATTTTTTTTTACCATACACGGTTCAATATATGTTGAAATCACAGTAAATCCAACAAGTTGATAATGACAGGTAGATGCATTGATAATCGTTGATCACTCATCTCTTTCTCTTTCATTCTTTCTTTCTTGTGTTCCATTCATAGACACCAGTATATTTTCCTACTGTCAATGCTCATTTTCGTTGATGACACATCAATAGCTATAGGCGTGTCATATGTTTATCTAACATAACGCTATGCTTCTACTCTGTTTTGTATTGTAAAAGTAGTAGCATAGTATATTTCATTAATGTTTATTGTAACTTCATCTTTTGCTGCTACAAATCGTTGTGGTGATGGTAGTAGATTGTATTCTCACCTCACCCAAAATAATCATAAAATGTGAAATTGTGTTTTGTTGACAATAATGATGAACCGGACTATTATATTATGATATTTGAAATGATGATTTAAATTGTTGAAATTCGATTCTATTGTTAAACAATCAATAAAATCCGATACAATGGCAACCCTTCAACAACAACAACATCACCATCATCATCATCATCAAATACCACAAGATCAACATCAAGGACAACAGCAGCAGGAAGTGGTCACTTTAAATGATGCGATAAGTAATGTTGATGTTTTGGATGCTCTGGAACTTCCCGATTCTCAACCATGCATTACAGGTTCGTTTGATGTGGAATCAAACAAGATTTTCATTACAAAAATTCGATTACATTTTTAGGTGAAAATTGGTCAATCGTGTATCATGTAAATTTTGATACGAATTTTGAGGATCGTAATGCATTCGTATGTGGTGTTGCCAAATACATCGAAGAAGCAACAGTACAATGTCATCTGAATGTAATGTTAGATGAAGGTGAAAAACATGCTGTCATGTTGTATACCTGGAGATGTTGTTCACGTGCCATACCACAACCAAAATCAAATGAACAGCCAAATCGTCGTGATCTCTATGAAAAAATTGTTGAAGTACTTGGACCAGAAGTGAAGAAATTGCTTTCATTCATGTACTTTCAAAAAGCCGCCATTGATCGATTCTGTTATGAGGTAAAACATTTGTGTCGAAATCCAAATATTAGCGGACCAGATAATGCTGCTGATTCTGGTAAAGAATCGTCACAGAAAAAATCATCATCAGGCAATCAAAATACATTTGTATCAGAATCCTATTTACTTACATTGGGCAAATTCATCAACATGTTTGCCGTTTTAGATGAATTGAAAAATATGAAATCATCAGTTAAAAATGATTATGCTACATATCGTCGTGCTGCACAATTTCTGAAAGTTCTTTCGGATTCAGAATCATTACAAGAATCACAATCATTATCAATGTTTTTAGCCATGCAAAACAAAATACGCGATAATCTTAAAGAATCTCTTGAAACAATCAATGGTTATGAGGAACTTTTTTGTGATCTCGTCAATCTATTCACCAACATGTATGAATGTAAACAATATGTATTACCTCAAGAGAAACATATGCTGGTCAAAGTTATTGGATTTGCACTCTATCTTATGGATGGTGCAAATTGTAATATCAATAAATTGGATGCCAAACGACGAATATCATTGAATCGTATTGATAGAATTTTTAAACATTTAGAAATGGTACCACTTTATGGTGATATGCAAATCGCTCCGTTTCAAACATACATTAAACGTTGTACACATTATGACCAGACAAGATGGCCACTTTGTTCCAATTCGACTACTTCATCATTACAGGCTGATATTCTTCAATATCTTCCATCGATTCGTGATGATTATGTAGCATTCATTTCTGAACTTTCAAGACATTCAAATGAAGTTACTACGACCATTAAAGAAACACCACGAACCGATTCAGAAAATCGTGAATTATTGAAATTAGCATTACGTGGTATACAATTATTGGCTGATTGGACTGCTCATGTTACTGAATTGTATTCATGGAAATTGATGCATCCTACGGATTCACATCAAACAAAAACCTGTCCAACGGATGCTGAAGAATATGAACGTGCTACCCGTTATAATTATAGTTCACAAGAAAAATATGCACTCATTGAATTGGTGGCCATGGTCAAAGGACTTCAAGTGTTAATGAATCGTATGGAAGCCGTATTTGTAGATGCTATTCGTCGAGCTATCTATGCTGATCTACAAGATTTTGTACAGATAACACTTAAAGAACCATTACGAAAAGCAATTAAGAATAAAAAAGATGTCGTACGAACCATGATCACTTCGGTAAGAAATACTTGTGCCGATTATATGCGTGAGCAACAAAATCGTAATGGTGGAAGTTCATCGAATTCTTCGAAATCTTCACTTATGGATCAGACACAAGGAATTCAAGTTCCTAGAAGAAATGTTGGCCCATCAACCACACAATTATATATGGTACGCACACAGCTTGAATCATTGATTAGTGACAAAGCTCTTAGTGGTCGTCGTACATTACGTAAAGATATTGATGGACAATATTTGATTGCTATCGATAGTTTTCATAAACAATCATTTTTTTGGTCATATTTACTAAATTTCAGCCAAACATTACGTGAATGTTGTGATCTTTCACAACTTTGGTATCGTGAATTTTATCTTGAAATGACAATGGGTAAACGTATACAATTTCCAATTGAAATGTCATTACCATGGATATTGATCGATCAGATACTGACGGATAAAGATGCATCAATGATGGAATGTATATTGTATCCACTTGATCTTTACAATGATTCTGCATATTATGCATTAACGAAATTTAAAAAACAATTTCTTTATGATGAAGTTGAAGCTGAAATTAATCTTTGTTTCGATCAATTTGTTTATAAATTATCTGAACAAATATTCTCATATTATAAACAATTGGCTGCATCAATGACATTGGATAAACGATATCGTGCCGAGATGACAACATTGGCAGTGAATTTTAATTGGCCTGGACCTAATCGTTATGAAACATTGTTAAAACAACGACATCTTCAATTATTAGGTCGTACTATTGATCTTGAACGTTTGATTGCACAACGTTTGAATTCTTATATGTTGAAATCATTAGAAGTGGCTATAGCAAGATTTGAAGCTACAGATCTCACTGGTATTATGGATTTGGATGTATTGTTCCGTGTCAATCGTTTGACACATAAATTGCTTAATAAATATATTAAACTTGATTCATTTGATGCATTATTGGCTGAAGCTAATCAATCTGTTTCCGCTCCATATGGTCGTATTACATTGCATATTTATTCGGAAATGATTTCAGATTTTTTACCTCGATATTGTTTCAATTCATCCACACAACGGTTTATTCGTATGCCTGATGAAATGTCCAATTTGTTGTTGATTGATCAGAAAATTTCCCGTGAACGTATGCCATTAACAGCCAATATGCCTTATTTGGCATATGGATCGAAAGCATTGAATTATGCATTTAGTTCAATACAGAAATTATATACAGGATTTATTGGTGCACCACATTTTCGTGTCATATGTCGTGTACTTGGTTATAGTGGTATTGCATTGATTATTGAAGAATTATTGAATTTTATTCAGAATAAAATTCAAATGACAATCACTGCATCGGTGCATAACATACGACAAGCAATGGGTGGAAAAGATGCAAAAATGTTGAATCCATTGGCCAATTCAGCGCAAACATTTTCAACATTACGAAAAAATCTAGAGAATCTAATACACAATAGTGAAATTAAAACACGTGTATTTCAAGATTTTCGTGAAATTGGAAATTGTCTACTGTTCTGTCTGTACATTGAACAATCATTGGTTTGTTTATTTAAATTTAATACTATAACTATAATTTGTTCAAAATTCTAATCAGATTATTATTTAAAATATTTTTTTTTTACAGTCTCAAGAAGAAGTTTGTGATCTTTTACAAGCGGCACCATTCCAAAAAGTATTTCCATTACCATTTTTGAAAGAAACTGAAAAACAGGAATCAAAATTAAAACGAATGGAAAATCGTTATGCATCGTTACATGTTGTATCGGTTATGGAAAAATTTGGCACTCCCAAGGTATCATTTGGTGATTATTTTAGTGATATTTTTTTAATTTCATACATTCCAAATAGCAAGCATTAATTGCACGTGATGCTGATCTATTGACCAAAGAACGTCTTTGTTGTGGTCTTTCCATATTTGAAACTGTTTTGAATCGTTTTCGTGAAATATTGGATAAAGATCATGGCCTATGGCATGGAGATGATAAACCAAAAAACAATATTATGCATGTCAATGAATGTGTTGAATTTTATCGTGTTTGGTCGGCATTACAATTTATTTATTGTACACCATTTCCTGAAAATGAATTCACTATTGAACAATTATTTGGTGAAGGTTTGAATTGGGCTGGATGTACATTTATAATGTTGTTGAGACAACAACGTCGTTTTGATTGTATGGATTTTAGTTATCATTTGCTAAAAATTCAACGTTTCGATATGTGTACCGATACTATCGATGGAATCGTATGTGTTGATTTAATCATTCTTAATCATTATATAATAATTGAATTTTTCTATGAAAAAATTATAGCAAATCAAAAAAATGGTTGAACGTATACGACGATTTCAGGTGCTTAATAGTCAAATATTTTCCATGTTAAATAAATATCTATCATCGGCCACTATTGATAGCAATATGGTTGAACAGATAAAATGTTTTAATCCACCATCATTTCCACGACAAGGTTAGTGTTTTTTTTTTTAATCATCACATCATATATATCCATTATCCATTATTAATTTGCATTTTTCATTTCATCATCATCATCATATAGTTAAAATCGGTAATCAAACATCACAGGCCGCCCAGGCACCAATTTATATGCGTACAGATATTCTTCTACAACAGAAACGTCATCAACAACAACAACAATAATAATAATAATAATGAATAATGAATTTTATCAATCAATTTTGTAAATACAGTTTATATAGATTTTATTTATCATTTTCTTTTGTCAATGCTTTTTTTATGGTTTTTTGAATAGAAATTTTTTTATTCTTTTTTCTTTCTAAATAATAATGGCGATCAAATTCTGAATTGGCCAATTGAATCTTTAATTTTCTTTCGGCTACTTGAAATTTATTTCTCAATTTTTTCTGTAAACAATTCTGAAATGAGAGAGAGAGAGAGAGAGAACAAAATGACAGAATGAAAATGCAAATTGAGAATATTAAAAAAAAAATTGTTTTTTTACTTACCACAAATAATTCGTCGGAAAAAAATCCTGCTTTCATTTCGGTTTCATATCGTTTAGATAAATCAGGATGTTCAAAGAATAATTTCAATGAAACTTCTCGCAATACCGAATCAGGTGGTGGTATGGCAAATATTTCATTCAAATCATCCACCAAAAATCCAACTAATGATTGAAATTCTCGGACAAATTTTCGTCCAACAATTGAACTCTCGTCACCTATTAATGAAATGATTTTATCATTTGTTTGGTTGGAGAAAACAAATTTTTCGATACAAAAAAATAGTTTTCCGGAAATAATTTCATTTTCCTTGTTGACTATATGATCGGCACCTATGGCCTTATTGGTCAAGAAATCGTCGTTAAATAATTTTGAATTTGAATATGTAACATCGCTCGATTTTTCGAGAGTATGTATTCTTGTATTAGCCATATCAATATGAAAGTTGAATTTTCTCGTTTCAAATTAACCGATTCTAGTTGTTCAATTAACAAAAATTTTGCGATATTTATTGATTGTTTGAACCAAAAGTCATGATATTTTTAAACATTCAAAACTTTGAAAAACCAAACTATTTCATGACTCATTTTTCTGTGTGTGTGTGTGTTTTGTGTGTGAAAAAAATTCTCTATTTCTATATTGACCCAACAGGAACAAAATGGATAGAATTAGATGCCAATGCATGACAAACAAAAAAAAAATTCTATTACGGTGTTGTTTTATCATATAAAAACTTGACATCCATTCAATACATCAATACATTTGATTTGAATTTTTTAAATTGACAAACAACGATGGCGGCTAATAACGATGATCAACAACAACAACCATCGATACCAATAACCAGTGGACGTTTGGATTTGATTGTTCCACATCTTAGTGATATTCGTATACCGAATACAACCGATAAAATTTATAAAGATGAATGTGTCTATTGTTTTGATACACCGGTAAATGAGATTCATAATTCAGTCAATATAATTCACACCTTTTTTTTCATTTGTTCCATGCAGAATTCACCGGATGGAATTTATATCTGTATGAAAACATTTCTTGGTTTAGGTCGTCGATTTGTTCCATTTCATCATGCTCATACTGGTAGTGCTGTATATTTGAATATACGAAGAAAAACAATTCCAGTGAAAAATGATTTTCGTAATGATGATAAATCTAAAATTACTAAATTAGCCATCAATGTCGAAGGTGGATTTCAAACCGATGATAATAAATTGGAACATCAAGAATATAATTCCATAGTAATAATGCCCGATTTTGTTGAAATTTCATTGGATCTTAATGGCTCACCTGAACTTCCGGATAAAGTTGTTATGGCTGTTTCAGGTATTTTATCAGCAGAATCAGCATCTCGACTTGCTGAATTAGAATCATTGGAGAATACATGGGATGGTGAGAAAAGATCTGTATCGAAGCATAGTGAAAGTTTGATTCAAATGGATAACGGTGTTCGTATACCACCATCCGGTTGGAAATGTCAAAACTGCGATATGCGTGAAGGTCTATGGCTTAATTTGACTGATGGTTCAATTGGATGTGGCCGAAAATATTTCGATGGAACCGGTGGTAATAATCATGCAGCCGAACATTATGATCAGACTAAATATCCTTTGGTCGTCAAATTGGGAACCATAACTCCGAACGGTGCAGATGTTTATTCTTATGATGAAGATGCCATGGTACTTGATCCAAATCTGGATAAACATCTTGCTCATTTTGGTATCAATATTTCCGATTGTCGTAAGACGGAAAAATCAATGCTCGAAATGGAAATTGATCTGAACAAACGTTTTGATGAATGGTCTATTATTCAAGAAGATGGTCTTGAATTGAAACCATTGTTTGGACCTGGATTCACTGGAATGGCGAATCTTGGTAATAGTTGCTATCTAAATTCAGTGATGCAAATGTTGTTCTCCATACCGGATTTTATTCGGGAATATTATCGTGCCGATAAAGCTATCCAATATCAAAAATCCAATCGTATTGATCCAGCTGGCGATTTACGAACCCAATTAATGCGTCTAGCATCGGGTCTTCTGTCGGGTGAATATTCACTTTTTAGTGAAAATCTTAACGAACAAATTGGTATCGGTCCACAATTATTTAAAAATCTAATTGGTCGTAATCATCAGGAATTCATGTCAAAACGTCAACAAGATGCACAAGAGTTTCTTCTTTATGTAATTGAACAGATTGAAAAAATTCATCATTCAGAACAGAGTCGGGGCAGAAATCTGTCAACGGAACCACCAGGTGATTGTTTTAAATTTGAAATTGAACAACGTGTTGAATGTGGTGAAAGTGGTAAAGTTAAATACACGAATCGTCAAGAATCACATTTATCTTTGCCTGTCACTGATGTACCAATACAAAATAAAGCTGAATATGATGCTTATCTGGCTCTTAAACAACAGGCAGAAAGTAATGGAGAAAAATTGTAAGTTTAATTTTTGATTCTTTGAACATTCCCTTCAATTAAAATTATTTTATCCACTCATTTAGAGATTCAAGCCATACTGTTCATCCAATTATCAAACTAACTGATTGTGTTGAAAACTTTGCTGCCAAAGTTCGAATAGATGAATTCTATAGTTCCGCTGTGAATCGCAAAACATTTGCAACAATGTATGTATTTTTTTTTCTTAACAGGAATATCATTTTTTTCATTCTAATGAATTTCACATTTATAAAAGGACAAGTCGATTTCGTACATTTCCCGATTATCTTTTGATTCATTTGAAAAAATTTACATTGAATGAAAATTGGACACCAAAAAAATTGGATTTATCAATGGATGTACCGGATTATCTTGATCTAGAAATGTTTCGTGCTCAAGGAAAACAATCGGATGAAGAAGAGCTTCCGGATGACGCATTGGATTCAAATGAAAATTTGCAAGGTGGTAATAATGCCAATGTACCTGCATTTGAATTCAACCAGGAATATCTTCGACAATTGATCGATATGGGTTTTCCAGTTGAAGCTTGTAAACGTGCATTGTATCATACACAGAATGAAGGTACGGAACAAGCAACGAGTTGGATTCTTGAACATCTTGATGATCCGACTACAATGGAACCATTCGAAATTCCATCCAGTAGTGGTGGTAGTAGCCATTCACAAGGAGGACAAACTTGTAATGCTAGTGGCCAATTGCCCAAGAACGAAATCGAGCCACAAGCTTTACAGATGTTACAAGATATGGGAATACCTGAACAATATGCATGTCTTGCATTAAAAATCAATGTAAGTAATAATCATAATCAGTCGCTTTGTCAGATCGTAATAGTTTATTTTTCATTTGATCAGAATAATCAAACCGAACGTGCTATCGAGTGGTATTTTTCTAATGAACATCAAATGGAAATGATTGAAAGAGAAGAGCTGGCCAAACAAACACCGAGTACCGATAATCAACAACAGCAACATCAACATTCTATAAAAGATGGTGTAGGTCGATACGAATTGGTCGGATTTATCTCACACATGGGTCAATCAACATTTTGTGGACATTATGTTGTACATTTGAAGAAAACTTTACCATCTAAAACAATGAATACCAGCGAAACAATCGATGCTTCACAAACGCAGAATACATCATCATCATCATCATCATCAACAGAAGACAAGATAAAAGCCGAACAACAATGGGTTATATTCAATGATAATAAAGTGGCCATCTCTGAACGTCCTCCAAAACAATTTGCCTACATTTATCTATATCGTCGTTCTAAATGATAAAATTATGTCCATTGATTGTTGGAATTGAAATTATACTCTTTTTTTTGATTTATGTCAACCAATTGATTGTAAAAAAGATTTTAAATTTTTAAAATTCGTAATAAAAAATTATATTGATACTGCTACAGAGATACTCGTCATTATGTCTTTATTCATTTTGGTTGATCAAAAATACACAAATAAAAATTTTCTACCTTTCTATAGTATGCTGATGATGATGATGATTCATTCCATCGAATCCATGCATGCATATATGGCGATGATTTTTTGATTAATGAAATCAATAGACATATACAGGATATGATTCAAAAATCCAATTGAAAAAGTTTCGTTATGAAGATTGAATTTCATTTCATTTCATTGGTGTTTAATTTCACTATCCCATGATGAATAAATAAAACTATGATGAAAAGAAAATGCCAGCAAAAAAAAAGTAAATGCTCATTTCGAATGTTCGAAACAATGTTTTCGAGTTGATTGATCGATTGAACGAGATGAACGAGTTGCAAAATATTAAATGATGATGATGAGAAAATTCTCATCTGAATTTGTGTGTGTGTGTGTGTAGATGTAAGATTTGAAAATAGCTACAATTTCGAAATGGAATGGATTACTTTTCAAGTGCGAAAAAAAAAATCTTACCTGGTTCAAAGTTTTGCAAATAAGAATCAATCAAATTCTCATTGGATGGTGAAACAAAAAAAACACTGTATTCAAAGCATTTGGATTATCTATTTTCATGATATATCGTAGATAAAATTTCCAAACATAAGAAAATGATTGAATATTTCTGATATAAACGTCAATGAAGAAATGATGATCATGCTCAGATATAAATAGAAAATACTTTGTAAATGTTGAATAGTGAAATCGATAAAATTAATATCATCAATTCGATGTTCATTATTATCATCAACATTTTCTTCATCATCTTGCTGTGACATTGATGTGTTATCGAAAAAAGTTTGAAATTTACCACCTTTACCACGTTTCAGATAAAATCTTAATTTAATTGAATCAAGCATTTCCCAATGTGTCATTATTCCTGTTGTAATTAACCGAGATACGCTATTCGATAACGATGTTATTAAATGGATGTACAAAACAAAATTATTCATAACTAATACAAACTTACAATCGTTCGAATGGCCGCTTGTAATGGAAACCTTTTTGAACCGGTGTAGCCAAAAGTGATGGAAATAATGAAGATTTTTCCGTATATGGTGGCAGATAAATTTTATCTTTACCTTTTACACTTTGAAGAAATAATAGATTTTTACGTGCTGCAATCAATGCATAATATGGACGATTAGATGATGAAAGTAATAATGTGAATGGTAAAGAATAATTTGGTAGGAGCATAAGATGTGATGACCAAAGATTACGTACTGTATCCACTTGTGAATTCTGTTGAATTCCAATAGAAAAAAAAACTGATTAAGTTCAATATAAGTGTGAAATGTATTCTTTGATACAAACCAGAAAAAATTCCTCAACACTTGTATTACTGATGGCCATTGGTATTAAATAACCAGTGTTACAAGCATCAATAAATTTATTGATTGTATCGATTTTATCGATTAAAGGTAATGCTAACATAGAACAAAGTGTATAAAGATAAAAATTGACCAATATAATGCTTGAAAATGCCCATATAATCAATGCAATACGAATGGCCGAACCAGTTGATGACATCCAATGATATGGTTGACGTACAAGCAGACAAAAATTGATCCATAAAAGATTATGATGATTGTTTGTTTCTGAATATTGTTGTTGTTGCAATTTTTTTTCAATCCAATTGAATAACCAGAAAAGAATCACAGTGAATAAAATACAAATGAAAACTTTATAATGAAATGGTCGTATCAAAAGATCCATATGACTTCCAGTTTCTGGTAATGGTTGATTAGCGAATGTATATTGATCATGATCATATGGAAAAAGAAAATCCACTACTTCCAAACGTTTAGTAGTTGGCATCAAACCACCAACAGCTAAATCAATTTCATTATTCATTATTGCTGCAATCAATCCTGACCATGATCCATTTTCATATTGTGCACCAAAATGACTATTTGGTTCAATTATCCATTCAATGGAAAAATTATAATATTCACTTGCAAGTTGCCATAATTGTGTTTCAATACCACCGATTACTGAATATTGTCCAGATGTTGATGAATGATTAAGTTTAAGCCATGTATATGGTAATACCTATATATAATGTGGAATTAATGAAAATATAATCCAAAATCAAATGATTCGATTCTGTATTACCAAAAAATTAATAACTTACATTGATAAAACCAATCTTTAATGTTAAATTCTCCATTTTTCGAGAGAGAGAGAGAGAGAGAGAGAGAAAGTGGCTAAAAAATGACTATTTTCAGTAGATTGATGGCTATTTTTGTCGGTGTATGTGTATCAATGAAACAAAACAAAAAAAAATTTTTTTCACGTGATGAAATAAAAAGTTTTGCCATTTTTGCATTAGAAAAAAAAAACAATCGATTGAATCCGGTACCAGAGAAAAATTTCTCAGATTTTATCAATTCAATCGTTAATTATTAATCAATCAAACCAATAATAATTAAATGGTATCGACACCATATTCTGATTGAAACAAAAAAATTTTTTGCATTTCACACAAACCCCTGGCCGCTCTCCTTAGTTCTAGAGGTTTCCATTATAGAGATTTCCATTATACCCGGCCGATTACACAATACCTGGAAAAATTTATTATTCAGCCATCTTTTTATCCCGATCATCATCATCATCGTTTCGGGAATGGTTATAATATATTAAGGTCATTAGGTCACACATTAAAATCATTTTTTTTTTTGTATGAATAAAATGAGGGGGATGGACAATTCGATGAAATGAATGAATCATTTATTCATTCATTCATTTTTTTTTCAATATAACACCATCAAGGTCAGCACTATCATCATTTTAAATAATAAATGAATGATGATGGATGCCAAATAAAGCCTTTAAAAACATGATGATCGTGACCATTCATCGTCATCGTCATCAACATTCCATTTACATCGTCATTATCAAACCTATTTCAATACATAAAAAGTACAGAAAAATGTCTATATTCAGAGACAGAAAAAAAAATTGAAAAACAAAACAAAAAATAATCCTTACCATTATTCGCCGATAGATGGACGTCGAATGCAATTATTATTGTTTTTAAATCAAACACAAAAAAAAATTCTCTTTCCAAAATCGAATGACAAAAATATGATGATGATGATGATGACAACAAAATGGCACAGATTATGATGATGATGTTATTTTGTTCTCTTTTTGTTTTCGTTCATTTCTTTAATGAAAAGTGGATTTACAAGATTTTTGTGGAAAAATTTTTTTTGAGAGAGAGAAATGACTTACAAAAAAAAATTAGAAATCGTCTTTAATAATCGGCTTTGATCAAAAAAAAAAAAAAAAAAAAAAAAAATGAAACGGAAGAAAAAAAAAGAGAGACACACAATGCTACTACTACAATGGATCAATTTGCAATTAAATTTTTTTTTTCTGTTTAAAATCAATTTCCATGAACATGATGATTATCGAGAAGATACCAGAAAAGGAAATCTTATTTTTCTCTCTCTCTCTCTTTGTTATCCGTATAACTACGGGATCACTGTGAAATTTGTTCGGGTCGAATGACAGGTTTTTCTATTTATCAAATATATGGGCGCCATTTGTTGTTTCGAAATGACTGCTATATTTCCACTACTACCTACAACTACTACTACTACTACTGTAGCTACTATCACCCTCTTTCGATGAGGTCAATTTTTTTCGTCGACGATGAATGACCTGAATTCTAGTGTTTTTATTCCAACACATTTTCTTTTGCTACTACAAAAGAAATTCATAAAAATTTCAAAATACAAGTGTCAAATGCTACTGCCCCATGGCATATACACACACAAAATGACCACCACCATGATCACAAAAAAAACATGCATGGATGTGTTGAAGGTGAGCGTCTTTGAAATGAGATTTTTCTTTTTTTTTTTTCTATATGGCAAATCAACAAGCTTTTTTTTGACGACAAACTACTACTAACGATGATGATGACGTCTTGAAAAAATTTAAACCAAGAAAACAATAAAAAAAATCTCAAGGATGAATGATGATTGTCTCGTCTTGAAACACGAGAGCACGAGAACAATTTTTCCATTTAATATTCGTTTCATTATTGCGTGTGTGTTCCAACAACAACAAAAAAATGATGATTGTGTATCACTCTTGTGTTTTGTTTCTTCGTTGTGTGTGTGTTTAACCTGTTGATTCTTGATCAATCGGTTTGATTGCAATTCAATTCTGGTTTTGATAAATCAAAATTATAATGATCAACCATGATTCTACATTGATTGATATTTGACACTTGTTGATCACACACACACACACATTTTGTTTGTGGCCAACAACAACAACAACAGGTTAGCACACAAAAAAAAAAAAGCTTTTGGGCTTTTTTTCTCATATTTGAATATGCAAAACGTCATTGTGCTTTTATGTATTCGATTATTACCTATTATTTACCTGTAAATTATTAATGGGCAAGTGAGTTTCTTTGTGTTTATGTGTGTGTGTGTGTGTATGTGACAAAAATGGACAATGACATCATCATAGTTGTCTTTATGCCAAAAAAGCCCATAAGGTTTGCGTTTGGAATATACCTTTAATAGCCTCATATATGTTGTGTTATTATTCATCATTCGAATTTGTAGCTTTTTTTATCTTGAAATTTTCTATCTCTCTGCATGTGTGTGTGTGTGTGTTTGCATATGTGTTACATTAATTTCATTTTCCATCAATGTGCCATTGATAATCAAAATCATGGCAACTATTTCAAGTCGTAAAGAATCTACCAATCAGATATATTCAAATCCAAATTCCGGTGAAATAAAACAACAACATAAACATGAACAACATGAATATTGTTTTCATCGACACCGGAGACGGAAACAAATCATCAATGTACAGAAATCATCTACAACATCATTATCATTAGATTATTATCAATTGAAAATAAATTGCAATCATTTTAAAAGATTAATGGATAAGAATGATGATTATGAAAAATATTCAAAATTTAGTCATCATTCGAATCCATTATTGTACAACGGTGAATCAACTAGGCAACTATTTTTATTTTTGATTCTTTTTCTGTTAACATTTTATTCAACGATTGTTATGACTGCAGCTAATTTCGGTATGTCAATCTCTATCTGTGTGTGTGTGTGTGTGTGTGTGTTGATATATATAGTGTGTTAATTTTTTTTAATTGTCTTTCAGTTCCACCAGTAGAAGATTTACGAATACAAGTATTAAGCGGTAAACAAGTGGAATTAGAATGGAAAACACCCGATGTAATGATCGATTCTGTTTTATCAAATATTGATGGCTATAAAGTGACCGTAGTACCAAAAGAACCGATGGCCGAACATGATTTTCGTCCATATCAATTGGATGTATCCATTAATGATCGTTTACCATTATCTATACGAAATCTTACTGCCGGTGGTACTTATGAAATTTTCGTATCAGTCATATCAAATGGACGACAATCACGTAATGAATCAGTTACGTTCACAACTAAACCAAATACTCCTGGTCGTTTTATTGTTTGGTTCCGTAATGAAACTACTTTATTAGTTTTGTGGCAACCTCCCTATCCATCTGGTATATTTGATCAATACAAAGTATCGATCTTTCCACAAGATGCTCATCAATCGATATTGTTCGTGAAGAAAGAATCTGATCCACCGGGTCCTGTACAAACATCTTTTGATGGACTGATACCAGGACGAATCTACAATATAACCGTACAAACTGTTAGTAGAAATCAGATATCTGATCCAACCGAAGCTCAATATCGTACAGTTCCATTGTCACCATCGAATCTTTCATTCAATCGAGCTACTGTTACGTCAACTTCTTTTGATGTTATTTGGGATCCACCAATTGGTGAATGTGAATTTGATCGTTATCAAATATCGATTGGTCTGAAGAATGTATCACCTAAAATGGTATTCAAAGATGATCTACGAATCGTTCGTTTTTCTGATGAAGGATTACAGCCAGGTGAAACCTATGAAGTGACCGTTAAAACCGTTTCTGGTAATGTCATTTCTTCGGCTATTGCAACCAACATAACCACTCGTCCATTACCAGTGTTGGATTTAAAATCTGATCCAGATAAATATTCTGGAATTCATCTTTCTTGGCGCCCCGATAATCATTCTCGTCAAGATTCATTCATAATTACCTATCATGAATTGGATGCATTTAATTCCGATGCAGCTATCGAAGTGACGAAAGACACTTATGTACATTTATCCAATTTATTAGCTGGTCGAAATTATTCGATTTCTGTGGCTGCTATATCGAATAATGTTTATTCAGATTATGTGGTAATATCACAACCAACTAAACCAGCATCACCAGTAATTGGTGTACTTGAACCAATATCAGGTCGTACATTGAATATTAGTTGGAAATGGGATGTAACTAGTAAACAAGATTCATATAAAATAATTTGGATACGAAACGATACGAAAGAGAAAAAAGAACGTATCATACGTTCGAATTGGGCTGTACTTGAAGATCTTTATCCGGGTGCTATTTACGAAATATCTGTCTATGCCATTAGCCATGGATTGATCAGTGATCCACATTCATATTTTCAGACGATATTTCCTCGACCACCAGAAGCACTACATGTAGCACAGCATACGAATTCTTCATTAATGTTATCATGGTCAGCTCCGATCGATTCATTAGTCGATCATTATATCGCAAGATATCGTCCAACCAGGCAAACTGTTTGGCGTGATTTAGGCATTGTGAATACAACATCGATGGAGATTAAAAATCTTGTTGCCGGTGAAATGTACACTGTACGTGTATCATCCGTATCGAATCGTGCTGAAAGTCCAGACATACGTGAATTGGAACAAACAATGTTTCCTAATTCAATAGCAAGTATAAAAACATTAATCGATTCACATAATATCACATTTCAATGGCTAGCACCAGAAGGTGTTATTGATTATTTCAATGTGATTTATAATCCCGTAAATCAACCTAAATTACAAGAATCCAGACGTATTAATTATTATAATGGTACAAGACCAGGTGATTTGATCACCGTTTTCATTCAGGATCTAAAACCTGGTGAAGAATATTCATTTCGTTTTTATGTAATAAGTTTTAAACTTCGTTCCGAAGGAATCGGTGTCCAAGTACGAACAAGTAAGTGATTATTTTGTTGTTGTTGTTGTGATTCGAAAATTCTAATTTTTATTTGCCCATCAATATAGTTCCTGTTATCGATTCAGTTATCAATGTAATTGTTGGTGAACATGAAACAAAAACTTTGGGCATTAAATATACGCCTACACCGTTAAGAAACGTTGTGTTTGATCGTTATCGTTTTCAACTTTCGGGCACCACAATACCATCGCAAGAAAAACAATGGAATGATACAAATCGTTTTGTTTTGTTCGATAATCTAATCCCAGGGCGTTTATATAATCTTTCCATATGGACTATAAGTGGTCAAACATTATCTGTGCCTATTCAACGTCAAGCACGTCTTTATCCAGAACCAATAAGAAATATAAATGGATTATCAATCACTGATTCAGAGATTACGTTAAGTTGGGATGTACCTTATGGTGATAAAGATGGTTATGAAGTACAATATTTTGATCCACATGAAAAAACACTTGTCGTGAATGTTACATTAATCGAAAAGATTGAATATCGTAATCTAAAGCCACATAATAATTATACATTCATCGTGACGACATTATCCGGTTATGGTACATCGACAATGTTACGATCGACACCAATATCACAGACATTTCTAACACTTGAATCAGTACCAGGCAAAGTATCGTATTTTCAATCCGTGGATGTAAAACCAAATGAAATAACATTACAATGGTCATTACCACAATCTGAAATGAATGGTATTCTTACTGGCTATAAAATTGTCTATTGGATCAAATCAACTGGTACAATAATTACTAAACATCAATTATTTGAACCATATGAAACACAAGGTACTATTTATAATCTATTACCGGGTAAAACATATGTATTTCAAATACAAGCTCATACTAAAGTTGGACCCGGTCATAAAGCCGTATGGGAAGAAACAATGCCAATATGGTCGGCACCAGCACCAGCCGATACTGTATTTCCTACTGAAGTTGGCCACAGTACTAGAACGATACGAATTCGATTTCGTAAAAATTATTTCTCCAATATGTACGGTTCAATTCAATCGTATGCAATCATTGTAGCTGAAGATGATACAGTCAATTCAAATGTTTTAGATATATCATCATGGTTCGATATACAAGATTATAGTGTATGGCCACCATATCAAACAAATGATCCATTTTATCCATTTAATAATTCACAAATTGAAGATTATGTTATTGGTGCTGAACAATGTGATATTAAACAACATTTACGACATTCGACATCGATTCGAGGTGGTTCCCCAAAATATTGTAATGGACCATTAAAACCGGGTTCTACATATAAAATCAAAATACGAGCATTTACAACGGCCGAAAAATTCACCGATACCGTTTATTCATATGCAATGTCTACAGATCCAGATCATACGGCACTTTATCTATCCATATTAGCTCCATTTATATTTCTTACCTTGTTGATTCTTCTGGTTGTCTATTTACGCCGAAATCGATTAGGTCCATTCAAAGATGGTGGAAAATTCATTCATCAACATCCACATCATCATATGTCAACGATTGGACCGAATGGAATGCCAATCATGTTGAAAGATGGCACTGGACTTGGTGGTGTCAATGTATTGGGTAATGCAGCGGGTAGTGCTGTAGGCGATAATTTATCGATTGTAGAAGGTGAAATGATCACTAATAGACCGATAAAATTCAAAGATTTCGCAGATCATTTCAGATTGATGTCGGCTGATTCAGATTTTCGTTTTAGTGAAGAATTTGAACTATTGAAACATGTTGGACGTGATAGGCCGTGTAATGCGGCTGATTTACCGGTTAATCGGCCGAAAAATCGTTTCACTAACATTTTACCATATGATCATTCACGGGTTAAATTATTACCCACCGATGATGAAGAAGGATCAGATTATATTAATTCCAACTATATACCGGGATTTAATTCACCAAGAGAATTTATTGTCACACAAGGTCCATTACATTCAACACGTGATGATTTCTGGCGTATGGTTTGGGAACAGAATTCTCGTGCAATTGTTATGCTTACAAGATGTATTGAAAAAGGTAGAGAAAAATGTGATCGTTATTGGCCATACGATACACAGCCAGTATTCTATGGCAATATACAGGTGACCATTTTGAATGAAACACAATATCAAGATTGGACAATTTCGGAATTCAAAGTGATGAGGGTAAGCGCTTACTGATCATTCATTTGTTTATTTAGCTAAATTTTTTTCTCTTTGGATTTCCATTCACCATACATATAGGGTGATCAATATCGTATTGTTCGACATTTTCATTTCACAACATGGCCAGATTTCGGTGTACCAGAACCACCGAATACATTAGTAAAATTTGTTCGATCATTTCGTGAAAGAATCACTGCCGATAATAATAAACCAATTATTGTACATTGTTCGGCTGGTGTCGGCCGATCTGGTACATTCATTGCATTGGATCGTATTCTACAACATGTTAAAAAATATGATACGGTCGATATATTTGGTATTGTTCATGAAATGCGTAAAGAACGTGTCTGGATGGTTCAAAATGAGGTATGTGTGATAATTATGTTCCATAAGTGGTGATTTACAAAAAAAAACAACTAATGATTATTATTATCACATTTATTTGATCAAAACAAATATAGCAACAATATATTTGTATTCACGAATGTTTGATGAGTGTCCTGGAAGGTAAAGAAGAATTAATCGAAATGCACGAAAATCCTGGTTATGAAGGTAAGAACCAAAAAAAAAAAAAAAGTTATCCATGTCTGTTACCTATAATTCATCGACAATTTCTTTTTTGTCACAGATGACGAAGCAATGGCTGAATCTGGAATTTAATAATAAAATTTCTAACTATCCAATGAAGTGATAAAAATTATCGAACCAGAAAAAAAGTGTGAAATGAATTAGCTTAATGAACTATGTGTGTGTGTGCTAATACGATAATTATGGAAAAATTGGCAGCAAGAAAAAAGTCATTTTGTGATATAATGATGATGATGATGATAGACCAGATGATCAGACCGAGAAACCAAGATTTATAAACTTGGTTTATTAACTTAGTTTTTTTTTGTTGTTGTTGTTCATGTTTACAACTATTTTGCATAATTTGTTCTTCACAACATTTGTTATCTGATTTCTTTTCGACAAAAAAAAAACATTTTTTTTTTTGTTCACCGTTATTCTTAAGCAGCTCACATTCTCATCATGATGACTCTGATGGCTAATGTACACACACTCACACACACACCTAGATGAAACCATTGATTTGTGTAAACATGAATGAAAAAATAATTCCCATACGACGATGATACTCATGGAAAAACAACATCATTATCATCATAATATATATAAAATTCAAACTGATTGATTCAATGATATTTTGTAGGCAGATATGGCGGTTTTTTTTTTTCGTATCTGTTTTGTTTGTTTTGTTTGCTTTATTCTCATGATGACATACAGACTTTTTATTTATTTATTTTATATTTATATATATAATAGGAATAGGAAAGGAAAATTCTTTTTTTTTTCATCGTCGATTCTTGACACTTTTTTTTCGATAAAAGAAAAATCAACTTACCTTTTTTTTGTATATATATATTTCGCACACAACACAGCATTCTGTATTCTACATATTTATTTATGAAAGAAAAAAAATTTTTTTTATTTTTTTATAATTGTCAAAATTTGAATTTTGATTGTTTTGATGATTGACAGTGATCACCACGTGTGATCATGACTTTCTGCGCCAAAAGCGAAATAAAAAAAAATGGAAAACAAAAGCCATGGAATCTATTTTTTTTTTGTGCAATAAATATTTCTGGAATTTCAACATTTATTCATTCGTTTTTTGTTTTGTTTGGTGGTGTGGTCATATATTTTCAATGTAAGTAAAAGTAAATATGTCACGCATGCAAGATGAAACAATCTGTTACGAAACAAAAAAATCGACGACAGCTACTATCCAATGTTTTGTATGATATCAATGTTGAATATTTAATTATTTTTGTTGTTGTTGTTGTTGTTGTTGTTTCCTTTTTTTTCTATACCATCCACCAAACACAAATTATGAATTCTTTTGTAGATGTGTTTATGTATATGTTATGTTTCATTTTGTTTTTTGTTTTGTATGAAACAAATTACAGAATCGAAAACATGGAATTCTATTAAATATACGATCAAGAGAGAAAGAGACAGACAGACAGACAGATAAATTTCAAATATTCTGAAAATGAGAACTGAAATTCCAATCAAAATTATAAAATGAAAAAAAAAAAATCTTTCTCTCTAAACCAGACAGACAATGATTAACATGAGAAAAATGTCACGAAAAACTTGAAAAACAATGTTTCGTGTGTGTGTATGTGTGTGTACAGTAATAAACCGCCGCTTAACGCTGGAGCTATGTTCTAAAAATTTTGACCATAAAACGACGCATTACTGTATCAAAATTGAATGTGTTTATTCATTGGCTGGGAAAAAAAAAACACAACGTGGTTTGTTAATGGATTAAACATGGTGAAAAAAACATGAAACACGTCGTTGATTATTACGATTCAATTGTCGAAAAGATTCACGTAAATGTTTCGGTGTTAATGGTCCATTTTCACCAATTTTTTGTTGATAATCTAGAGCTTTTATAATAATACATGAATCGATTGATTAATCATCATCATCACTGACTTACCGGTTTCAATTAATTCACCGACATAAACTTTGGCTATACCAGCCAATGCAATGGCTGTTTTATCATTAATCATCACATCGGTTATGGAACGAATGAATTTTTTCATTACACTTTTAGAAAATTTCGATCGACGACACATTTCATAACGGCTAAATTGTTCATGGTTAAAATTTTCCAATAGAATCCTATGTGAGCGTTTGGATTAAAAAAAAAAAAAAATAACGGACCGATTTAATACATTATAACGTGTGCATTTACATCATTTTATCATTCCATGTCATAGATGCCATTGGTGCTGTTGTATGCATTTCGTCCATTTCTAGCTTTTCAATTCAATTGAAAATGAAAAAAAAAGTTGAAAACTTTTTTTTGCCAAATTCCACCAATCGGATACAATTCGAATTTTTTTTTTTATAATTCAATTCACTTTAATTGGAAAGAGAAAAAAAATTGTTCGACAAAATTATACTTTATTTTTGAGTGAAAAAGTAGTGATTTGTTGTCCAACAACAACAACAACAACAACAACAGGTCTGTTTTGTCTTCGTTTTTTTAATGAATACTTTGGTTACACAATTTGATTTTTAATCGGATTTTTTTTCTTTTTCTTTTTCTTTTTTTGTTTTTCTTTAGAGAATTTATTCATATCAAGAAAAAATCAAGAATCACTGATTACAAATGGATTCTGTATATGAAAACAAAAAAAAATCCCAAAATGACAATTATATTGAGCTTTAATGGATATTTAAAGATCCACCCATTCTATTATTTGTTCTTGTTATACATCATAATCATCATCATCATCATTATAAAATAGTTAACTTGTTGTATGTTTGAATAAATTTAGAAAAATTATCGAGAAAAAATCTACTAAAACGATGACGATAATGATGAAGAGGATCCGATAAATTTTCTCGTTTATTGTTTACATTCATTCGTTCTTTTTCTCGATTATTGTGAATTAAGTTTATTCGATCGATTCCAAAGAACGAATTTAATGTATTTGAACAAGATAAAGAGAGAAAGAAAGCCTGTAGGCATTGTGTGTACACCTGATGCCAAAGTTTGGATTGAAATCTTTGGATTTTTTCTAATTGTTAAAGAGTTAAGAAGAAAAGAAAGAAAGAAAGAAAATGGATACTTTGTGATCTTGTAGTTTTGAAATGTAATTTTTTTTTCTTTTTCTTTTATTCGGTTGAATGGTTTCAATATATATATACACACACACACACAAAACATCAAGTCAAGCAAGAAACAACATCATCAATATTGGAATATTCTGGAATACTGGAATTTCATCGATCAGGCTTATTTATGTGCATGTGTGTGTGTGTGTTTGCATTTCCAGAATATTTTCTTGGTTTTTTTTTTTTATTATGAATGAAAATATTGTTATTGTAGAATTTTTTATTCATCGATAATGTTAATCAGATTAGTTTATTCAGAAAAATTCAATCGAATGTCAAATTCTGATGACGATGATCCGATTCTGGCTGGTCGAATTATTTTTAAAAAAAATGCACAGAATCATGATGATGATGATGATGCAATGATCCAGACATTGCATCTAGACCAAAAAAAAAATCACTGATTCATTTGGATTTATTGTTTGAAATGTATACGGAACAAACAACAAAATGAAACGAAAAAAAAACAAATTGAAAACGATGATTCAATACAAATGAATTTGATTCAATGCAAACGACCATTATAAATATATTCATTTGATGTGTGTGTGTGTTGAACAAAAGAGAAAGAGAGATAGAGAGAGGGAACAAAATAATTGAATCAAATCAAATCAAATCAAATCAAATCGAATCGAGTCATTACTATTTATTGATTCATCTATAGATCTTTTTCAATTTGTTATTATTATTTTTTTTCATCAGTTTTCTTTTCATTTACCTATTTCAAATTCGATGATGATTATGATGATGATGATCAGAATTATTTTATATATAGATATATAATTGGTATATATTGGTTATGTTTACATTAGACAAACGTTGTTGTTTTTATTCATTGATGAATTCATTCATTTGTTTGTTTGTGTGTGTGTGTGTGTGTCTAATCCAGAAAAAAAAGAAGTATGCGATTCAGCAATTTATTCATTCCATCTACATCAAATTAATAATCATTTGAGAGAGAGAGATCATTACGATTTTTTTTTTTTTTTTTTTTGATCATCATCATCATCATGATGATGGTTCACTCATCGATGTGTGTATCTCTACTGCGCATTTAACCTGTACGTATGTTGAATCACCATCAAGAGAGAGAGAGAGAGAGAGAGAGAGAGAGAGAGAAAAAAAATCTTCATTTATCCAATCAATCTATGAACCAAACCATTCACTATCCTGTTCCGTTTATCATATACACTTAGTTACACAGGACGCAGAATCCGTATTTTCGAAAAAAAAAAAAAAATAAAAATAAGCGCCATGTATATATGCTGCATGTGTATATGTAACAACCATATATATACGAGATGGGTTTCATCAATGGATTAGATGAATGGTTGGTTGGCTGGTTGGTTGGTTGTTCGGTTGTTCGCTTAGTGTGGTTATGATCATCATTAGTTCATCATCATAATCATTCGTTCATTTTCATCATCGTAAAAATACTATGGATGATGATTTGATTCTTTTCTTGTTATTGTTGTTGTTGATCCAAAAATAATGAAAAGTTTATCGGAAGTTTTACCATTATTATTATTTAGTGTTTTGTTTGTTGTATATCATATAAATGTGCCAATGTATGTGTAATCAATTGTGTATGATGATGATGATCACACATTTTACGATTATCGATGATCGATTTTTTATTATTATTATTCGTCTTAGTAATGAGAATGAATAATTAATTTATTCTTAACTTTGGTGGCAGCAGTAATTCAATCTGATCGATAGTTTTTTTTTTTGGAAAAATCAACGACTTTACACCTTTATCTCTATCTTCAGCCATTCACAGTGTTGTTGTTCACATTAATGGTGGAATTAATAAAAATTTCAATCAAAAGAAGCGGCAAAAAAAAATTTTCAAATTGGATGTGAAAAAAATTGATTAATCCTCTGATCGATGAAGCGAACACACACACACACACACACCAACATTATAAAGTGAGAAAGAAATTGTCAAATTTTCATCTACATTTGTCATCATCATCATCATCATCATCATCGTCGTCATTGTCGTCGTCGTCGTCGTTGTTGATAAAAGTGTGGTGAACATTTTTTTTGGTCAGAAAAAAACACAACGAAACAGTGAAAATTGGTAATTTACCAAAAAATCATTGCTCAATTTACTGTTGTTTATGTGTGTGTGTGTGTGTGTACGTCTGTCTTTGTGTATTTAAAACAAACAAACAAAGTTATCAAATCAATCAAAGAATTAAAAAAAAGAAAAATGGAGATTTTCAAATTTTATTCATATGGAATTCTGTCGAATATAATCTGTTTTTTTGGTCTATTGGGCAATACATTAACATTGTACATATTGAATTCAAGTAAAGGTAAATTCTGATTTTTTTTAAAAATTCTTGTTTTTTTCAATTAAAAAAAAAAAACTAAAATGTCAATCAAACTCAATTACTTGAATTTTTTTTTTTTTGATCAAATCAAATTTTGGTTCATTTTTTTTTTTGATAATGAATTCATTTTTGATCAATTCTTCATCCATCGTTTGTTCATTTGTATGGATCAAATTGTTTTTCTCATTAACTAAACTAAACGTTTTCCATAGAATTTTAATGAGCAAATGGAAGTTTCAATGTACTCAATAATTTTGATGATGATGATTTTTTTTTAGCTTGAAGAAAAAAAAAATTCTCTCTTTTCTTTCTTTTTTTTTTGATTTCCATGATAACTAAACGAAAAAAAAAAGTAGCCATCAGAATCAAAATCATTGCCATGATGGCGATTTAATCAGTGATTTTGTTACTTTGGAAAAAAAAATTTAATATCAACATCATTGCATTGATGAATGTAGACAGTAATCAGTGTAAAATTCATTTAATCATTCATTCATTCATTATTGTCATGCAGAATATTCTGGAATTCTATACGATCCATTTATTTATTTATTCATTCATTTATTCCAACGATTACACAAATACAAGCACATATGTGTGGACGATAATCAATTTTTTTTTTCATCTAATAAAATGTGTCGCGACGGCTGTGGTTGGACAATAAATGTGTATTTTTTTTTCTTGATTTTGTTTCTGGTCAACTAACCAAAATGATGATGGTGATGACAAATTTTATAATAATAATCTTGTTCATTGTTTCCTGATTAACTAACCAACCAACCACCCACACACAAGCAAAAAAAAAATTTCATTTCATTTTCGGAAACGTTTATAAATAGACTGAAGAATGAAATCAAAACGTTTGGCCTTGTTTGTTGGTTTTATTTTTCATTACTAATTTGTTCGTTTGTTAGGTTTCCATGTATGTTTGTTGTTTGTTTGTGATGAAAAAAAAAATTCGATTCTGTAAAATTGAGAGACAGAGAGAGAGAGAGAGAGAGAGAGAGAGAGAGAGAAGAGAAAAAAAACAAAGCAAGCCATAGAAAAAGAATTTGAAAATCACAAACAAACAATTCTCAATAATGATGATGATCTGTAGTAACAAAATTTGATTCTGTTTCCACAATTTTACTTTATTGTATGGTTGTTGGTTATTTCGGCAACAACAAGAACGAGTGAAATTTTCATTTTGAGTCTTCAATTTCGATTTTGATTTGATTTTTTTTTTGACATTTTCAAGCCACCAATAATGATTGTGAAAGAAAGCAAAGAACTTCCGAAAACAAAGATGAAAATATAGAAAAAAAAACGAAACAAACGACAATCACAGAATTGAACACGAAAGTTGTACAAATAAATGAAAAATTAATTTGTAGTTTTTCCATTAGAAACAACAACAACAACAATAACAAAAGCAGAAAGTTTCCGATTTTTTTTGTGTAATTTGTTCGTTTCGGTATTTTTTTTCGAGAATTGGAATTTTTTTTTGTTACTTTTGGATTTCCAATTTTGAAAAAACTTGGAAAAATCAAATGATAAAACACAGATTAGTTTTGTACAACTTTTTTTGTTGTTGTTGTTGCTTTTTTACCAGATCGAATAAAAAAAAGTTAAACAATGTTCACTCCTGGGACAACAACAACAACAACAATAACAACAACAACAACATCCGTTTTTTTACCAATGACCAACCTGCTAGCCTGAATGTTTTTTTGTTTTGTTGTGTTATGGAAATAAAAAAGTGTATGGAGCTAACGGATTTAGAGCTAAGCCAGGCCAGTGATATTTATCCATTCATAAATACGATGTGCACGATTATCTATCCATCGCAATGGATCAATGCTCCAACACAATCATAGAAATGATAAAATGAATAAATTAAAAAACAAAACGAAACGAAACGAAATCCCCATTGGGATCATTAGAAATCATTATTCTCTCGCTGTTGTTGTTGTTGTTCACAGAATCGAAACATGTTTTTCTTCAACATGATTTGTCGTTTTTTTATTATTCTGTATGTAGAATAAATTTATTTTCATTTAACCAAAAAAAAAGAACTAAATGAATAGCGCAATGATGATCATTAATTTATATTCATTTTTAGAATCTACTGATAATTTATCCATTTATTAAATTTTCCAAATTACCTGATTACCTGGCTACTGGGTAAATGTGAAATTGGAAAAAAAAATGAAATTCTTTCTAGCCATTAGAGTGCAAATAAACATTAAATATGGATGATGATGATGATGATGATCCATCCATCCAACCACAGATCATAAAGAAAGATGGAAAAAAATGATGAAGAAGAAGAAGAGTAACAAAAACGATGTTAACGAGCAAAGAAAAAAAAAGATTGAGAAATATTATTATTAGTTTGATGATAATGGTCGATCGTATATCATCATCAAATGTTCATTCACACAATTTGGCCATCAGAATGAATCTCAATCTTTTTTTCATCTTCTTCTTCTTCTTCGTCTTTCGTTTTTTTTTCTGTGTTTGTTTAGCTTGAAATAATTCCATGTATGTATCAATCAATTATTATTGAGACAAACGATAGTATCACTATAGTACACTCAAGGAATATGGAATAATCTGACAATCTTTTTTTTTTTGCCCCACTTCAAATTTGTTTTGTTTTGCACTAATGATGATTATTATTCCCATAATAATCATAATAATAATAATAATGATGATGATGATGATGATGATTATGAATGATGATGAAATCGCTATGAATTTATTGTTTTTTTTTTCTTTTGTTTATTTTGCATCATATATATATATATATATATTCAGACCAAATGGTTCCTGGTTTGTTTTGTTTTTTTTTTTTTTTTACTTTGTGCTTGGTGCATCAACATTACGGTATTAGTGTCATTTTTTTTTTTTTTTTTTGCTAAATGAAAATAAAACAATTGTCCAACAATCTCCATTTTTAATGACGTGTAATCATAAGTCGTAAATTTTGAATAGAAAAAAAAACGCCAAACCAAACTAAATTCCATGCAAAACAAAATAAAAAAAATATGACGCCAATGATGATTGCAGGCATTTTTGTAAATTTTCTTATCCCAGAGATTATCATTATCACCACCTGCCCCCACCGTACACACACACACACACCATTATTACCTTGAGCCATAATTACAAATTTTTTTTTTGGTTTTTTGATAAAAATAAACCAAACTAAACAAACAAACAAACGAATACTCATTTTCATCAATTCGTCATCGTCATTTTTTGTGTACAATTTCATTTTTGCGTGTGTCTTTTTGTCTCTTTTTGTTTGTTTTTGTTTTTCAATAATGGACAAAGAAGAGCCACCTGTATGGTCATTAACATTGAAATATTATTGTTATGGCCATTTCAATATGTTCATCGTCATTGTTGGTTTCATATTCAACATGATCACATTGTATATATTGATCTTTTATAAAGGTTCGTTATTAATATAGTCGCCACATGATTGAAATTTTCGTTAATCAATTCTGAAATTTAAACAAAAAAAACCATCATCATCATTTATCTTACATAATAATGAGATTGTTCAAAGTTCAATTTAATGGATCAATTTTCATTCGTTTATCATGATGAAATTGCCACGATAAAAAAAAGGAAAAAAACAAACGCTCAATTAGCCAACGGTTGATAATTGGTTGATGGGTCATCATCATCATCATCAATGATTGAGATGTTGATGTTGATGATGATGATTGCCAGTAAATAATAATAAGAAAAAGCTATTACTATTTCACTTGGGAGACTTTCGCAAAAAAAATCATCAAAACTTCGAATGATTGAGAGAAAGGCAGAAACATTTCTTTTCTGTTTTTTTTTTTTTGCTTTTGGAATGAATGAATGAATTGAGTGTAAAAAAAATGAAGAAGAAGAAGAATAAGAAAAAACGGTAGAAAAAAAAACTAAATTGGTTTTCCATTATCATTGCATTTTATATAGTGTTCAAGTTTGTGTTTAAAAAAAGTGATGAATGAATGAATGAATGAGAAATAAAATTAAAGTGAAAGCAAAATATTTATTGATGATGATGATGATGATGATGCTCTTTTTTTGATTCTTTTTTCATCATCATCATCATCAATGATTGAATGAATGAATGAATTGTTACATGTAAAGTAAAGTAAAATAAAGTGAATCTTATTGTTCCACAAAGGCACGCAAGCACACTTGTTTTTTTTTGTTGTCGGTTTCGTGTTTGGATTTTTTTTTTGTTGTTGCGTGCTTTACTACAAGCTATCGTGTCTATTTTTTTTCTACCTCTCCCCATTCATTTCAAATATAATTTGGCTATCATCGAATGTCATTTTTTTATATATATATTTGTATAAGTTACAAACAAACACAACCAACGTTTGCATAATCATCACAAATTCTTTATTGATGATGATGATAACGTTAGTTAACGTTTTTTTGTTTCTTCTTCTTTTTTTATCTATTTCCCCATGAGAAAAAAAGTCAGTTTTTGTTTTCTGTTTTTTTCTTCTTCTTCTTGTCATTTCAGAATCTCGACAAAGTTGATGATGGTTGTTGTTGGTTGTTGTTGTTGTTGATAGCATCAAATGATGATCTATCTACCTCTGTTTTTTTTATTATTATTGTAATGATAGATTGGAGAATTTTTTTGTTTGTTTGTTTGAAAATCAAATCGATACTGATGGATGGATAGATAGATAGATAGATAGATAGTGAGTTGTAATTATCGAAAATAGTCAATTATAGTCATTTTGATTGTCTGTGTGTCTTTGTGTGTGTGTGCTATTTAATTGTCAATTTCTCCATTCACTCGTTTAGTTTCATTTCATTTTATTTTCTTTTTTATTCTGGCTTTTCTTTTCTGCCTACACTGGTTCGATAATAATCACAAATCAATATCGATCATTCTGTTGAAAGCAAAAAAAAGAGATCCAAAAATCTACAAAAAAAAATCCATTAAAGTTTGTACATATATGTTTTGTCTGCAATGAATTCATCTTCATCTTCATCTTCAATTCTGCAACTTAATTCAATTCTTTCATTTTCTGCTGACTATGCATGTGTATGTCATTTTAATAAATGAAATGTTTTTTTTTGTGTGTGTGTGTGTGTTTGTTTCAGGTATTTTATAAATGAAAATGTTGAAAAAAAATATATATGAAAAAGTGCAACATTTTGATTATTATGGATGAGATGAAAAAGTGAAAATCTGAAAATGAAGAAGAAAATTATTACGTAGACATTCCATTTTTTCGGATTAGATTCCTGGATGTACCAGATTGCACTCTTTTTTTTTTTTTGGGGTAAAACAAAACACAAACAGCATACCATTTAGCATAGGTTCAGATTTTTTTCCTTTTTTTCCGCCAAGAATATTCTCTGAATTCTGTATGACTTTATGTGCGTGTGTGTGCTAGAAAATAAAACAAGAAGAAAAAATAAATGGCATCCACACATTCTGAGTCCATTAGAAAACAATTTTCTTTTTTCTTTTGAAATGAAATTAAAGGTTACATTTTTTTTTTCATGTCTAAAGAAAAACTTTCTTTTTTTCGTATGAATATTTTTCGGCTATAGCAGCAGCAGTAGCAGTAGCAGAACTTTTTATCATTATCATTTCACAGAATTATCATTATTCTCACCATCATTTCTAGTCGATTGGTATTGATCATAAGCAGCAGCAGCAGCAAATGGACCAACGATTCAAGCCAATGAAAGGAAGGAATATTATGAATTGGATTACAATGAAAAATTTCGAAATACAAAACAAAACAAAACAAAACAAAACGAGATTTCCCTTGAGGGCAATAATCATCATTGATGATGTGTGTGTGTGTTTGTTTTTTTTTGTTTCCATTTTGATTTCAAATAGCTAGTTTGACAGCATCAGAGTGATAGACTAGTTATTTGTCTTCGATTCAAATTACGAAATACAAATCGAATAGATTTGACAGCAACAACCAATCAACATGGCCTTGATTATGACAAATAATTTGTGGTTTTTTTCCTCGGTAATGGTGGTGAATTGTTTTTTATTTGATTTTTTTTTTTTTCGTTCCGAAGAAGAAACAAACCCGAAGAAGAAACAAACTAATATCGAACAAAGTTGGTGCGCTATATAATGGAAATGAAAAAAAAAGAGAGGAATATGTCCAATCATTTTTTTTACATTTTTTGGAATTTGGAACAAACATTTTGACGATATTATAACGAAATATGGACTTACACCATCGAAATTCGATCCGTGCCATTACTATCAACATATTTATAAAATGTTTAAAATCGTAATTTTAAAATTTATTAACGTTTCTTGGATTGATACAGCGAAACAATTGGCTGATTGGTTAACGAAAATCCTATTGCCCGAAAAACATGAACGAATGATAAAACTGTGGAATATGATTGACATATCGATGACAGGGGAGTGTTAACAAATTAGTCATCGATCATGTAAATTGAACGTTGATCTGTGTGTGTGTGTATTGGTGTTTGTTATTGGATTTTTTTTTCTATTTCACTCTCAACAAGAATCGCTCTAAATTGACTATACTAACAGCAACGCAAAAAAAAATTTGCTTCATTGATTTTAGCATCAATAATAAAAAAAAAATAAAGAAAGAAGGAACTTTCAGTCATGAAATGAAATTCAAAACCATAAGACAAACTACACACCCACACACACAGAAAGAGATAGATGGAGACGCTAAAAATAATACGAAAGAGTCCATACCATTATTGGAAAAAATGATGAATGAACAGGGTTCTTGGAACCCGTGGGGCATATATTTTGGGATGATTTTTTTTTTTTAAGATGATGATGAGCCATTGAAAATAAATGCAAAAAAAAAATTTAAACAAAGAAAAAAAAATGTAGTGACAAATTGATTGACAGAAAAATTTTCAAAATGTAAAAAAATTTTTTTTTTTTTTTTTTTTGACAAAAAACGTAAGAAAAAATTCACTCTGGTTTGCTATGATTTGTATATATGTATTTTAGTATTCAAAATGAAAATCGATATAGCTTTTGGCGCTTTTTTCAAGTTTATTTTTTCAAAAAAAAAAAAAAATTTCAGCCAATTGAAGCATTCATAAATTCAGTGCAAAATTGTTATTTATAAATGGAAACTGTATGAAACACACAGACAACAACAACAATCATATCTGAGAAAAATCAAATATTTCTTCACATTCATTGTCCATCATCGTCATGAAGAATTTTTTTTTATCATTAATTTCATCATTTTTTTCGATTTTCGTTAACATTTAATTAACATTTATGAGACAAGTTTGTTAATTGCTTGAAGCAAAAATTTTGGAACAACAAACAAAAAAGAACAAAAAAAAAATCTAAATTCCAATTTTGATATATCAGTAATCATCAATTTTATTATTTTTTGACCAACTACTGACCAAAATAATCATGATGATGATGATGGTGAGATTGCTAAAAGTTTAAAAATAGCATGTTAATGTTATGTTTTTCATCTTTTATTCGAGCACAAATTGTTTGTCTAGTTCGTTTGTTTTTGTTTTGTTTTTATTTTGTTGTTTAATTGTGTAGAACTTGAATCGAATCGAATCGAATTCAATTCATTGATTGAATAATTAATTTTGTTTTTTGTTTTTGTTTTTCATCCATGTTTAACAATCATGAAAACATTCACTCTTGCAGCACACATTATTATGTAATGTTTCTGTAGACTTTCTCCTATACGATTTACATTAAAATACACATTCATCGATTCAATTGGAATTTGTCAATTTTATTTTCGGGCTACTGATGAAATGATGACATGATTTAAAAGTTTTTTTTTCATTCATTAATTCTTTTCTCTCTTTTTCTCTTTCGTTTTTTTACATTTAGACATGCGAAAATCAACAATCAACATTTATTTAACCGTATTGACATTATATGATAATGGTGTATTAATATTTTCTGTATTAATGCTCAATATACCGGCTATAAATGATTATCAGCTACAACAGCAACAACAACAAATATTAGCAGCAGCAGCAGCAGCATCAGCGGCTACAACAACAACAAATGAATTTATTTCATTTATGGATGATCCAAATCGTTTGGGTGAACCACCACCGTCACCGCCACCGCCAATACCATTATCATCATCATCACAATCAAGAAATCAAATTATTAATGATGATTCTTCTGCCATTATTATAAATAATAATAATAATTCCAACACGTCAATGTCATTGATGAATGTAATGATGATGACACAATCCCCATCGTTGAATGGCGACAATGATGATGATATGCCTTTGATGATGAATCAACAAATGATGAATAAAATTGGAACGACACTATCAGTGCCAACATTATTATCGGAAAAAAATATTAAATATCCATTACCATCGTCATCATCATCATCATCATCATCATCATCATTACCATTTAAACATCGGCATACACATCAATATGACGATTCAATAATATCATGGAATCATGCATTGAATGATTCATTCATTGCATTCATTAATCAATGTTTATTATCGGTGGATCAATCAACAACGACGAAAGATGACCATTCCAGCAACAATGATGATGATTATAGATCACAATTTGATTGGCAATATTGTCGTTTATTATTTCGTTTAAATTCATATACAATGATATCGGATCCATTATTTATGGAAGAAATTGAAGAAAATTCTGATGAATCATCAATTGAATTATCATCACAACAAAATAATATTCTAATTCCTTGGTCTAATCGAATGCAACCAAATAGAATTTGTTTACATTTAATGAATAAAACGCTCAATATAATGGATCATTTTGATAATGCAAAAATTGTACCAGACCATTTATGGTTAGAAAAACATTTACAAATATTATTATCGTTGACAAACAATATCACCACCATTGTTGATGATGATCAACGATTCTGCAATTGGAATTTCATTGTTGATGATGTTGTTGATTCAAATGCTACCAATGGATGTCCATTCATGATTGAAATGCCTTTTTCACCATTAGTTTATTATGTGAAAATTGTTTATCCACTGGCATTGATTGCACAAACTGGATCAATATGGACAACATGTCTGATAACGATTGAACGATATCTAGCTGTTTGTCATCCATTAATGACAATGACATTATCGACACGTGCACGTGCAATATGGGCATTGTCAATTTTATCCATTATGGCATTTTTATTCAATTTACCACGATTTGCTGAAGTGGATACCACTTGTAATCAAGTTCGAGCGACAGAATTTCGTCACAATAAAATCTATTATCAAGTTTATTATATATTCCTGAATCTGACATTCAATTATATTGTACCATTATCATTATTGGCTGCATTGAATGTAAAAATTTATTTTAGCGTACAAAAAGCAAGTCAAAATCGTAATGAATTAACCCGTGCACGTCAAAGTGAATTACATTTAGCATCAATGTTTATCGCCATTGTAGCTATATTTATTGGTAATTATGAAAATGAAATGAATGTTTTACGAATTACTAATATTTTTCATTTTCCTTAAATAGCTTGCAATGCACCGGCATTCATTGTCAATTGTTTGGAACCATATTTTCAGGTTGGCACACCTGTTTTGGAATTGATGACAATATTTTCCAATGTATTGGTTTGTTTCAATTCATCAATCAATTTTGTTATTTATTGTATATTTGGAAGAAAATTTCGTTTGAAATTTCTTCGATTATTACGTTTAAATCGATGGAAATTTTGTAATCGTCGACAATATCGTTCATCATCAACATCAGCAGCAGCAGCAGCATCGAGTTGTTCAGGTAGAACAGTTACCATACCATTTAATCGTCATCATGGTGGTGCAATGATGATGATGATGAATCGTGGTGATTCAACAATTTTGAATGGTCCAAATAATGAAAATATTAACAACAATAATCAACATAATCATCAAAAATCTAATTGGTCTTCAATGGTAGAGGGTCAATTGAAAATCGAACAACAACAACAACAACAAACAAAGCTGCAGCCGCAGCAGCAGCCAACACCACCACCTATGACAATGGAAAACGTTCGATTTTCACCTTCTTCTATAATACGATCAAATACATTTGGTTCTTATTCCAATCAAACTATACATACAATGAATAATCAACATCACAATGATGATGATGATGATGATGATGATGATGATGAAGGAGAAGAAGAAGAAAAAATTTCAATGGTTAATCATTATCATTTTAATAATGCTGCTGATACTTGTGAAAATTCAATAAAAACTACAACAACAACAACAAATAGAATAAAATTATTGAAAAAACTGTCAAGTTCATCATCACCATCAATGAAAAGTTTACATCATTCAGAAGAAAAAGAAGAAGAAAGCAATTTATTATCAATGGTTAATAATCATAATCATCATCAAACATTTGATAATGACAATCAATTAAATGATGATGATACTTGTGTTTAAAAAACACAACAAAAAAATTATTTTAAAAATTTAATTAAATTCTTTGTTTTGTTTTGTTTTTTTTTATTTTTATTTTATTGAAAAAGAATTTTTATAAAAAAAAAAAACAAAACCATTAACTGAGACAAGCATAAATATTACCATTGGCTGTAGACATATAATCAATCTGATGTTGTTGTTGTTTATTATTGATAGAAATTGATGATGATGATTCGTTAGACGATGATGACGATGAAGAATTCTCTAGTTCAATATCAGCTTGTTTTCCATTTGTTGGATATTGATCATCATTTATAACTGCGGCTGTAGCTGACCAATCATCGGACAATAATGATTGATTGTAATTCGTAACGCAAAATTTTACAGAATCATTGGGTGGAATCGAATTATTCGTAATCGTAATAGGAGGCGTTGTGACTGGTTCCAATTTAATCGAATTATTATCATCATCATTAGCTTTAATAGTATTGTTTTGTTCATTTTTCAAATGAAATTGACCATAATCTTGTTGTTGTTGTTGCTGTTGCAATTGGAAATCGATATTTCGGCAAGAATTAGAATTATTATTATTATTATTATTATAGCCATTGGCACAAATAATCGAAGATGATGTGTTTATATTATTAGCCAACATTAATGATAATTTCATTTCATAACGATCAATTCTTGCTAAATTCAATAATAGACATTCTTTGATACAAACAAATATCATGTCCCAAATAGCTAATGTCAAAATATTTTAGGCCAAAAAAAGAAAAAAAAAATAAGGAATTATTTTCCATGGGCAGTAATTGAAAAATGAATTTGAATGTAATTCTTTTTTGGAATGTGTGTGTATGTGTGTGTTTAGATAGATGAAAAAAAGATAAACAGATTAGAAAGAGCTTACATAATGTTTTTGATTCGTTGATAGTTAGATCACGCATTAAATTATTGATATAAAAATTGATACCATATAATAATAATTTTGATCGTCGTCGCATACATTTCCAATGGCACTATACCATCATCATGATGATAAAAAAAAATGAGAAAATATTAATAAAATTTAAGCCAATTGTTTTGCGAGTACAAGAATATAGCTAACCTTCCAAATATTTTGATCAACAATTGCTTTTGTCCAATTCAATATTTTTATCAATGAAAAATCCGTTACATTCTGAATGTAACGTATTAATAAATGGAATTGTTTTTGTATCATTTCAATCGAATGATTGGCAGATTCGGCTGTAATACATTGACAAAAAAATGAATCGATCCATAATTTTTTTCGCTTGTTGTTGTTGTTGTTGTTGTTGCTGAAATTATTATTAATTGGTGCTATTTTCATATTCATTTCATCATTCGAATCAACAACAGTGGGATCTTGTTTTAGGATTTCATCCATTTGTATTAAATCCAATGGATCAGTGGCCAATATATCATACATTGGTAATACTTGTTGTTGTGAACAATTTATTGTTCCAACACCAATCGATATTGATTGTATTTCGGAAATCATTTCTGCATAATCTTTGGAACATTTTTGTCTTCGCAATTGATTGATGGTTTGTCGACATTCCTGAACGATTGAAAGAATTAGAAATCAATCATGGATTTTTTTTTATTGATTCATTGTCAATCTTACTTTGATCATTTTAATAAATTCCAATTGTTTTAGCATACCGGTACTGAAATCTTTGAATACTCGTGATTTATGATTTAAAAAACGAACCAAATGTTCTTGAACTTCATTTTGAATTTCATTTATTCGACATTGTGAAATGGTTGTTGTTGTTGTTGTTGTTGCTGCTGCTGCCATCTCTATATCATGACGATGTTGAAAAATAATCAAAAACATTTGACCAGATGGATCCATTATTGATGCATATAACCATTGTTCTAGATTTTCAATTATATGACGAATATCTTGGATGAATATATCGGACATTTCTGGTAATAAACTTAATTGTGAAAAAAAATCTTCCATTGTCTATTTTGAATGATAATCATTATTTGTAAATTGTAAATTGAATCGAATATTTCGTAAACACTTACCCTATATAATAATGTATCGATAAATTTAATTACTTGATATGAAAATGGTGATGATGACACAAATGATGCTAAATGTGTTGGCATTTGATGCCAAAAATTTTGTATCGATCTACGCATTTCATCCACATTTGCTAATTGAAATAGATCAAATAATCTTTCACAATGGCTACGATACATTAATAAAAATGTTGATACAATCTGCGAGGAAATATCTGTGGGTCGAATATATTCAAAATCATCACATTTTGGATACATATTTTGAAAATAATTTATTGCCATTATTGTCACTGATGATGATGATGATGATGGCTTGGAATGTTGTTGTTGTTGACAAATAAATTCATCAATCTCATTTTCAATTTCTAAGGAAATTTTCCGGCATTCATCTACTAATTCCTCCGATTTCATTGATTGTTGTTGTTTTCTGGTTATCATTGTATTCGATTCATCATGGAATTCATTATTATTGTCAATCATCGAAAAATCTTGATATCCACTATCATTATTATTCAAATGAAATTGTTCTATTGGGCTACCATTACGTTTTGAATCATCATCATCATCATTATTTATCAATGGTAAATGTCGATATATTCCAATGCCATCAACTGATGATGAAATGTCAACATCATTATTATAATTGATTGCATTTGGTGTCATTGGTGCAAAATTCTCTGACGATTGTTTATGATAATGGTATGATTCATCAATAAACGATGAATTCTTATTCACTAGATTATCACTGAATAAATATTAATCCAGATCTAGCATATTCTTCGATTATCGTCAACTTACCAGTTAATTATTAATGATTTTTGCTGCTGTTGTTGTTGTTGTGGTTGTTGTGATTGCTGAATTTGACATTCAATTGAATTGAACCAATTTTGATTATCGATTATCGACTGTTGTTCGCTTGTTGTTGTTGTTGTTGATTGTAATAAAAAATATCCATTCATATTGGACGTGTTTGTGGCATCGATTTCATCATTTCGATCCAGCTGTTGTTGTTGTTGTTGTTGATGATGATGATAATAAGAATAATAATGATTTCGACCATGATCATCATCATTAATATTATAGCTATTGGGTGAATGATGATAATTTGTGGATTGATTGTGGTGTTGTTGTTTTGGTTGATGATAACGTAAATCTTGTAATGCCAAACTTGATGGTGATCCACCATAATTTTGATAAGAGACCAATGATGTTTGTTCATGAAATAATGGTGATGTTTGCCTGATACTAATACCATAATAATGATATTTCGATTGACCACGTGTACCAAGACGACGTGTAGAGATTTTTGAAAATTTTTGTCTAACCAACTAAAGCAGAAATGGGAAAAATTGAAAAATTTTCAAATGGAAAATGGAAACATTTCACACACCCACACACACGATACAATTACCTTTCCAAATGCAGCTGCACCAACTGGCTTGGAATCCGGTGCATTACAACGCATAAATTGTAGATAATGACGATATATTAAACATCTTGGTAAACAGATACCTTCACGTAATTCATAATTATCATCCAACCATTTTAATGTCATTTCATTTAATCGTCGATGTTGTAGTTTTAATAATGATCTTTGATATGAAGCTGATGTTGTATTCGTTGTTTTGTTGTTTATACCATCATTCGTGGTCGTTTCAATAGTAAACGATGTTTGTTGTTGTTGTTGATTCTTTGATGAATGTAAATTTTCATTATTTGATCCAATATCTGAAACTGAATCTGTTGATGATGATGGCGAATATATCATATTCGGTTGTTGTTGTTGTTGTTGTTGATGATGATAATTTGTTGAACAATGATCACCAGCAATGGCAACATGATGACTATTTAATAATCGATAATCAATGATTGATGTATTTGTTGTCGTTGGAATTGTATGATGATTAAATGTAGCAACAGCAGCGGTTAAATGTCGTTGTTCACCATCACCATCAAAATTTCCAGTTGTTGACTGTTGTTCATGATGATGATGATGATGATGATGATGATTCATCAAAGATACTGGTTGCTGCTGCTGCTGCTGCTGTTGTTGATAATTATAATGATGATGAGGATATTGAAAAAGGTAACTGGGATTCATTTTTATTTCACCCTTTTTTTCTTTGAATATTTTTTAATTCACAAAAAGGGAAAAAAGATTTTTGTTGTTGTTGTTGTGATGAAATGATTTTGAATTTTTTTTTTTAGTAAAAATTTTCAAAAACAACAACCTGTCGTTCAAATGAAATGAAATCTATCTAGGAAACCTAAAATAAAACCAAAACCAAAACCAAAACCAACCAACCAACTAGCTAACCAACAACAGGTTAAAAAAAAGTAATAAATTGTCATCGCATTTTTATATTCATGTAGATCACTTTTCTACATTAAAAGCTCTTTATTATTATTATTGACTTTGTGTTTGTTTTTCTTTTTGATTTTGAATTGAAACCAACAACAACAACAACAACAACAAAAACACCGTTTTTTTCTCTCTCTCTCTCACTCTTTTTCTCTTTCGGTATTTTGTAGTATATATCTGATTTCTGTATATTTATCAGTTTGATATCACTAGTATCGGATGTGTGTGTGTGTGTGTGTATAGAAAGCCACCTTGAATTTATATATATAGCATCAGCAGGTGTATATGCAACAAGTTGTGATATTTCATTTCCAGAAATATCATTATCAGCCATTTCGGCCAATATAAATTCGTAATGGGTAGGCTATTCTCACAATTTTTTGTGTTTGAACAAAATGCCTTAAAATAGGTGGATCTTTTTTTCGATTTAGTGGGCTGGTTTTTTTTTCTTCTGGTTTTCTCTCTCTACCATTCTCTCTTTTGCTGATCAAATCTTCACTGGTGTGTGTGTGTGTGTAAGTATGTCATATTATAGCTCGAAATTTGTAGTATGGAAAAAAAAAAAAAAGAGGAGGAGATTAAAGCAATGGTGGTTTACATAATGAAGAAACAAAAAAATTAAACATCAAAATAAATTCAACACACAATCAATGATGATGATGATGATGATGACTCATGTAAATTCAATTTCCGTTGATAAATCACAAAGAAAGAAAAAGCGCCGGAATGTAAGCATGTTTTTTAAAGATTTAAAGAGCCAATTGTGATTATTATCATCATCATCATCAAAAGAAGAAGATCATGCCACTTGTTGATTGGTGCACACACACTCAAGAATTATTGCCGTCAAGCAGTCTGTGTGTGTGTGTGTGTCTTGTCAGGCAAGATTTAAGAATGTTTTCATATGAATGTGTGTATGATGAATATATGAATATGTTGGATCAACGTGATAATTATGAATTAACAAACACATTTGTTTGCATTTGGACCAGAAAAAAAAAAATTGAATAAATAAATCAAACGAAGATGTCGTCATCATCGGTTTTGTTTGATAATTTACCTTTATATTGACGGCAATTGTTTTTTATCCGTGATAAATAAAATGTTTAGAAAAAATTAAACAAAGAAGAACAAAAAAAAGGAATTACCTTTGTATTTGAGTGCTCAGCCGACGGCTAATTATTATTATTATGTGTGTGTGTGTGTGTGTATGTATCATTTTCATTCTTTCTACTGGCTCACATCATTTGTTGTATGTTGCGGTTTTGTTTTGTTTGGTTTGTTTGTTTCATTTCATTTCATATCTAAAATCAATATAGATTTTCAATTTATCTTTTATCTTTTACCGCACAAATCAACAAAAAAAAAAAAAAAAAAAAAAACAATATCCGAACAAACAAACAAAAAACAGACCAAGCGCAATAAATATTTGGACAATATTCATTTTCATCAATTAAATATTGTTTTTTTGATTGATTGATTGATTGAGTTGGTTAACTGCTATAACATTCATTATTCATCAATATGATGGATAATGATTGAAAATTTACTTGTAATCATCATCATCATCATCTGGTAAATAATTTCGGCCATCTAAATTTTCCTATTTGATCATGTAATAATAATGTGTGCGTCCAATTATTTATTGCCTAAAGGAAAAAAAACATGAAAAAATAAAGTGCCGCCTTGTTTGTGCACAATAGATGAATGAATGAATGTGTGGTCATTACATGTTAAATGATTGCATTGTAGTGCGTGTGTGTGTGTGTGTAATCATGTAATGTGTTTTTTTAGTAGTATATGATGATCAAATAAAAAAAAAGACTCAGGTATAAAATTGCAATTAATAAATATTTAATTTGACATTTTTTTTACCGCGACTCACAAATGCCGCCGATGTATATTTTGTTTATCGTCATCATCATCATCAGTATAATGTACATGATAATAAAAAAAAATAGAAAGAAAGAAATGATTTCCGTTTGACCTGTTTTTCTATCATTTTATGGTTAGACTAACTGTTTTTTTTTTTTTCGTTCGTTCAATTGAACAGATCAAATCAGTTGGTGTTTTTTGGTGGTTGACAATTTCAATGTATTCAACACATTGTTGAATACATTGAAATTCAAGCATGCAAAGCTTCCGATTCTAATATTGTGTAAGGAAGAAAAACAAAAAAAAAAACTTACGACCGGTTGACGACCCTTTCAAAATTGGGGTTAACTGAATGTTTTTCTCTCTTTCTTTTTTAATACATTTTTCAACAACCAAAAGAAAAAATGATCGTTATACAAGCAATGGAAATGTCGATGAACTATATGTGAAAAAAAATTTGGTTTCGAAAAAAACGAGCAAATTTTCAATTTTTGTTTATTTCAAATCAAAATCTAAAAAAAAAAAAAAAAATTCTGACAATTCTTGAAACAACAACGACGATGACAATTTACAACAAAACAACAACAATTTAAGCCGATTAGGTTCCAGAAAAAAAGGATTGAAAACACTACTAGGGCCAAAACCAGACACAATTTATTATTTTTGTCATTTTTAATGAGAATCTCTAATGATTAAGTTGTTGTTGTTGATGACAGCAACAACAGTGATTCAACTGAAATTCATTTATTTATAAATTTGTTTTGCTTAATGAGCGAATGGATGGATGGATGGATGGATGGGGTGGTGGTGATGATGATGGAATTACCTTGTTTTCGGGGGGCGGGACGAGGGGGAGTTTAGATTTATATATTTTTTTTTCTTCTCACTTGATTGACAACAACAACAACAGCAATTATTATAGATAAATAATTCAGCAATTCAGACATTATAAATCTGGAAAAAAAACAAAACAATCCAGACCATGACATAATATTGTTGTTTGTTTTTTTTCTGGATTTAAAAAGATTGACTTTAGCATTCTAAAACCATTTATTTATTCAGGAAATAAATGTCACAATCAATCAGTGTGCACACACACACACACAAAAAAAATGACAAATCCGAGACTGTCGAATAAAATATGACGATGATCATGAAATGAATGAATGAATGAAAGAATGAAAAACTCAAACTCAAATTGAAAAAAAAAATTTTATTTCAATTTAGGACAACATCATCAGTTAAGTCAGAAAATTAATTGTTTGGTCGGTCGGTCGGCTGGTTGGTTGGTTGGTTGGTTGTTGTTGGGACAACCAAGAAATTTTAGTCAAAAAATTATTAATTATTGAACAAGACCTTTTTTTTGCTGTCTAATGTCATTAATTGATGTTTAGAACTATTATCATGTAATTGGCGGCAGTGGTGGTGGTGGTGGTGGTGGTGGTTGTGGTGATGACCACCATCTGATGATCAGGCCACCAAAATGTGATGACCACAACAAGGATGTTGAGAATTCACTTTTACTACTCTTTAATTTTCGTTAATTGCATATTGTTGTTGTTGTTGTTGTTGACGAATTTTTTTTCTGGTTTATTAATGAAATAAAATTGATGAGAAAATGATTCGTGCCGATTTACACCTGAAATGATTAGCTTGGGTTTTGTTTCTGGCAAATTGCCAAAACAACAACAACAACAACAACAAAAACATAGTTGCCGCACACATAGATTAACAATCAATGTACATGCTTCAAGGTGGTCCATGGATCCATGGCTTTTTTTTTTTTTTTTTTTTTTTTTTGTTCATTGGTTATCTCAACCAGAAAAAAAATTGAACCGTTTGAAAAAAAAATTCTCCAATGTAATCGTAGAAAATTTTTTTTTCCGCATGTTTACTCTTTTTCCATTTCCATATACACATGTGTGTTTGTAGAATGGAAACAAAAAACATTTCCGTTGTTGGAAAAAAATAAAAATTCGATACAATTTTCAAATTTATTGATTTGAATGAATTTTTTTTTTTTTTATTACCAATCATCATTGAAATCAATTTGTCCTGGATACACACACACACAAGCGCGCGCACACATTGAGCATATATATGAATATTTGATAATGATCAATGTGCATTTGTTGTTGTTGTTTTCCAATTTTTTTTTTGTGGTGGTAGATTAAGTTTTTGGAATTTTCAATTTTTTGGTTCTCGAATAAAATAAAGAATGACTAATTCGATTACAATAAATCGATACATTAATTGGTTTTTAAAGGCAAATGAAAATGAAAATTTTTTTTCTGTGATAAATTTAATTTTTTCCAAAGAAACAAATAACACATAGACACACATTCAGAATTTCATCAATTTTCGTTCAACGAAAAGTAATCGGTTTTCAAATTGATGACGAATGATGATGATGATGAATATGATAATGATAACGATGGAAACAATAATAAATGCTAGCAGTACAATGATAATTGAAACGACAGCAACCAAGAATCCTGATAATGGGGCAAGTATGAATTTGAATGCAATGAATGAATGATTCATTTTTACATTTCCATTTAAAAATAGATGGCTTGGAATACAACAACAACAACAACAACAACGATTTTCGTTAATCAAAATGATGATGATGATGATATGACAACAACAACAACAACAACAAAGATTATTAACGAACGTTTTACACGTGCATACATTTTTCTTATTATTGGTATAGCGACATTTTTCATTGGACTTTTATTAATATTAAGCTATTGTTTAAGTAAAATGATGCCAACAATAAAAGGACCAACAATGATGAGACTACGACATCGAATATTGACAGCAACAGCAAAACGTCATTCATCGCCAATACTATCACCATTATCAACATCAACAACAACAGCGACAACATTATCGACGGCAACGACAAAATCAGAATCATTACAAAGAAATGATAATAATTTATTATTAAAATTAATACAACCACATGAACCATTACAGATAATAAGTGAAGATTTAAAAAGACAAACAAAAATAATAACAACCGAAACCATTAATCCGGTGATGATGATTGGCAGTCATGGATGGCGAAAAGTAATATTAAAACAAAAAGATTCAAATTAAATTTTTTTTTTTAAAAAACATCGATAGATTGAGTGATGATAGCGTTTAAGAGCGAATTAAATTAAAAGTAGATCTTGAAAAACATGAAAAAATTGATTGATCAACTATATTTTCTGCCATCTGTCGACGAGAATAATTATTAAGTCTCCAAGGTAGCAAAAGTAGTTGATATTGTTGAACTAAAATGGAAGTAGATAGATGTCAGCACCTACTTCAAAAAAAAAAATTTAAATTCACATTCAAATACAATGGAATTCGCAATAAAACATCATGAACACACAGATCAATAAATCAACAACTAAACATAAATTGAAAAAATAGTGAGAAAACAAAATATTCTGAAAACGTATATATATACGTTATAAGATGTCAAGTTTTGTTGATTATCAATATTATTAATTTACTTGCAAAATTAATTATCACACATTTAGGATTAGGATTCAATAACACATTCTGTGTGAAACACAATTCAATAATAAAGTGTGGACATGATAAACAATTTCAGAATGAAAAATTCCAATAGAAAATTCATTCACGAATTGAATAAACCAATGATTTGATGATCGATTTCCATTTTTACATGAATGACTTTTGATATGGGGCCAGTTTGATTGTCAAGGAGAAAAAGTTTTTGATGCTTTATCTATGTCTTGAAATAAAATGATTTATGAGTTGATTTCATTTACAGCCAAACACCACAGAAAAAAAAGATAACTTCTTCAATCAAATTCAAATGTTGTTGTTGCTGTTGTTGTTGAACACAACTTTGATCCTTTAATCACTGATTCAAAAAAAAAATTTGTCCAACAAAATCTGGAACAATTTGAACATGTGTGTGTGTGCCTAATCAAGAAAATAAGAATAAAAACTTTAAATGTTTTTTCATTTTCGCACTCAAAACAAACATACCAAAAACGATTTCAAATGAATGAAATTCATCATTGTCGAAACGATGTGTGATTGTTTTGATGATCATCATCAATAAGAAAGAGACAGATAGTGACAATTTTCATCAACCACCATATATGTTTTTTTAAAGACGAATTTTTGTGGCCACAAAAATACACAAATTCACGATTCATCAATTGGATGGATTCAACACCAGTAAAAAAAAAAAAATAAACACTTGACTTGTATTGTTATTGGGTTCCAAACATAATTGTTCCAATCCAATGGAAGTGAAGAAAATAGAACACAGAAAAAACAAAACAAAACAAAACAAAAAAAACGACGCCGACAACGACGACAATAACATAAATAAAATGATGTTTAAATGTTTGACATAAATTAAGACAAATTGGATCCATTTCGTCAGCAGCAGCAGCAGCAGCAACAACAAACTTTTTGATCTTTTTTTTTTTTTGTCTTGGTTTTATAAGCGATGGCAAATGGTTTTCGAAAAGATTGTTTTTCTTTTATTCTCAAAACGAAATGAGCCAATAATTGTGGTGGTTGACGACGGTTCTTGAGACCTTTTTTTCGGGTCATTCCGGTTTTTTTTTCTTCTTTTTTCCATAAGATAATGTTGACTGTGCTGGCTGGAAGCCGACAATTATATTTCTTTTTGTTATCCCTATGACAAAAAAAAAATTCGAAGGATTAATACAGCCACATACACACACACACACAACCAGAATGATAAAAAAAAGACCAAAAAAAAACCAACCATTTTGACAAAAAAAAAAACCAAAACAAAATATGAAAAATAGATGAATGGGATGACACTTTTTCTGTTGTTGTTGTTGTTGTTGTTTACGAATTGCCGCTGCGATTCTTATTATTGAAAATATATATATGTGTGGGTGATGGGCGATGTAAATATTTTCTTTTTCTTTTCTTTGATCAAAGTTTTTTTTTCATATATAACAACAAAGCTCACTAAAAATACACACTTTACACGTATATTATATAAATAGAAAAGTTTGTCATCGAACAAACAAACAAACGAACAAACCGAAAAAAATAAACATCAAAAAAAATAGAGAGATAACACATGGATGCAAAAATAAAAGACGTATTGACGCTTGGCCATATATGATGACAACAATAAAGATGAAAAAAGATGTTGATGATGGATGAGTTTTTTTTCTGTTCATCTTTTTTTTTTTTTTTGCTGCTATTCTGGTTTTTTTTTTTTTCTCCGTTGACAAATTATTCCAGAATAATTTCAGAATAAATGATTTCTTTCTCTTTCTTTATTTATTTATTTATATTCAATTCAACTAAAAAAAAAGACATTAAAATTTCACAGTTCAATATATATATATATAAATAAATCATAATTTATCGAAAACAAAAACAAAACAAAACAGAAAAATTTGTTCAAATCTTTACTCTTTTTAATATTTCATTATTTGTTGATGATGTTGAAGGCACTATTGTTGTGGTTGTGGTTGGTGATAATTGTCGATTATGATGACAATCATCATCATGATCATCATGATCATCAAGATTAAAAGATGATGTTGTTGTTGTTGGTTCTGAAAGATTAAAACGTATAGTACGATTGGATAGAATAATATTTTGTTTCGTTGTTGATGATGTCGAAAATGATGGATTATCAGTATCCGTTTCGGTTGTATTACTTGGATTACTTGATGTTGCCGTTCCTGATCCACCGCCACCGCCACCACCACCAACACTACCGCTTGATGATGAAAAGCTATGTAATGGAAAATATTGAGCAATATGAGAATGTTCTGGTTCATGATGATGATGATGATGATGTTGGTGTTGGTGTTGATTGGTTGTGGGCGATTGACACAAAGATCCATGATGATCATTCAACAATGAACAATTTAGAATATCGGATGATGTTTCCATTCCTTGATGACAGGATTGTTGTTGTTGTTGTTGTTGTAGATCAGCTGACATTTCATGATCAGCATAATGTACATGATGAATAATATGGTGATGCTGTTGCTGTCCATCTGCTAAATTTGAATCGATCAAATTTTCGTTGACATTATTAACACCATAATAATCTGAATTATTCGTACATAATATTCCCATTGGATTAGCAAAACAAGTTGCCGATGCAGATGTTGAAGGTGCACAGCTATTGTGATTATTATTTGTGATTGATTGTTGACCACCACCAATCATCATTAGATGATCATCCATTTTAGTAGCAATAAATTTAGTTGAACAACTTGTTGAATCTACAATCGAATCGGTTGTCGTCGATGATGATGATATGGAAACGGAATTTTGTCGTTGAAGATTATAATAAACACCAGCAAATACTAAAAGATTTAAAGCTAATAATGAACAACCAACAGCAATGGTAGCTTGAAGAAGATTATGACTACTGCCGCCATTATTATTATTATTATTATTGCTGTCATTATTTGAATCACCAGTGCTACTACTATGACGTTTACTTGTCGCAGTTGTATTATCATCTCCAATATTTTTTGTTGTTGTTGTTGCTGTTGCTGTCCAGAAGCACTTTTTATTCTAAATTGTTCACCAATTGAAAATGTGAAATCATTCATTGAAGAATCATTCAATGATTGATCAGAATTCATACGAAATAATGAACCGGACGATGATGATGATGATGACGAACTACGAAGCCATGAATTGCCTGGAAATTTTTTCATTATCGATTGAACATTACCACCACCACCATCATTGCCAACTACAGGATTCAATTGTTGACCATGCACTAATGTTATTTGTCGAACAGGACCATCATAGGAATTTTCATCATCAAAATTATCCAATAAATGATGACGAATATAACGAAGTCCAATATCATCTGATGATGATGATGATGATGATGATGATCCAAATTCTAGATGATCAATATCTAAATCAAGTAAATGATTAACAACATCTTGATCAGAATGATGATGAATATTATTATTACTGTTACTGATGCTAGCATATTGTTTCCGGCTATTCATTGAATATCGATATTGATCCTGCAATAAATGTGGTATTAAATTGAGCCAATAGCTTAAACGATGCGATTGATAATGATCACGTAAACGTGGTTTGGATCCTAAACATATCATTAAAAGAGAAAAAGAAAGTTAATAGGAATTTAATATTAAAGATTCCATCGATTCCATAAATGAATCTATGATGAATTTTCAACAATGGAAATGGATTCGATTCAATTTTTTTTTTTTTTACTCTTCATAACAACTAACCTATAAGTAAAAAACGTTGTTGGCCAACAGTATATTGAGGCCAATTAAGTAGATGATGATGATGATGATGGTGTTTGTGGTGATGGCAAGGATGTCCGGAATTCATTATTTTCATTCGAATCGATGATCGATGATGATGATGCGGAATCATCCATATTATGATGATGATGATGATTGTGAGAATAAGGATAATTTTTTTTGTCATAATTGCCATTGTTGCCATTGTTGTTGTTGTTGTTATCATTACTATAACCAGTAGGATGATTTGGATTCCTATTTTTTGAAAACGAAAAAAAAATGAAATTGTTGAAATAAGAAAAATTTAGTTTTCATTCAAGGATAAAGGAAATGTTTTATTTTTTCCGATAAAAAAAAATAGAATTGAATTCAGCCAATTCAGATATCATACAGACATTTGGCAAGAATAATTAGAATCTGAGACTCTCCAGAATTTGTTGCCAGAAATTATTTATCCTAAACTCTCTTTTGTGATTAAGAAAAAATTTTTTAATTAAAAAAAGTAACTAAATTGACCTTGCTGAGCAACGATAAAAAAATTTTTTTTTGTTGTTGTTGAATCTTCAATCTGTTACCATCGACGATAAATGATTGATGATGATGATTTGTTTTGTTTTGGTTTGACCACAAATTACTGATTTACTTAACGTCATTGCTAGTGTACACAACTCTCTTCAAATTCAAGCTTTATCAAAAAAAAAAAAAATTCTTTGCTAGTCAATGTGTTGGAAACACTGGACTCAAAAGAATTTGTGTCTATAGGAATCGATGATTGATTTGTCAAAAATTTTTTTTCGACCTTCTTAGTAGTTCGTTAGTAGTAGTAGTAGTAGTAATAGTAATAGTTTTTGGGAAAAAATAATGAGGCTAGAAAAAAAAGATTGTCTAAAAAAACGAAAATAATGAATACCGAACGGTTAATCTCTTTGAAAATTCAGCACACAAACACAATCATTATGAGAAATGATTCTTTCTTATAAACATAGATTCTATTAGATAGAATTAGACTTCTTTGATAGTTTATGATTATGATGTGAATGTTTAGCCAAATTATTATTATATTTGCATGTTTGTATTTGTCCACCTGTGCTCTTTGAGCTTGATGATGATGATGATGATGATGGAGCATGGTGCACTAATATATATAATGAATATAATTCACTATAATAAACCCTATATGTTATGTTTAGTAGTTTGATTATCATGTGACATGTGAAAATTTACATGTTCTATAAAGAGAAAAAGAAAAATTCCATGGTCTAGTGGTAATCATTCATTCATATAAAATTTACAAAGTAGTTAATGCGTGTGTGTATATAGAATACACACAAATGAATGGAATTTCTACACGAATGCATTTTATTTTACATCATCAACTTACCCATATTTGGCAAAATTACTAAAATATGTAATCATCATTTGGCTAAGATGAATATGTTCAGCAGCTACTACAGCTGTTGCAATTTTTGATTTTGTTGATGCCTGATGTTTGTCATTAGCAATTAAGCTATCAAATAATATATCTTGTTGTTGCTGTTGTTGTTGTTGTCGATGTCCAGTAGTCATTGTTGTCCAATTAGTTTGAAAATGTCCAATTGAATGACCAGTTACATGTTGAGCAATTGGTGCACCAAATAAATAATCCAATTCATCATTCAACATTGATCCAAGTCTTTGATCAATTGATTGTATTTGGCCACTAGTCGTCATCATCATCATCATTGGTGAGATATTGCTGTCTATTGATCCAAAATTTGGTAACGACGTCGAAGAATCCAATAATATAGATTTTGGATTATTTTGAAAGACATAGAAAAAAATCTTTCCAGATTTTGAATCCTGTTTTTGTTGTTGTTGTTGATAATGATCATGAGAATGATATGCAAAATCGAATGTATTATCCTTGTTGTTGTTATTGTTACTGTTCGTATTAAATGGAAAACGATCAGCCATTGATTTAGCGTAAAGCTCAACGGTTTCAATCAATGGTGCAAGAATCAATGCATGACCCAATATATCGATTGTAGAATCTAATAAATTGATTGGATGTTCACTTGGACGACTCCAATCAGTATATTCATTGATCAATGTCCAGAAAATTGTCTAAACAACCCAAAACAAATCACATTAATAATAAACAAAAATTTTTAAAAAATAGCACATTTACCTGCTGATGAAAATCAAATAAATTGCGTATTAAAGTTCGAACAATCTGATTTCTTCGTTCAACATTGATTCCATAACGTTCTTCATAACCAGTGAAAACATCTAATGGACATTGAACTTTTGTCACACCGAATAATATATCACCATGATAATGATTGGCAGCAAATAAATCCGAAGAAACAGATGAAGAGGCACTATTTTTGAAAAAAACATAATTTGAAGATGATGGTGATGATGAAGACGACGATGATGATGATGATGAGGTAATTTTCGATGACGATACAAAAGATGATGATGATGATGAGGCAGCAGATGATAATGGTCCATAAACCATTGATTCCATCATTGTACGTGGTTCTTCCACCACAACGATACCATCGATTATTGGACCAAATGGTGATAGATAACGTGATATGTGAATATGATTCATTGCTTGAATAAGCTCATCGAATGGTTTTCTTTTCAAACAATCAACTAATTGTGTATTATCCTTACAAAAAAGAAAAGAAAATGGAATGAACGAAAATATAAAAAAAAGCATATCAAGCAAAATAAAAAGAAATTAGAGATCACATTAATGAATAAAGTGGAAATAGATTGTTTGTGGGTGTCAAGGGCCGTTTGTTTGTCATTCATTCACAATCCAATTGTTTACATCGTCTACGATAGTATATAGAATGATTGCCATCTTATCGAAATGTGTGTGACGTTTTTTCTTTTCGATTTTTGATTCTTCTTATCCAGAAAACAGAAAAATTCCAGATCGATTCATTACTAATGAAACAAAACAAACGATCGACAGCTGATCAATGATCAATCGAAAAAAAAAAAAAAAACATCGGCAAAAAGAAGCAGAAGCAATGAGCGATATATAACCAGAATGGAAAAAAAAGACGTCGAGACATTTTCTCTCTTCATTATGACCAAACCATCGATATATATCGAATAAATGATGATTACGAGGTAGAATGTGGATGTGAATGGTCGGGATGTGGGGGCTGGGGTGGAAGGAGGAAAATGATATCCAAAATCTACACTTACATAAACTGGACAATTCAATTGTTTGGCCAATTGTCTTGCATTATTTTCAGCATCACGAACAATAGCAGATGGTGCTAATGCCGAACCACTTAATAAGGCCACACGAGCGAATAAACCTACAAGCGGCAACAACAACAACAACAACAAAAAAACAGGACAAAAAATTAAATTTGAAAAAAAAATTTCGTAAAGTAAAACATTGAATGATTGACAAATGATTTCGCTCTTTTTGTTTTTTTCTATAGATTACCAAAACGAAGGATTAATTTTTTTTTGTTTTGTTTTGTTTTCACCTGCTTATGAAATATTAAACACACACACACACGGATCTATTGTAACAATTGTGGTTTCACACTGTGTGTGTGTGTGTGTGTTTATTGACCTCATCGAGGTTTAACCGTCGTTCAACTTTCATTTGTTCGGGTGAAAAAAAAAATTGAAGCTGAAAAAAAATTTATATCACTACCCATACCATGATGAACCATGAGTCTATTTTGTTGTGTGGCAAAAAAAAAATTAAAACGAAGTAAAGCTTTATGAATATTTATGATATGGGAAAAAAAGGGAAATTTTATTCCCACTTCCCCCCCTCCGGAAAACAAACCGACAACAGAATCAATTCAAAAAGTGATCAACCAACTATAGAATTTATGGCTTCCATAGAGTACTATAACAATAACAACAACAACAACCCTATAGGCGAAACAAACAAACAAAAAAAAATTCAGAGTTTGATGGGATTCATTATGATGATTCTTTTTTCTCTTTTGGTAATAATAATAATAATGATGATTATAGGCTTTTTGTGTTACCATTTACACAATTTACAGAAGAAAAAAAAACCAGTCAGTTACATCATCATTGACATATGAGAATATAATATGAACGGAAGAAAGAAAAAAAATTCTAGGAATTTGTCAACACAGACAACAAAGAATATAATAATAATAATAATACAGATGGACAGATATAGAGAATAGATTATAAATTCAAATACATAGATACAAGTCAATACAAGTTTGTTGCTGTTGTTGTTGTTGTTGTTGTAGTTGTTGTAAATGTCAAAACAACAACAACAAACAAACAAACAAATAAATAAATAGAACACACATGAATCGATTTTTATTGGATGAACACACACACACAAAAAAAAGAGAATAATTTCCAATTCATAGACAGTAGACATTATCAGAATCAAGAGAATAATTAACGTTTTGTAATATTTTTTTTTTTTTGCGTTTTTTGTTGTTGGATTTCAACACACTCAAAAAAAAGTGCATCAATCAATCAAAAACGGTAAAGATTTTCACCGTGATTGTGTGTGTGTGTGTGTGTGTGAGTGTTAAAAAACTGGTCCATAAGTAAGTTTCAAGAATTGATTGAGTGTATGGATCAAATCTTGTTTTCTGTTTTTTTGTTCGTTCTACAAGATTTTTTTTTTTATTATTATACATCTAAGTGAATAGTTCTGAGCGTGTTAATTTGCTAAATTAACCCAAAAACAGAATATTTGTATCGAAACTTTTTTTTTTAGTTTGGTTAGGTTTTTTGTTTTGTTTTGTTTCATTGTTGTTATTGTTAGATTTTGTTTGTTTTTTGATTACGATGATGATGATGATCATCATCATTATTATCAAGAAAACATGATCATCATGATCAAGATTCAATCAGAATCCAAATCAATATATCAATGAATTCAAGTAAGAAAGGAGAAGAACGAATAAAAAAACTAATTATTTATATATCCTTGCCACCTATTGAATCTATTTATTTTAATGTAATGGAATGTTGTTGTTGTTGTTTGTTGTAATCTTTATAAATTTTTCATTGATTTAGTGCCATGTTCAGATTGTGAAACACAGTGAGCGATTCAATTCATTGTATCAATCAATGAAAAAAACAGAAATAGATTACACAATCACACAAATATCCTAATCATCACAATGTGTGTTCAATAAACACTGTTTATGAATCAATATCCAAACAAACAAACAAACAAACCTTTAGCCATTGGTGATAACATTAACAAATGGACACAAGCAGCACCAAAACCATGTCCAATTAGTGTAACATTACGAGGTTCACCACCAAATTCGGCAATATTTTCTTGTATCCAATGTAATGCAGCCACTTGATCCATTAGACCATAATTGCCACGAATTGTGCCATCAACTAAAGCTGGTAAGAATCCTGAATTTTAATAAACATATAATAAAAATGATGATGATCAATGAATATAGATGCTTTGTAATCATGAATGAATATCAACTTGCCTAGTACACCAAGACGATAATTCAATGTGACAACAATAACACGTCCATAACTAGACCATATTGATGCATCAAATGAATTGCCTGTACCGGTTTGATATGAATCACCGGAAATGAATACAATAACTGGATGTTGTTGTTGTTGTTGCTGCTGTTGTTGTTGATTTTTGCCATTTGTTTGATGATTTTTCAAATACTGATTATTATTATGATGATGATGATGAGTATTGGATTCTGTATAAACAACAACAACAACAAACAAAAAACAAAGAATAAAGTATGAGTAAATGAATGAATGAAAAAGAATTTAAATTTTAAAAATTGAAATATAGCTTAATTTTAATCAATTAATTAGTAAAATTCATCAATCTGAATCAATAAATAAATATGAGTATACATTCGAAATACATTGAAAAAAATCGTATATTTTTACATTAGGTAGAAATAATGAAATAATAAATTAGAAAAATGATAAATGAAAAAATAATCATAATGGAAATGTATCTAAATATTTGAATCAAAATGTAAATCAATCTGGATGTTGTTATTGTTGATGATGATTTTTGTTGTTGCTTTTGTCCATGATGATGACCACAATGTTGTTGATGATGATGATGATGATTGTAACCATGGTAATGATGCATTATATGATTCTCGGAATAATTTATTATTGGATGATCATCATTGAATAAAATCAATTTTTCAAGATCATGATCTAATTTTCTATTTATCAATTCATTCAATTCAGGTGTTGTTGATGATGGTGACGATTGTTGATAATCATATTTAGTTGTCGATGTTAATGGATCATTACCACCACGATAACAATTGGATAAAATGAATAGCAAGAAAAAATCCTTGGCAAAATTATTTACAATTATATGATCATTGATGATGATGATGATTTATTGTTTTGTGGCAATAATTTTGAATCATCATCATCATCATCATTCATCAACAATAATCGAGAATCTTCACGTTCTTCTGATGATTTGGAATCAAAATTTTTATCCATTGTTATTGCCAAAAAAATGAATGAATTTTGAAGAAAAAAAATTACAGATGACAAAGACCAACACCACGACAACAAAAAAAGAAACAATAACGTCATTTATGGATAAAGCGATATTTGATCATCATCATCATCATCATGTGATTTTTCCATGTTTACAAAAATATATCGCAGGTAATATGAGGAGTTCTCAAAACAAACAAACAGCAAAAACATCAAATCAAATAAATAAAATGGTTGACTAGGTAATAATTTATTTCTTTGGAATTTGGAATTCTGTGTTTTTGTTTTTGGTTTCAAAGAATCTTTTTAGAAAAAAAACGAGCAAATCGATTTGCTCGTTTTTGTTTCCAAGGCACATTTTTATTTGCATTAAGCCATAGACATAAAGTGGAATGAAAATATGGAAAATAATTTGTTTTAATGGATATTTTAATTGAATTTCCGTCCGTTTTTTTTCATATTCATATTCCCCATTTCAATATTCCACTTATGAAACCAGAATCAGAATCAACGTTGAATCATCGAAAAAAAAATGCTTCGTTGAATTTTCGCCAATTGATCAAATGATGAATACGTGATTTTTAAACAAATGAAAAAATTTGGGAATAATTTTTTTTTGTTATAATTTTTTCTTGTATTCTTGCTGACTGTTGATGAAAATTATCATCATCATCGAATCATGGAATCATGGAATGTCGAGACAAACGACACCCGGTTCTTAGAATTTCACTGATCATGATGATTCTAGCATATCCATCTTTTTTTTCGAAATTTCATTTCTATTCACAATCAGTTTTTTTTTTTTTTTTTTGATTTATTTCAAAATACACTACTACTTCCGACAACTGGTTTTGAATTCTGATTAAACATTTTTTTTTCTTCCAGATTCTCAATTCTCATTTGAATAGAAGTATATAATTAGCAGAATAATCGTAGATTCGATTCTTTTCTTGTAATTTTCATCTTCTTGGAAATTCATCATCATCATTGGGTTAAGAAGAAAAAAAAAGCGAAAAAAAACTTTCTTTAGCTAATTTACAATCTGAAACAATGAAACAAAACTACATAACTAACTGTATATCTAGTGTTAATTATGGTTTTTGCATCTCTTTTTTCTTTTTTCTCGCTTGTTCGATGATCAATCAATGATCGAACAAAAGAAACGACAAAAAAAACTATTCTGCTACAGCAGTAGCAACAACAACAACAACAACAACAAAAGTTCAAATTTATAATGAAAAAGCTAATCGGATTAGATATTTTTTTTGGAGAGAAAAAAAAAGAATTTTTTCATATTTCAAAAAGATGATTTTTTTTTTTTGAAAATTCTACTACTGTGTAATGGAAGAAATTTCCAAGAAAAAGTAGAATCAGACAAGAATCATCTTTTTGTTGAAAGGGAAATTTCTTGAGAAAATTTTTTTTTTTGTTCTGTTGAATAAAACAACCATCCATTTTGAGATGGGAAAAATTTGTAAGTAAAATTGGACCGATAAAAAAATTGTCTTTGCCACCGTCAAGAAAAAAAAGGATCAAAATGAATGAATGAATGAAAAAAATTCAATTCAAAAAGGAAAATGGAATGAAATCGATCGTTCAACAAAAAAAAAATTTGATAACCCAACAACGACGAGTTGTGAATGAGAATGGAATATTTTTTTTGTTTGTTTTCTCTCTCTTTTCTCTCGCGCTAAATGGATAAATTGAATTTGCAACAACCAAAATGAAAATGTAAATGGAACCACCACGTAGTATATTCAAATCAAATGAAAACGAGCAAACAATGATGATGATGATGATGGTGGTGAAAAACCAAAATTCATTAATCATTTCTAGTTGGAATCGGGATAAATAAATAAAACATCTTTAAAAAGGAAACAATTTCTGCAGAATTATTGTTATTTGTTGGAAATTTTAATTGTTTTTGATCCATGCACACACACACACACACACACACACATAAACACAAACCACTAACCCGAAATGGTCGGGTTTCTGTTGTTGTTGTTTTTGGATATATGATGGGCGTGTTTTCACTAGAAATTGGAAAATCCGGTCCAAAGAAAAAAAGGGAGAAAATAAATGAAATATTGTAAATCAATGAATGGAAACAAAACAAGAAGCAAATCCATCAATTATTTATTGGATCAGTTTACGAAATGAAAGAAAAAAAAAACAGCGTTATCATGAAAAACAAAAACGATTGGAGAGAGAGAGAAAGAGAGACAAATTGAAAACAATCAAATCAAATGATTTTTGATTGCTATTAGCTGCCTTTGCATTGGCTATTTTTTTCTGTTCTTCTTGGCCGTCGAAATGAAATCCGAGAAAATGAAAGAACTACAGAGCAAGAGAACGATGACGACAATCACAACCAAAAAAAAAAAATTTAGTCAACGTCAATTCATTTCTCTGTTTTTTTTGGATCGATTCTGGTGAACAGAAAAAAAAATTATTTTTCATTCGAATTCGATCGAAAATGAAATAGGAGAATCGTTTCGTTTTTTGTTTGAACAAATGAATCACACACACACACACACACACAGAATAATGTCAAATGGAATGAAATGAATTTAAAATGTGAAAAAAAATCAATTTTTTATTCAAAGAAAAAAAAAGAAAAACTAAACGCTAGCTAGCTCTCTCTCTCTCTCTCTCTCTCTCTGTCTCTCTTGTAACGGTCTCTGATTATCATCATCCAATCATTATCATCATCAGCATCGTTATCCATTTTTGAATGAATGAAAAAAAAATGATCGATGAAATTGGAGCCAGAGAAACATTGTAAAAACATTTGACAAATCCATGAAACGACAAAAAATAAAATGGAAAATGAAAAATTTGATTTCTTTTTCTTCTTCTTCTTCTTATTCCAGTTAAAACAATTAATCATACCGAAAAAACACACACACACACACACTAATGTAAAAAAAAATGAAAATGGAACAAAAAAAATTATAAGAAAATGCAAAAGCAAAATGAACAAAAAAAACATGATGATGATAATGATATGATGATTTTAATATTAAGCCAACAAAGCATAAAACAAGAGAATAAATGGAAAAAATGAAAATTTTTTTTTTCTGTAAAATCATCATATCATTCATTCATTCATTTCATTTCATTAATAATTTTACACTTTTGACATCGACAAAAGACGATGTTCTTCATTTTTTTTTTTTATTCGCCATGAACAATGTATAATTATGCAACATTTTCTTATTCTTTGCAATATGATGAATTTGCGTCATCTCTATGCACCATTATTGTCATAACCTGAGCATACACAGTAGACACAAGATTCAATAATCTAACAGAATATTCTGAATGCTTAAAAAACAACAACAACAACAACAACAATAATTAAATGAATCGAAACAAATCAAATGTGTGTGTGTGTGTGTGTGTACGTTGATTAACACAATCACAATCGATTTCAATTCTTATTTTTTTTTTTGTCATTTCGAGAATCAGTTTCCAACATTATTCTGGCAATTCTTGTGTTCTTAATTCCAATTAAAAATGTTTATTCAAGTGAAAGATGATTGTTTGGCAAAGAAATAAATGATAATAATAAAAAAATCTGGTTACCACCCAAAACTCTATCCATTGGTCGTGCAAATGAAATACAAAAAACAAACAAACGAGCAAGCGAGAAAGGAAAAAAACAAATGAAACAAAATCCCATTTTAAACGAAACATTAATGTTTTTTATCAATCAATAATGGATAAAATTAAAAGGTCAATTTCAATTCAAAAACGGGATTAATCATGAAAAGTGAAACTTTTGGTTTGAACAATAGCCCGAAGGAATTATTGTCATTCAGCAATGACGAAAAAAAAAATTAGGATTCAAAATCAAAAAAAAAAAGTTTTTCAATTCATTTTTTTTCTCCACCAACAAAAACAAAAACAAACTTTCTAAAATTCTGATTTATGTTTGAGGGTGGCCATTGGTGGTGGTGGTGGTGGTGGTGGTGAACAAACATGACATTTGGAGGTCCAAGAAAAAAAATAATTCACTTCATCTATTTATTTGCATATTATTTACATGGAAAATTTCGGTAAATAGGATTCTGTTTGTTCATTTGTTCATTTTTTTTGCATGATGTGAAGCGATAATCTACTTGCAAGATTCTTGTCGTTTTTTGTTTTCCTTCTTTCTTGTTACCAGAATTTTATCCAAGAATGAGAAAATAACTTTTCCTATGTAATAATACAAAATCGGATAACCAAAAGTCAAAAGAAACAAAATGAAACGAACCGAAACAACTTATTATTATTATATTGTCAATTCTATTTTCCTTGCTTTTTTTTTTTTGTTGTCTTCAAACAAAGTGAAATGTTGTGACCAGAAAAAAAATACAGGAGAAGAATCAAATCAAACAAACAAACAGAATGGTCAACAACACAAAAAAAACTTTTGATTCAATATTGAACAACAACAACAGCAATTCGGTGATTTCATTGAATATTCTGCGTGTGTGTTTATATCTTGATTGTCGTGGATTCGTTTTTTTTTTTTCGTTCATTTGGTGGTTGTGGTGGTGGTGGCTACTAACCGGTTTCAATCAGGATATAGAGAGAAACTGTGTGAGATTTTTATCAACAAAATATCAAAACAGAACAAAAAAAGTAGCCATTTTGATTTGTGGAATTTTTTTTCATATTTTCAGCCGCGTAGGTGTGTGTGTGTGTGTGTCGAAAAAAAAATTGTCAAGAATAAATTCTGCATACACGATTCATGTTGCATTATTTTCAAATCAAAAACAAAACAAAACGAAAAAAAAAATGTTGGACATTACAATTTTTATTTTGCCAATTTTAATCGAAACGAATCTGAATTTTTATTGATGGAATCGATTCTATATTCACACGGAAAAAAAACAAATTGACAAATTTGAATATTGGAATATAATGGAAGCATTGAAGCGAAAAGAAAAACCTATTTATGCCACCATCAATGTGTGAAAATTATCAAGTCTTTTGTCTGGTTGTAT